TAAATTCCTTTACTGCCTATGACTCCAGCCACAGCCACAGCTGGCTGCACCCACAACCCCTAGGTCAGCGTAGCACTGGTCCCACTCATGAGGGGCCAGTTTTCACTTTTTTGGCAAAATGGAGAAACATTAATTGGGGCCAAGAGTGCCTGTTGGAAACCCATTTCTTGAATAGCATTCTTTTAAAAACAATTGTTTTTTAAAGACAGGGTCTCCCTCTGTCACCCAGGCTGGAATGTAGTGGTGCAATCACAGATCACTGCAGCTTCAAACTCCTGGGCTCAAGTGATTCCCCTCCAGAGTAGCAGGGACTGCAGGTATGTGCCACCATGCCCAGGTAATTTTCTAAAAAAAATTTTTTTTTCATAAACCATAGTTTATACAATAGTTTAACTTACACTATTAACACTTTATTGAAAATATTCCTTTTTTTGTTTGTTTGTTTGAGACAGAGTCTCACTCTGTCACCCAGGCTGGAGTGCAGTGGCGCGATCTCGGCTCACTGCAAGCTCCGCCTCCCAGGTTCATGCGATTCTCCTGCCTCAGCCTCCCGAGTAGCTGGGACTACAGGTGCCCGCCACCACGCCTGGCTGATTTTTTGTATTTTTAGTAGAGATGGGGTTTCACTGTGTTAGCCAGGATGGTCTCAATCTCCTGATCTCATGATCCAACTGCCTTGGCCTCCCAAAGTGCTGGGATTACAGGCGTGAGCCACTGCGCCCGACCTATAGAAAATATTTCTATTGAAAAGAACATACTATGCAAACACTTAAAAGTATTTGGTAAGAAAACAAAAGCACATCTTTACGACCAATGTGAATTACGAACTGACAATGATCAACTTCTCAACTAAGAACATTAACCTACTTGTGATTGAAGAAATAATTATCCTGTCTATGGATGACATAAGCAACTTGGCCAGGACAGAAGCAGTGGATGAAACCACATAGAATTCCAATTTGGCCAGTTAACTTATATAAGTGTAATGAAACAGTTAACTTTATTCATTAATATACTCAAACACTATCTTTCCTTCCAAGATTTTCAAAAATTTAATTATCCAAATAACTGAAGTTTGGTATTTCTATATTTTTCAATACAAAAAGTGTCAGGAACCTTTTATACAGTAATGAGACGGAAAGAAAACAACAGCTTCCTGTGAAAGAGGCCTAATCTAGTCAAATATAAAAAGAAGTAATGTAACCTCTTTTTTTTTTTCTTTTTTGAGACGGAGTCTCTCTCTGTCATCCAGGGTGGAGGGCAATGGTGTGATCTCCGCTCACTGCAACCTCTGCCTCCCGGGTTCAAGTGATTCTCCTGCCTCAGCCTCCTGAGTAGCTGAGATCATAGGCATATGCCACCATGCCCAGCTTATTTTTATTTTGTATTTTTAGTAGAGACGGGGTTTCACCATGTTGGTCATAGCTGGTCTTAAACTCCTGACCTCAAATGATCCACCTGCCTCAGCCTCTCAAAGTGCTGGGCTTACATGTGTGAGCCACCATGCCCGGCTGACGCCCAGCTGAAATGTAACCTCTTGATAACAGCCAAATCACTGTATTAGAAACATTTAAATTCCAGCTCTGGGGGTCAAGGGTGAGGTATTTAAAATGTTCCTTTAAGTTAAACCAAGTGGATGAATTTTAAAAGAAAAAGCAATTTATGAACCTATGGACATATCATTAAGAAAGAAAAAAATTATTAGTAAATTCCAAAAGTTAAAAGGAGTTGGAAAAAATTCCAACTAGAAAGAAAAAAAATGTTGGTTTCAATTAAGGTTTTTTTTTGGGTCCATTTTATATAAGAGCTTACTTATTCTTTTTCCAAATGTGCATTTATTATTTGCACAGATACATACAAATTATTCCCATTTTAAAAGCCACAATAAAAATATACATTAACCACAGAAGTACTTACTCTAACTGGAAAGAAAATGAACATGGCTATATTCAAAACAGCAATAAACACAAAAGGTCAACATATCTAAATCATGACAAGTATACATCTCAATTTTGACAAAAATGAGTTCCATTTTTACATTAATGCTTCATCAGCTTCTATATTAGATCCTCTGACCTTATTTATATTTACTATGAAATTTCTGTTAGCATGTGTCACTCAAAGGCACTCAACTCAGAGGGTGTAAAGTCCTGAGCTTAAGTAGGAAACAAAACTCCCAACTAAAATTTGCACACAAATAATTCCAAAGATCAGAGAGTATTAATGTTTAAAAGTATAATATCTGTTTTAAAAGTATTTAATGTTTAAAAGTATAATAATTTATTATAATATAATAAATATATAATAAATATATTTAAAAGTATAATAAATATTACATATATTTATGTAAATAATTCAAAAACTAATAATAAAGGTGTACAGACTGTCAAAGAAAAGACCATGTAAGGCAAGAAATATCCTTGGAATCAAACTGATTTTTCACTCATTCAAGATCATTTGAAGGTGTGAAGCTAACTTTCATTGTTCTTAAAATCCTAGGAAAGCCAAATTTAAAAAAATAGCATGACAATGCTTAAGTTTAAAAAAAGTTTCTCAGCTTAGTCTCCAAAACCAGGAAGAAAGCATTTAATGATTAAAAACACGTATGAACTGGAAAGATACCAGACTAAAAGGAGGAATCATAATAAGCCGGTTTAAAATATTAAAAGAAAGCTTTAAATGCACCAACTCAAAACAGCATTTCTAATTGGCCATCTAAATTATTCTTTTAGATTATTTTAGCCAAATAAAAATAAATTTACTGATGGATAACTGAGGTCCACTAACATAAGGTAGAAACAAAGTTTAAGCTAAAAATTAAATCTATATTTTGTTGCAGATAAATGTGAGATTTACCTACAGTAATTTTCTGCTGTTGCTAAATTAAAAGCATGAGTTGACATTGTACTAACAGAAATGGTTCGACAGATATTTTCTTGGCTTTAAAATGTTTTGTTCATATATGCAGAGAAATGCAATGAGGATAAGAATAATCTTCTGTATTGTCTGTACAGACATACCATCGTTAGTCACCTTAGATGTGAATATCAGTAGAGCCATTAAATTAAAGCTGGCCTAGAAAGTTTTCAAAGTGCTACTGTTTCCAACTGATGAGATCTTCAGTTTTCTGGATTTTCTGGGTGACGATTATTTTCAATTCTTTTCTCTGGCGATATATACAAGAAGTTACAGCAGATATATAAAGGGAAGGTCAGAAACCTGCTGTCCAAATTCATCACCACTTGTTCCTGATCCTTTTTAAGTATAAGTATTTGATAGCCAGTTGTTCTACTACATATTAGTTTTCCACTACTATCAAAAGAAGCCAAACGTAATCTAAATGCTATGCTCCTTTGAGGCTGTAAACTGACAGACCCGCTACATGGCTGATTCAGTGTATTGCGTTTGAAAATGACGCATCGATTGGTGTAAGTTACAAGTAGGTCAAAGCCGAAGTTAAAACCCGTCCAACACCAGCAGTATTCACCGTCTTTGGCAAGCTTTCTACCACACCTCATGCTATTTCCCTCCAGTTCTTCTTTATCGATTTCTTGAGGCCCTACCTCACTGTCTTGTTCGGCCCGCAGCATAGCAAACCACTGCTGTTTATACACAGAAGACAGCCATTCTGCAGGTACTATAGCATCTTGTTCAATAATTCTTGCAGAAGCCAGGTCACTGATAATATATTGTAACCTTAAATGTCTGAATACTGATACAAATGGTTTTCCTTGTTCAGTTTCAAGAAAGGCCATATCTTCAAAATCTTTTCTCTGTTTGGAAAACCAGACATCTGTTTCTGTCAAAAGCTGTTTTAAAGATCCATTCCAAGAAGGCACAAGTTGAAGAAACATCCACTTTTTTAGAGCGGTGTATACATCCATCTCCACTTGCATCACAAATAAGTTAGATGAACCAATGAGCTGTTTCATGACATTTATACTGAGTTCTTTAAAAAGTTTAACATTCTGGTGAGTCATCAAATTGTTTAGAAGCCATTCAAGGCACTTTTTCTTTACGGAATCTAATCCATAGGTCCCTACTGATGTGTAATAGCCACATACAGTTTTCACAGTAATTGTCTCCTTCATCGTCTCCCCACACTGCTGTATTAAACCATCCAACTGCAGCATACAAGCAGCTGCCAAAATGGCAACAACTCGACTGGGCTTTATCAGCACGTCATCTCGATACAGTGAACCAAACGCAACCTGCAGCGCTTCTACATCAATGTTCTGGTCAGGAATCTCCAGTTCAATAATATTCATGCTGGATTCTTTCCAAGAACCACTGAACATACTAGAAAAGTAGCCAGACTGACATAAATATATTTTGTGTAATCGCCATTCTTCTCCTAGAGCACAAATCTTAATGTCACTGTCTTCACCATTCAAAAATAATGTTTGATAAATATATTTGGATGTACTCCTTAATTTTTTCCTTGCAGGGATGTGGAGGAGAGGCTGCTGCTCGTCCCTCTCCTCCTCATCCTCGTCTCTCTCCGAGTCAGGGCGACAGTAGCGGAAGGCCCCGCTGCTCTTGTGACTGCCCGGGCAGTAACAGAAGCCGTAGCCCGCCGCAGGGTCTCCAGGGTCCGGCCTCCCGGCCAAGCCCCCCGCCCTGGCACCCTGCTCCTGCTGGGCAAGGGCTCGCCTCGGCTGGCGCAGCACCCGGCTGCTCGACGATCCCATGGGTCGCGGCTCCCGGGACTTCAGGGAGCCCGGAGGAGGGGGTGTCCCGCCACGGCCCGGCCGCCGCCGCCAGCCTTCCCCGAGCGCAGGTGCCTGCACCGCCAGCTTCTCACGCGCAGCCCAACCGTTGCAGCGGACGCTGCCGCCTCCATCCTCCGCACCCCTCCCCCACTACAGATATGTATATATTTTTGGAGACAGAGTCTCGCCCTGTCGCGCAGGGTGGAGCACGGTGGCTCGATCTCAGCTCACTGCAAGCTCCGCCTCCCGGGTTTAAGCGATTCTCCTGCCACAGCCTCCTGAGTAGCTGGATTACAGGCTCTCGCCACCACACCCGGGTAATTTTTGTAATTTTTTTTTTTTTTTGAGACGGAGTCTCGCTCTGTCGCCCAGGCTGGGGTGCAGTGGCCGGATCTCAGCTCACTGCAAGCTCCGCCTCCCGGGTTCACGCCATTCTCCTGCCTCAGCCTCCCGAGTAGCTGGGACTACAGGCACCCACCACCGCGCCCGGCTAGTGTTTTGTATTTTTTTTTTTTAGTAGAGACGGGGTTTCACCAGGTTAGCCAGGATGGTCTCGATCTCCTGACCTTGCGATCCGCCCATCACGGCCTCCCAAAGTGCTGGGATTACAGGCTTGAGCCACCGCGCCCGGCCTTTTTTTTTTTTTTGTAGCCAGAGTCTGGCTCTGTTGCCCAGGCTGAAGTGCAGTGGCGTGATCTCGGCTCACTGCAACCTCCACCTCCCGGGTTTAAGCAATTCTCCTGCCTCAGCCTCCCAAGTAGCTGGGATTACAGGCGCCTGCCACCACGACCGGCTAATATTTGTATTTTTAGTAGAGACGGGATTTCACCATGTTGCCCAGGCTGGTCTCGAACTCCTGACCTCAGGTGATCCGCCTGCCTTGGCCTCCCGAAGTGCTGGGATTACAGGCGTGAGCCACCGCCTCGGGCCTAAAAAAACTTTTTTTAGGGTGGTCTTGAACTCCTTGGACAGCATTCTTCATTGCTGGAAGCAATTCTCATCTGGCAGCCAAAACCAAGGTCCGTTTTAGAAGCACCACTTCCCCAGGAGCAAAGGTTTATTTGTGGGACCCGACAAAGGCAAATGTGTGTGCCAGGTGCTTGAGCCTAACCAGTCCAATGTAAATTTGTGACCAGGCACGAAAATAAAATAAAATAATAAAATAGGCCAGGCTCAGTGGCACACACCTATAATCCCAGCACTTTGGGAGGCTGAGATGGGTGGATCACTTGAGGTCAGGAGTTTGAGACCAACCTGACCAACATGGTGAAACCCCATCTCTACGAATAATATAAAATTTAATTGGGTGTGGTGGCGCACACCTGTAATCCCAGCTTTTCAGGAGGCTGAAATGGAGAATTGCTTGAAACCAGGAGGCAGAGGTTGCAGTGAGCCAAGAGCTCGCCATTGCACTGCAGCCTGGGTGACAAGAGCAAAACTCCGTCTCCAAAAAAATAATAAGATAAAATAAAGAGTTGAAGTCAAGCCAGGCATGGTGACTCACACCTGTAATCCCAGCACTTTAGGAGGCCGAGGTGGGTGGATCACGAGGTCAGGAGTTCGAGACCAGCCTGGCCAATATGGTGAAAATGACCATGGCTGGGTGGAGTGATGACTGCAGCTGGTCTGGGAAGGCAGAAGCAAGCAGAGGGCCAGGGCAGGATGGGCAGGGATTCTCTGTGGGGAAGATCTGTGGAGACGGGGCAGCAGGATTAGGATGTTAGAATCGAGGAGGCTTTTGTCCCTGGGGGATGGCGTGGAGAAGCGGGGCATGGGCCTGGAAATTTGGCCTGCAGCCTATCCTCACCAGGCCATCTGGAAGCTACTTGTTGGGAACCCTGTGTGTGTAAAGGGCTGACCCAGGCCCAGACCCGGGGGAGCTGGAAAAGGGCACACACGGAGACCACCTGAGAGGCGTGCTGGAACTGCTTGGCCAGTCCTGGGGGACGGGATGGCTGGGGCGTGTGGGTGTCTTCCTGCAAGAAAACAGGACTTGATGAGGAAGGTGGGAGGCTGTTTCAGGCAGATGGAGGTCTGTGCTGCTAGAGCAATGGAGGAGTCACCACCATGCGGGGCTCCACCTTTGTCGCAGTGGGGGCAGAGATTGGTGAGGGGCATCAGGGCCAGATACATAGGTGTGAGGAACCCTAGATGGACCAGTGCTGCAGGGGGAGGTGGTGCCATGCCAGGGAGGTGGATAGGATGCTGGACACAAGTGAAGAGCAACCAGCCCTGGTGGCTTCCTCAAACCTGCGTGAGTGCCTGCCCCATTCCCAGATGAAGAAAGCAGAGGTTTCAATAGGAAAAGTGACTTGTCCTAAATCCCAGAGCTGCAAAGTCAGGAAGTTCAGCCTCCTGATTCCAAAGGCAAATCTGGAGTTTCTGTTGGAGTTAAGGGGCCAGGTGAATGGTCTGTGTTAACAAAACAAACAAACAAACAAAACTCTGTAAAATATTTAAAGAAGTTTATTCTCAGCTGATGTGAGTGACCATGGCCTGGGGTACAGTCTCAAGAGGTCCTTAGAAAGTGTGCCTGAGATGGTTGGGTTACAGTTTGGCTTTATACATTTTAGGGAGACAGAGGTTACAAGCAAATACATCAATCAATACATAGAAGGTGCACATTGGTTCGGCCTCTAAGGGCAGGACAACTCCGGGGGCTTTACAGGTCATAGGTGATTCAGAGGTTTTCTGATTGGCAATTGGTTGGAAAAGTTAAGCTGTGTCTAAAGAGTTGAAGTGGCTGGGTACAATGACTCACGTCTGGAATCCCAGCACTTTGAGAGGCTGAGGAGGATGGCTTGATCCCAGGAGTTTTAGACAAGCCTGGGCACCACAGTGAGACCTGGTGTCTACAAAAAAATTTTAAAAATTACTTGGGCATGGTGATGTGTACTCGTAGTCCCAGCTACTCGGGAGGCTGAGGCGGGAGGGTTACTTCATCCTAGGAGGTCAAGCCTATGGTGAGCCATGACTGTAGCGCTGCATTCCAACTGGGGGGACAGAATGAGACCCTGTCTCAAAAATAAAATAAAATAAAATAGGCTGGGCACAGTAGCTCACACCTGTAATCCCAGCACTTTGGGAGGCCATGGTGGATGGATCACTTGATGTCAGGAGTTCGAGACCAGACTGGCCAATATGGTGAAACCCCATCTCTACTAAAAATACAAAAATTAGCCAGGCATGGTGGCGGGCATCTGTAGTCCCAGCTACTTTGGAGGCTGAGGCAGGATAATCGCCCGAACCTGTGAGGCGGAGGTTGCAATGAGCCAAGATCGCACCATTGCACTCCAGCCTGGGCGACAAGAATGAAATTCCATCTCCAAAAAAAATACTAATAATAAGATAAAATAAAATAAAGAGTTGAAGTCAAGCCAGGCATGGGGGCTCACGCCTGTAATCCCAGCAGTTTGGGAGGCCGAGGAGGGCAGATCACGAGGTTAGGAGTTTGAGACCAGCCTGGCCAATATGGTGAAACCCCATCTCTACTAAAACTACAAAAATTAACTGGGTGTGGTGGCAGGCATCTGTAGTCTCAGCTACTCTGGAGGCTGAGGCAGGAGAATCGCTTGAAACCAGGGAGGTGGAGGGTGCACTGCACTCCAGCCTGGGCAACAGAGCAAGATTCCATCTCAAAAAAAAAAAACAGAGTTGAAGTCAGTGGGAAGAAATGCTTAAGATAAGGGGGTTGTGGAAGCTGAGGTTCTTGTTACGTAGATGGCCTCCAGGTAGCAACCCTGAGAATAGATAGTGAATGTCTCTTTTCAGACCTTCAAAGGTTTCAGACTCTCATTGAATCTCTCCTAAATCTGAGAAAGTCCTGGCTGAATTAATGGAAATTCTCTACAGATGCAAATTTCCCCCACAGGAGACAGCTTTGCAGGGCCATTTCAAAATATTGTCAAATAAATATATTTTGGGGTAAAGTATTTTGATTTCCTTCAGGGTCTGCTATCTGTTATGTGATGTTGTACCAGAGTCAGGTAGAAATTTGGCATCTTATTGCTATAAAAAGCCTGTTTTGAGCCGGGCATGGTGGCTCACGCCTGTAATCTCAGAACTTTGGGAGGCTGAGGCGGGTGGATCACCTGAGGTCAAGAGGTCAAGAGTTTGAGACCAGCCTGGCCAACATAGTGAAACCCCATCTCTACTAGAAATACAAAAAATTGGCCGGGCGCGGTGGCTCAAGCCTGTAATCCCAGCACTTTGGGGGCCGAGACGGGCGGATCACGAGGTCAGGAGATCGAGACCATCCTGGCTAACACAGTGAAACCCCGTCTCTGCTAAAAAATACAAAAAACTAGCCGGGCGTGGTGGCGGGCGCCTGTAGTCCCAGCTACTTGGGAGGCTGAGGCAGGAGAATGGCGTGAACCCGGGAGGCGGAGCTTGCAGTGAGCTGAGATCTGGCCATTGCACTCCAGCCTGGGTGGCAAAGCGAGACTCCGTCTCAAAAAAAAAAAAAAAGAAATACAAAAAATTAGCTGGATGTGGTAGTGGGCGCCTGTAGTCCCAGCTATGCAGGAGGCTGAGGCAGGAGAATCACTTGAATCCGGGAGCCAGAGGTTGCAATGAGCCGAGATCATGCCATTGCACTCCAGCCTGGGCAACAAGAGTGAAACTCTGTCTTAAAAAAAAAAAAAAATCTGTTTTGTGTCTTATGATCTCTATTTTATTTATTTTAAAAATAATTTATTTTATTTTTGAGACAGAGTTTCACTCTTGTTGCCCAGACTGGAGTGCAATGACGCTATCTTGGCTCACTGTAACCTCCACATCCCAGGCTCAAGCAATTCCTGTGCTTCAGCCTCCCAAGTAGCTGAGATTACAGGCATGTGCCACTATGTCCGGGTAATTTTTTGAATTTTTTGTAGAGATGGGGTTTCATCATGTTGGCCAGGTTGGTCTCGAACTCCTGACCTCAAGTGATCCACCTGCCTTGGCCTCCCAAACTGCTGGGATTACAGGAATGAGCCACCATGCCTGGATAGAATAAATATTTTATGCTTTGGGCCAACAGGCAAAATCGAGGGTATTAAGTAGGTAAGTACGTAACAAGAAATAAAACAAAATTCCATAATTTGGGGGGATTGTTATTGACAGAACGTAAAAGTTAATTTATGGATGCTGAAAGTGGAGTTTCATACAATTTTTATGTGTTATGAAATATTATTATTTTGATTATTTATTTATTTTTGAGATAGAGTCTTGCTCTGTTGCCCAGGCTGTGATCTCAGCTCACTGCAACCTCTGCCTCCCAGGTTCAAGCGATTCTCCTGCCCCAGCCTCACAAGTAGCTGGAATTACAGGCATGTGCCACCACACTCGGCTAATTTTTTTGTATTTTTAGTAGAGATGGGGTTTCACTATGTTGACCAGGCTAGTCTTGAACTCCTGATCTCAAGTGATCTGCCTGCCTCGGCCTCCCAAAGTGCTGGGATTACAGGCATGAGCCACTGCACTCAGCCTGATTTTTTTTTCAATGATTTAAAAATGTAAAAATCATTATTTGTTCAGGGATCATATAAAATCAAGCAGTAAGCAAAATTTGGGCTATGGGCAATAGTTTGCCAACCTCTGGTCTAGATCTGCCCTGTTCATCATAGTAGCCCCTGGCTACCTGCAGCTACTGAGTACTTGAAATGTGGCCAGGGACACTCACGATGGCTCACACCTGTAATCTCAGCACTTTTGGAGGTTAACGTGGGAGGACTGCTTGAACCCAGGAGTTTCAAGTTACAGAGAACTATGATTTCAACACTGCATCCCAAACCTGGGTGACAGGGAAAGAAAGAAAAAGAGAGAGAGAGAGAGAGAGAGAGAGAAGGAGGAGGAAGAGGAGAAGGAGAAACAGAGAAAAGAAAAAGAGAAAGAAAGAAGAGAAAGAAAGAAGGAAAGAACATAAGAAAGAAGAAAGGAAGGAAAAAGAAAGAGAGAAAAAGAAACAAAAGAAAGGAAGAAAAAGAGAGGGAGGCAGGGAGAAAGGGAGGAAGGAAGGGAAGGGAGGAAGGAGGGAAGGGAGGGAGGAAGAGAGAAAGGAATGTGGCTGTACTGGATTAAAATATGCTTAGGTGTGGCCGGGCACGGTGGCTCACTCTTGTAATCCCAGCACTTTGGGAGGCCAAGGTGGGTGGATCACGAGGACAGGAGATGGAGACCATCCTGGCTAACAAGGTGAAACCCCGTCTCTACTAAAAATAATACAAAAAATTAGCCGGGCGTGGTGGTGGGTGCCTGTAGTCCCAGCCACTGGGGAGGCTGAGGCAGGAGAATGGTGTGAACCTGGGAGGTGGAGCTTGCAGTGAGCCAAGATTGTGCCCCTGCACCTCCAGCTTGGGCGGCAGAGCGAGACTCTGTCTCAAAAAAAAAAAAAAAAAAAAAAAAAAAAAAAAAAAAAGCTTAGGTGTAAAATACACACTAGATTTTGAAGACAGTATAAAAAACAAAATATCCCAATAACTTTTTATTATATTTTGGATATCTCAGAATAAGTAAAATATATTACTAAAATTAACTTCACCCCCCAGTTTTTTATTTTTATTTTTTATTTTACTTTTTTTTACTTTGTCTTAGTCCACTTTCTGTTGTTTGAATATCTGAGACTCGATAATTTTGAAAGAAAAGAGGTTTATTTAGCTTATGGTTCTGCAGGCTGGGAAGTTCAAGATTGGACAGCTGCATCTGGTAGCTTCTGGTGAGGGCTTTGTGCTGCATCAAAACATGGCAGAGAAATGGAAGGCGGACCAGGTGCATGGGGGAAAGGAGGAAAACATGAGACGCGACCTTGCTTGATGACAACCCAACTCTAAAGGTAACTGATCCAGACCCAAGAGAGTGAGAACTCGCTTCTGGGGGACTCTGCATGAATATCTTGTCATGAAGGCAGATCCCTCATGATCCAAACATCCCTGAAAGGTCCCCCACCTGTCAATGCCATTATATTGGCAATTACATTTCAACATGAGTTTTGGTAGGAACAAACCACATCCAAACCATAGCATCTTCCCACTGTTGAGTCACTTTTTAATGTGGCTATTAGAACAATTTAAATGATACATGTGTTTGCACTTGTGGCTTGCATCTGTATCTGGTATACAGTGCTGCTCTACTAGTGAAGCTGGAGCGCCCAGAGTGAGATGACCCCAATTTGCCTTGGGGGAAGTGGAAGGGTGTGGCCTGGTGTTCAGCAGTGGGGTGTGGGGTCACAGAGGGACAGCCGGATTTCACTAAGGTGACGTGGAGGGGCAGGGCTCCGGGAGGCACACACTGAGGGGCCTTCTGCAGCAGCGAGTTGAGGGAGCGGTGTGGGCTTTGCGGGTAGGGACTGAGCTGTTTGTGGGGTATCTGTAAGAGGCTGTGCAGCAAGCCAGGTGGCAAGAAGCAAGATGTTGGCTGGGCATGGTGGTGCATGCCTGTAATCCCAGCACTTCGGGAGGCCAAGGCAGGAGGGTTGCTTGAGGCCGGGAGTTTGAGACCAGCCTAATCAACATAGTGAGACCATGTTTCTATATAAATAAATAAATAATAAATAAATAAATAAATAAATAAAATTTTAAAAGCAAGATGTTGCCAAGCAATTGACCAGGTGGTGAGTATGAGAGAGCCCCTGCCCTGAGGGCCTTCCATCTCTCACCCACCTGGATCAGCACACAGCATGTCCTTGTCTTCCACTCCAAGCCTACATCCTGGCCCCTACTGGAGAAGGGTTCTGACCAGTTCACTGGCAGAATGTGAAAACCGTATGTTAAGACATCCATGACATGAAGCCCTAACAAGCCAAGAATCCTTTGTTTTCACAGCAGAAGGCCTCTGGCTCTTTCCCTGTGTTGACTGGAGGCTGAGTCTCTGTCCTCGACACCCCACCCGCTGCTGCCTCCTCTGCCCTGCCTGGGGAGCCCTGCCCCGTCTGGCCCTGTGCTGGGAACAGCCAGAGCTGGGGCTTCTTGCGCTTCCTGTTCACACCCACGGAACCAGCTTTGCCTTCCCCTCTGCTGTGCAGGGAGAAGGGAGGTGGGAGGTGCGGAGGGGATGGTCCTGTCTGTGGCTTCCTGCTTCTCGGCTGGCAGGAGGAAGGCAGGTTTTCTGTGTCTGTGTCTCTGTGGTCTTTCAGGCTCAGCACTTGGGTAGGAAGATGAAAACCTCGGAGTGCCCTTGTCTCTTTCCCTCGGGTCTGATCAGACCAAAGCCTTGTGTGGTGGAGGAGCTGAAAGGACGTGGCACGGGGAGGCTGGCAGCCCGGCGCTGCTCGGCTCACTTTTCCCTCTGCCAGCCTTTGTTACCAAGGGGTTTGGACTTGATCTTGCAAATGGATCATCTCTTGATCCTTCTCTAGCCTCTAGGGACAAATATACTAGAAGAAATGGTCATGACAATTGGTGCCACCAGCAGGAGGGATAGCCAGGAAGCAAGGGTTGGAATGGTTTCTCCTTGAGAGAAGCAAGCCTCTGAGTCCAAGGCCCTCCACCAAGCGGTTCTGGTCCGGTGCTCCAGCCTCACCACCCGTCCTGCGCCATGCATGGAGTTGGGGTTGTAACCACACACAAACACAGCGTCCTGCCAACGCACCCTCCTCAAGGTCTCTCATCATCCCTCCTTCCCATCTCCTCCACTGGAGCACGGCCACAGCAGTATTCACTGACTTCCAGTTTCCTGCGGGATAAATCTGAACCCTTTGTCGTGGCACCCAAAGTCCTTGCCCAGCCGCGCAGTCCCAGCTCCTCTTCATCGTGTGCGGCAACTTGTTCTCCAAGCAGCCTCTGCTTTCTCAGGCTTAGAAGCTGAGCTGCGCCATCTCCTCTGCCTGCGCCCTTCTTTCCCGTCTCTGCTGGAGAACCCCTGCTCAGCCTCAGTAAAGATGTTTAAGGGACAGTTATGCATGAGGGTTTAGAGTTCAGAGACCCAGTCTGTCCTGGAGGTCAAGGGCATGTTGTTGGCAATTGAAGCCTCAACAATTCAATCGAGTGAATACATGAGTGAATACATGAACTGTTGCGGAATCAGAAACTGAGGCTCAAGCTGGGCACGGTGACTCACGCCTATAATTCCAGCACTTTGGGAGGCTGGGGTGGGCGGATCACCTGAGGTCAGGAGTTTGCGACCAGCCTGCTAATATGGTGAAACCCCGTCTCTACTAAAAATACAAAAATTAGTCAGAGATGGTGGTGGGCACCTGTAATCCCAGCTACTTGGGAGGCTGAGGCAGGAGAATCGCTTGATCTTGGGAGACGGAGGTTGCAGTGAGCCGAGATGGTGCCACTGCACTCCAGCCTGGGTCACAGAGTAAGACCCCGTCTGAAAAAAAAAAAAAAAGAAAGAAAGAAAAAAAGAAACTAAGGCTCAAAGAAAGAGCCCGCAGGTCCACACTGACCTAGTTGCAATGCGAAGACATAAACATAAAGAGCCTCTTTTAGGAGCCACTGCTGCCTCTCAGAGGGCGACAGGCATTTCCCAGTTTAATAGGCTTTCTCTCCACCTAATCTGCAGTAGTGAGTCCTAAAATCTGTCCCTGTCGCAATGACCGGTGCCTAGAATGCTTTATAAAACTGAGAGTCCAGCCCCAGGGGTCAGGGAGTCTGAAGTTTCAAAAACTACACAGGAGATCGTGTTGCAGACGAGGCTGGGCCCCTGTGTGAGCTGTGCCCACTATGCAGCTTTGTGAGCTCTCGAGGAAACTGGGAGGATGAGGGTTTGTATGGGAACCACAGAACAGGGCTCTAGCCATTTCTGATTGGTTTCTGAAGGACGGAGGCTGCCTCTGAGACTCAGCAGGGCGTGGGGTAGCTGTTGCAAGAAAGTGTGATTTTAGGGAGGCTGCCCCAGGTTGTCTCTCCAGATCTCTTACTTGCCTGTTTCAAGGATTTGACTTGAGATATATTTTGAGATATGTTGTTGTGGGGTGGCTGGGGGCCGGTGGCGGGGGAGGGGGTGTCAGCAGGCAAAGGAATGTTACCTTGGATGCTTCCACTGTTGCTGCTGTTGGCAGTCACAGCAGCTCTCACTTACAGCGGGCGCGGTTCTCAACCCGTAGCAGCCGTCCTCCCATAGCGCTGCAGGACTGTGGAGAGACAGGTGCCATCCTCTTTTTGTTTTAAGATGAAGTAGGTTGGGAGTGGTGGCTCATGCCTGTAATCCCAGCCCTTTGGGAAGTTAAGGCAGGCAGATGGCTTGAGCCCAGGAGTTCGAGACTAGCCTGGGCAACACAGGAAGACCCTGTCTCTAGCTAAATAAATAAACAAGCTGAGTGTGACGGCGCACGCTTGTAGTCCCAGCTAAATGGGAGGCTGAGGCGGGAGGATCACGTGAGCCCAGGAGGTCAAGGCTTCGGTGAGCCGTGATCACATCACTGCACTCAGAGCAAGACCCTGTCTCAGAAAAAATGTAAAAAAAGATGAAGAAGCTGAACTTCATGGAGGTCTGCTTAGGGATCCACATCTCAGATGCTTTTGGTCAATGGGAATAGGTTTAGTGGGGTCCTGGAGGAAGACATTAGAACATGGTGGGGGCTGGGTTCAGCTGGACAGTGCCTGCCTCATCCACTGGGGGTCACTGTGACTCAGCTCCTGCTGATTCTGGACATAAGAGACTGTGGCCCAATGTCACCTTAGCTAACAATTTTTCAAAAGTAACTGGACATACAACCTTGTGTAGAAATAATCTGGCAGGGCGTGGTGGCTCACACCTGTAATCCCAGCACTTTGGGAGGCTGAGGCGGGCGGATCATGAGGTCAGGAGTTCGAAACCTGCATGGCCAATATGATGAAACCCTTTCTCTACTAGAAATACAAAAATTAGCGTGGTGGTGCATGCTTGTAATCCCAGCTACTTGGGAGGCTAAGGCACAAGAATCGCTTGAACCCAGGAGGTGAAGGTTTTAGTAGTGAGCCAAGATCATACCACTGCACTCCAGCCTGGGCAACACAGTGAGACTCCATCTAATACACACACACACACACACACACACACACACATATATATGAAAGAAATGTCACAATCCATAAATGTTGGCAAACAATTTTTTCAAATGAGCCAAACACTGCGTAGGACTGGGTGAAGTGGTGTGCGTTTCAGCTGCTAGGAAGGTTGAAGCGGGAGGATCACTTGAGGTCGGTAGTTTAAGGCTACACTGAGCTGCAATCACGCCTGTGAACAGCTACTGCACTACAGCCTGGGCAACCTCTCTCAAAAACAAAAACAGAACAAAACACTGTATAGAGCAAGCAAGTGGGTCCAAGAGGCAACTTTGGTCCACAAGGTGCTGGTTTGAAAGAAGAGGGGGGGGCTAGCTGTAGACTTGGGGCGAGGGGGTGGACGAGGTCAGGAGATCGAGACATCCGGCTAACATGGTGAAACCGTCTCTAAAAAATACAAAAAAAAACTAGCGGGTGGGGGGGGCGTGTCCAGCTTGGGGCTGAGGGGGAGATGGCGTGAACTGGAGGCGGAGCTTGAGTGAGCGATGGTGATGCTGGGGCGAGACTCCGTCTCAAAAAAAAAAAAAAAAAAAAAAAAAGAGTATTAGATTAGTTTGTTTTCACATTGCTATAAGGAAATATCTGAGGCTCAGTAATTTATAAAGGAAAGAGGTGTAACTGACTCAGTTCTGCGCGCGGGGAGCCCTCAGGAAACTTACAATCGTGGCGGAAGGCACCTCTTCACATGGCAGCAGGAGAGAGAGAGTGAGTGCCAGCAGGGGAAATGCCAGATGTTTATAAAACCATCAGATCTTGTGAGAACTCACTCTCTATCACGAGAACAGCATGGGGGAACCGCCCCCACGATTCAATGACCTCCTACCAGATCCCTCCTATGACAAAAGGAGATTATGGGGATTGCAATTCAAGATGAGATTTGGGGCTGGGCACAGTGGTTCACGCCTGTAATCCCAGCACTTTGGGAGGCCGAACTCCTGAGGTCAGGAGTTTGAGATCAGCCTGGACAACACAGTGAAACCCCATCTCTACTAAAAGTACAAAATTAGCCAGGTGTGGTGGCGCATGCCTGCAATCCCAGCTACTCGGGAGGCTGAGGTCTGAGAATCGCTTGAACCCAGGAGGCAGAGGTTGCAGTGAGCTGCGATCATGCCACTGCACTCCAGCCTGGGCAACAGAGCAAGACTCTGTCTCAAAAAAAAAAGAAAAAGAAAAAGGAAAAAAAAAGATCTTGTATTCATTCTGCAGGCACTGGGGTGGAAACCGTAGGAGTCAGGGTGGAGGAGAAAGACCCGATGCAGGGTCTCAGGGCACTCACAGTCAATGGCAATAGTGTGGCCCATGTTCTGAGGGGCACCCTTCCTTGGGGCATGACCAAACACTTCCCATAGGAGGAGGAGGAAGTCTGCTGGGTGCTGTGTTCAGTTTCTGGGGCTGCTGTGATTAAGTGCTGCAAACCGAGTGGCTTACAGCAACCCAGCTGTATTCTCTCTCAGTTCTTGAGGCTGGAAGTCTAAAATTAAGCTGCCAGCCGGGCCCATGCTCCTTCTGAAAGCTTCAGGGGAGGGTCTTTGCCCCTCTCCTAGCTTCTGGTGTTGCCGGCAATCCTTAGTGTTTCTTGGCTTGTAAATGCATCACTGCAATCTCTGCCTCCGTTGCCATGTGGCATTTTTCCTGCGTGGCTGTCTGTCTTTCCCCCTCTTAAGTCCACCAGTCATATGGGAGCAGGGTGGGCCTTTCATCCTCATACTCCAGTTTGACCTCATCTTAACTTGATTCCACCTGAAAAGACTATTTCCAAGTAAGGTTACATTCAGAGGCACCAGGAGTCAGGATTTGAACATATCTTTTTTTTTTTTTTTTGAGACGGAGTCTCGCTCTGTCGCCCAGGCTGGAGTCAGTGGCGCGATCTCGGCTCACTGCAAGCTCCGCCTCCCGGGTTCACGCCATTCTCCTGCCTCAGCCTCCCGAGCAGCTGGGACTACAGGCGCCACCACCACGCCCAGCTAATTTTTTGTGTTTTTAATAGAGACAGCGTTTCACCGTGTTCGCCAGGATGGTCTCGATCTCCTGACCTCATGATCTGCCTGCCTCGGCCTCCCAAAATGCTGGGATTACAGGCGTGAGCCACCGCGCCCGGCCGTGAACATGTCTTTTGTGGGGGCACACAATTCAACCACAATGTGTACAGTACGTAGGTGACTGTTCCAGGTAGAGGGAACAGCAGGTGCGAAGGCCCAAAGGCAGGAGGGCACTGGTGTGTTCCAGCAAGTAAAAGAAATTCAGCACAGCTGGAGTGGGGTGGCAAGGAGGTGCAGCTGAGGCGGCTCATGCTGGACCTTACAGGCCAGTTGGGAGGGTCAGGATAGGCCAGGCCACAGTTTGGAGGAAAAAAAAAATCCCAAATCTCAGTGCCAGGCCCAGTACAGGTTCATTTTCAGCTTGTGTCAAATCTGATGTGGGTTGAACAGCTCTTCTCCATAAGGTAGCTCAGCCATATAGAACACATGGTCGCGGGGGGAAGGGAAGTCTGGAGAAGGCCCCCAGTCTCCATCGCCCCAGCCTGAAAGGGACTCCTCCACTCACAGACCACACAGCAAGGGAGGCAGCAAGGCGGGGACACAGATTCCTGGGAGCCCCCACTGTCTCTCCCACTCATATTCACCCGAAGCCAAGGCTAAGACTTCATCCTCACAGCACTGGGAAGTCAGCCAGGGTTTTCACACAGAGGTAGTGACGAGATGGGACTTGCATTTTAAATTTTTCCTTTTTTCACTGTAGCTCTCAGATCGTATGACTTGTGTTTTAGAAAGATTCCTCTGGCGAGAGGACTGCCCTGAAGCAGGGGAGCTGGACTTTGTCTGCTGGAGTGTGGGAAGTGGCTGCGGCGGGAGTTGGCCACAGCAGAGGCACAATATATTTGTAGTTAACTCATGCAACTTCCACCTTGCAGGCTCAGCCAAAAAACAAACGGAAAAAAAGAATGTGAGAAAAATTAATTCATGTAATTAAAAAACGATCCAAAAGTATTTTGTGTATGTCCTTTCCCACATTGCAGATTGTCCACATTTTATGCGTATATTCTGAATAGCCCAAACCCGGGGAGTGTGTACTCTATGGGCCTTTTAAGAGATTTTCAGGGGTAACTGAGCTCCTGGTTGACTTGAGAACCTCGCTGTCATGGAAGTGCTCTCTACTCAGGGTCTGTAACTGGACCTAATAACAAGAGTAGGGAGGCCTGTGTGAAAAGGACTTCCTACTGTTTCCCAAACAGTGTGGTGTCTTGCCTCTGGCAGAAACACCCTTGGATACAATATGAAGGCTTTATTTATTTTATTTTATTTTATTTTTTTGAGACAAAGTCTCGCTGTGTCACCCAGGCTGAAGTGCAGGGGCCCAATCTCGGCTCACTGCAAGCTCTGCCTCACTGCAAGCTCTCCCTCACTGCAAGCTCCGCCTCCCGAGTTCACACCATTCTCCTGCCTCAGACTTCTGAGTAGCTAGGACTACAGGCGCCCCCCTCCAACGCCCAGCTAATTTTTTGTATTTTTTAGTAGAGACGGAGTTTCACCGTGTTAGCCAGGATGGTCTCGATCTCCTGACCTCGTGATGCACCCACCTCGGCTTCCCAAAGTGCTGGGATTACAGCCATGAGCCACTGTGCTCAGTCCGGCATTTTTTATTTTTTGCTGAGTCTGACCCCTACCTGCCTGTAGTTCTTTCTAGTTTATGAAGTATTTTTTTTTTTTTTTTTTTGAGACGGAGTCTCGCTCTGTCGCCCAGGCTGGAGTGTAGTGGCGCGATCTCCGCTCACTGCAAGCTCCGCCTCCCGGGTTCACGCCATTCTCCTGCCTCAGCCTCCCGAGTAGCTGGGACTACAGGCACCCCACCTCACCCGGCTAATTTTTTTGTATTTTTAGTAGAGACGGGGTTTCACCATGTTCGCCAGGATGGTCTCGATCTCCTGACCTTGTGATCCGCCCGCCTCGGCCTCCCAAAGTGCTGGGATTACAGGCGTGAGCCACAGCGCCCGGCCGTTTATGAAGTATTTTTTAAGCCATTACATTATTTGAGCTTCAGGATTATTATTTATTTATTTATTTAGAGACAGAGTCTTGCTGTGTCACCCAGGCTGGAGTATAGTGGTGCGATCTCGGCTCACTGCAACCTCCACCTCCCAGGTGGGAGGTTGTGCCTCAGCCTCCCGAGTAGCTGGGACTACAGGCCTGGGCCACCATGCCCAGACTTTTTTTTGTATTTTTAGTAGAGATGAGGTTTCACTGTGTTGCCCAGGCTGGTCTCAAACTCCTGGCCTCATGGGATTCTCCTGCCTCGGCTTCCCAAAGCGGTGGGATCACAGGCGTGAGCCCCCACGCCCAGCTGAGCCTCAGAATAAATTAGATCTCCTTTTGGAGATCTAATTTAGATCAAGGAACTCAGAAGCTCAGACATACCTTGTCCCACAGTAGCCAGGAGACCTGGAAACCATCCCCAGTGTGGAGTTGGACCTGTTGGTTTTGTGGCCACAGTTTTAGCTGTGGTTTCAGTGTTCTTGTGTATAAAATATGAGTAACTGCACAAAGCTATTTTGAAGCTCCAATAAAGCAAGGTTGGTGAAAGCATTTTGTAAACTGCTAAGCGCTGTCCAAATGTTGCGTCCTCAGACTTTACATGTCACTGAAAGTGTTTGAGTCGTGCTAAAGGAATCCAGGTGGAAGATTAAGGGAATTTGCAGTAATGTCCTTGGGCTGCACCTACACTATTTGACTTTGAACTTAATTTCCTGAATTACCTTCACTGCTTGGGGAGCTGTGCCCATCATCTCCTGCAAGCCACAGCCCTGGCCCTCATTTCTGTGGGTTGGCAAGGGCTGGGGTGGAGGTGGGGTGAGCAGTTTGTTAGAGACCTCCCTGAAAGCCTTGCTGCTAGATCTCAGTGACATGAGTAAGGTTGTGTGGAAATATGTGACTTCCTGTTATGGAATCTAGCCTGGGAGAGTGAAGAGTGGCCTTGGGGTGAACCAGAGGGCACTTGCTTGCCTGGGTACGGGTATCCCAGCTCCACCTGATTGTTACCTTAGGGGAATGCCGTGCAGTGTGAGCTAAATCTTCAGACTTTCCTAGAGAAGTCTGAAGTCCATGTATTTTCATCTTTCCTCCTCAGGGCAACTCCACTGCCTGGGTGGAGTTAGTGCCTGAGTTGGTTGTGGAGCTTTGGGCCGCTGCTCTTGACTTCAGTTTTCTCATTTAAAATTGGTGATCCACCTGAGGTCAGGAGTTTGAGACCAGCCTGGTCAACATGGTGAAACCCTGTCTCTACTAAAAATACAAAAATTATTGGCGTGATGCATCTGTAGTCAGACCAGGAGGCTGAGCAGGAAATCACTGAACCAGACGGAGATTGCAGTGAGCTGAGATTGCGCCACTGTACTGCAGCCTGGGTGACAGAGCGAGACCCCGTCTCAAAAAAAAAAAAAAAAAAAATTGGTGATCCAGCTGGGCAACATAGGGAGACCCTGTGTTTACAAAAAATTCACTTGGCATAGGGGCCACACTTGTGGTTCCAGCTACTTGGGAGGCTGAGGCAGGAGGCTCAATTGAGCCTGGGAGGTTGAAGCTGCAGTGAGCCGTGTTGGTGCCACTGGACTCCAGCCTGGGTTACAGAGCAAAACCTTGTGTCAAAAAATAAAATACTAAAAATAAAATTGGGGACGGTACCACCTTACTTGGGTTGTTAAGACACAGTAAAGAAAATGCAATGCCCAGTCCACCACACTGGTCCTGGCTGCAGGAATCCACTGGAAACGCTAGCTGCTTGAGTTCTGGGTTGCAATTTGGTAACCTGCAGGCTTGGAGGTTGTAATCCTGCTTGCCTTGGGGCCTGCCACCCATATGATTAAAAGGAATAACGGGATTACCCAGGCCTTTAAAGTTTTGTGGTCAAGGAGATAATATAAAGGAGTTTTGTGTATTAGGAAGAGAACAATGCCCCCGCCCTGTCCTTTACCTCGTGAGTTCACGAGTGTTGTGTTTAAAAAAAAAAAAAAAAAAGGCCGGACGCAGTGGCTCTTGCCTGTAATACCAGCACTTTGGGAGGCCAAGGCGGGTGGATCACTTGAGGTCAGGATTTCAAGATGGGCATGGCCAACATGGTGAAACCCCATCTCTACTAAAAAAATACAAAAAATTAGCCGGGGGTGGTAGCGGGTGCCTGTAATCCCAGCTACTCGGGAGGCTGAGACAGGAGAATCGCTTGAACCCGGGAGGTGGAGGTTGTGGTGAGCCGAGATCGCGCCATTGCACTCCAGCCTGGGCGACAGAGTGGGAAAAAAAAAAAAGTTTCAACAAAAATAAATGGCGCCGAGCGAGGTGGCTTAGCCTGTGATCCCAGTACTGTGGGAGGCCGTGGTGGGCAGATCTCTTGAGTTCAGCATTTGCGACCAGCCTGGGCGACAGGGCAAGACCCCTGTCTCAAACGAAGACGAAACATAGGCCGGGCGCGGTGGCTGCGTGTAATCCCAGCACTTTGGGAGGCCGAGGCGGGTGGATCACCTGAGGTTAGGAGTTCAAGACCATCCTGGGCAACATGGCGAATCCCTGTCTCTACTAAAATATAAAAATTAGCCGGGCGCGGTGGCTCAAGCCTGTAATCCCAGCACTTTGGGAGGCCGAGACGGGCGGATCACGAGGTCAGGAGATCGAGACCATCCTGGCTAACACGGTGAAACCCGTCTCTACTAAAAAAAATACAAAAAACTAGCCGGGCGAGGTGGCGGGCGCCTGTAGTCCCAGCTACTCGGGAGGCTGAGGCAGGAGAATGGCGTGAACCCGGGAGGCGGAGCTTGCAGTGAGCTGAGATCCGGCCACTGCACTCCAGCCTGAAAAAAACAAAAAAACCAAAAAAAAACAAAAATTAGCCGGAGGTGGTGGCGGGCGCCTGTAATCCCAGCTACTCAGGGACGCTGAGGCGACAGAATCGCTTGAACCCGGGGCGGGAGGAGGTTGCAGTGAGCCGAGATTGCCTCCAGCCTGGGCGACAAGAGCAAGACTCCATCTAAAAAAAAAAAAAAAAAAAAAGAAAGGAAGAAAAAGACAAACGATTTAAAGGAAAAATGTAAGTAAACAAAAGTACAAATGCGATGTCAATCGTTAAGGTGGTGCCAGGGGACCGAGGATCGGGAAACACCAAGGTCTCATAGTCCCTGCAGGGCATCTCGGGGGGAGGCGACGGACAGGTCGCGAGCGCGGGGCTTGGAGGACACCAAGGTCCAGGGGGATGGCGGGTTCAGCCCCCTCCCTCCGACCCGTGCTGAGGGCTTTGGAGGACCCCCACTCTCCCAACCTCGGAAGCCCGGGTTCTGCCACTTCCAGCCATGCGTCCTTGGACTGCGAAACTTTCTCCAGCCTAGTTTCCTCTTTTGGGACATGGGGAGGCGGAGGCTGCCAATGCTGGGATGGAGTGCTCGAGAGCAAGGGACTAGGGCCTCGACGAGCTTACAGTCCGGTTAGGCCCTCCCACCGCTGTGCTGTGGCTGCTCGCCGCCCTGGACCCGGCGCGGTCCGGCCCGGCTGCCGGAGCCCTCGGTACGGGCCGTAGTCGCGCGGGTTCTAAAATGAGGACAAAGCCCGCCCGGGTCTAGAGCGCGCGCGCCGCCGCGGCCAATGGGACGTTAACGCTAGGTTGAGTGACGGACTTGAGCAGCCAATGAGCGTGCAGTTTGTTGCGAAGTGGGCCCCGGCTCCGGCATTATAAAGGGCGCCACGAGTCGGCATTGTCAGGCGGCGGCACCGCGCGGGAGGGAGCTTGGTTGTGTCGGTGGGTTCCCGTGCGGCGGCGGCGGCCAAGGAGGAGGAGACACAGTTGGAGCAGCTCCGTGGGCTGACTGGGGCGAGGCCTCAGCAGCGCGAGCTTGAGTGCGGCCGAGCCCGCGGCGCCTTCCCCGGCTGGTGGGGACGAGCGGGCCCCGCGGCGTCATCGGCGGCGAGGTGAGCGGCGGCCGGCGGGCGGGAGCTCTGGCGGGAGCCGCGCCGGCCTGACGCGCTGTCGCCGCTGGTTGCAGGAGCCGCCGCGCCTCGGCCTAGCATGTCGGAAGCGGGCGAGGAGCAGCCCATGGAGACGACGGGCGCCACCGAGAACGGACATGAGGCCGCCCCTGAAGGCGAGTCCCCGGCCGGGGCTGGCACGGGCGCCACGGCGGGGGCTGGAGGCGCGACCGCGGCGCCCCCGAGCGGGAATCAGAACGGCGCCGAGGGCGACCAGATCAACGCCAGCAAGAACGAGGAGGACGCGGGGTAGGTGCGGGCGCGGGCGGACGGGGGCGCCGCCTTTGTTCCGGGGCCGCCTTTTGTTGGCGCCACGCGGCGGGGGGAGGGGCGGCGGCCTGGCCCGGGTCGGGGCCGGTGCGGCCCGCGGACTGTCGCCGCTGCGTTCGCGGGCGGGCCTGGTGCTGCCACTCGCGCTGGAGTTTGCAGGAGTTTGTTGGGTCAACTTTGGCGCCGCCCCGGGGCCGTTTGTGCGCTGCCGGGGCCGGAGCCGGCGCAGGGGCGGGCGGATGGCCCGGAAGAGGGAAAGCGCTCGGACCCGGGGCCCGGCGGCGTCTCGGGCCGCGCCGGGGCTGCGTGGGCGGAGTTGGCGCGAGCCGGGGCCCAGGCCTCCCTCCTCCGCCTTTCCCGGGGGCGGAGTCACGGTCTGAACCCTGGGCGGGCTTGGCCCCCGGAAGCATCGAGTTCCTTGAAAAAGAGTTCTCAGGAGGTGGCGAAGACGCTGGCCCTTTGATACATAGTTGTAGATAACAAATGAATTTCCAGTTGTGAGTAGTTAGGGCCCATGTCCCTGGTGAGGTGGTCCTTTCTTTGCTTCTCACAGCCTGGGGCTGCAGAGCCTTGTTAAGCTTCGTTAGGGTCCTGGTTGAATTGAATTTGGAGGGTAGTGGAGATTTAACATCCTTCTAAGGTGCACCTTGCAGACTCTAAGGGTATCTGTAGACTTTGTGAGAGCTTTGCCAGGGCCAGTCCTTTCCAAAATCACAGCTTGCTTATAAGACTTGTTGCCATGTGTCTCACCCTACCATTTCAGAAAAATGTTCGTTGGTGGCCTGAGCTGGGATACTAGCAAAAAAGATTTAAAAGACTATTTTACTAAATTTGGAGAGGTCGTTGACTGTACAATAAAAATGGATCCCAACACTGGACGGTCAAGAGGGTTTGGGTTTATCCTGTTCAAAGATGCAGCCAGTGTGGAGAAGGTAAGCTGGGTGCTGGATTTCAGCAGTCTCAGTGGAAACGATTGGAATTCTAAGAGGACACCTTTCTTACAGCATGACTAGTTTGTGTGTTCTGCATGTGGTTGAGTGCTTTGGGCAAAGCCAGAGGTTATATTCCGGTTTTTGAGGGGATGAAAATACAAATTAAGCTGGGAGTGAGAGTATGTGCTGGAGTGGTTCGGGAAGATTATAGTTGACATTCATTACCTTTTATGTGCCTATTCTGGGCACTGTGCTAAACATCTGGGAGGATTACAAGAGAGTCTAAGATTGCTATGATAGGCTGTTAGCCCCATTTTACAGGACAAAAACCAAAACCCTGAGGCTCAGACATTTAAGTAGAAGAGGTCACAGCTAGTAGGGAGTGGAGCGAGGATTTCATCCCCTGCAGCCCATCTTCAGCCTGTGCTGAGTCCCTGCTGCTTTGCTTCTGGAGATGGGCCTCACGCTGGGACTGCTTGGGCAGAAAGAGCATGATCAAAGGCTTGAGGGTGAGGACTGCTTTCTAGGTGTCGAGGTAAACCAGCTGTACTTGAGGTTTGAAGAAAATTGGGTTGGGAAGTTAAGCTGGGGTAGAATTTGGAGGGGGTGAAACACATTTTTGTATCTGTGCTGGTGTCTTCATGGCTTAGAGAGAAGGGCCTTGTCTGGCTCATGCTGCTGAGTCAGCCTGACCCCTTTCTGTTGGAACAGGTCCTAGACCAGAAGGAGCACAGGCTGGATGGCCGTGTCATTGACCCTAAAAAGGCCATGGCTATGAAGAAGGACCCAGTGAAGAAAATCTTCGTTGGGGGTCTGAATCCTGAAGCCACTGAGGAAAAGATCAGGGAGTACTTTGGCGAGTTTGGGGAGGTGAGTGTGGCCCTGGGAGTAGCCCATCAGCTGCCCTAAGGCTGCCTTCTTTCTGGTCCTTGGTATCCTTGGCTGAGTAGACCCTCCCAGGCAGGGCTTATTTTTCACTCTCTGCCTTCAGTGGGGTCTTTTCTCCTGTGAGTCCCCTATATGCTCTGGGGTAGAGAGGTATTGAGCCTGAGTTTGCCTATGCTTTTTGCAGATTGAGGCCATTGAACTTCCAATGGATCCAAAGTTGAACAAAAGACGAGGTTTTGTGTTTATCACCTTTAAAGAAGAAGAACCTGTGAAGAAGGTTCTGGAGAAAAAGTTCCATACTATCAGTGGAAGCAAGGTAAGGTGTCCCCAACTCTGCTTGGCATCCTGTGCTGCTGGAGAGCTGGCCCTTAGAGGGGTGGGGGTTAGGGGTTGGGCCATGGTGCAGGAGCTCTCCAGGTTGGTTAGACCTAACTATTTCTCTGAAGTGTATGCTGCCCTGGTTGGGGCAGTGTTCTGATCCTTCAAAGACTTCCCGGGCTGGGAGGACTGCCAGTAAACAAACACAGGATGTGAGGGAGGCAGGAGAAGGTGGCCTCTGAATAGAGCAGGTTGAGTAGCCTCTTTAGTTTGTCATTTAAAGCTAGAGGTGAGAGTGTTCTAGATTTTTGAGTCCAGGGTGTATGAAGCCTGCAGTTAAGGTCTCAGAAGATCCTAAAACTTCTGCAACTCACTGATTTTCCTCTGTGGTGAAGTTTTTCTTGCTCCAGAGCCTTTTTACCTCCTTCTACAACCAAATCTTTGTCCACTTCCATCCGTTTTGCTGCTTTGGTGTTTTTTGTTTTTTTTTTTTTTTTGCTTTGAGACAGGGTCTTGCTTTGTTCAGGCTGGGGTGTGGTAACACTATCATGGCTCACTGCAACCTTGACCTGGGCACAAGGGATCTTCCCATCTCAGTCTCTCAAGTAGCTGGCACCACAGGCATGCACCACCATGCCTGGCTCATATTTTCTTTTCTTTTTTTTTTTTTTTTGAGATGGAGTCTCGCTCAGTCACCCAGGCTGGAGTGCGGTGGCACGATCTCAGCTCACTGCAAGCTCCACCTCCCGGGTTCATGCCATTCTCCTGCCTTAGCCTCCTAACTGGGACTACAGGTGCCCGCTACCATGACCAACTAACTTTTTTGTATTTTTAGTAGAGACTGGGTTTCACCATGTTAGCCAGGATGGTCTCAATCTCCTGACCTTGTGATTCGTCTCTCGGCCTCCCAAAATGCTGGGATTACAGGCATGAGGCACTGCGCCTGGTATTGTATTTTTTTTTAAAGCCTGGTCTCACCATGTTGTCTGAGCTCACCATCCTCTGCATCAGGCTTGTAAACTGTTGGGATTACAGGCATGAACTGCCTCACTTGGTCTTCTGGGCACCTCTTTTAAGTCAACCCTATACCCAGGCAAAAATCCTTCCAAAGATCTCCCAGGATCCTGGCCAGCTTAAATCCAGGGTCAGTTGTGCTTTCAAATGACTGGAATCATGTGCAGAGACGTGTAGGTCTTCCTCCTGAACTCTGGTCAGGGAAAGGGTAGTTCAGGCTTCAAGTTGGCAGTTGGGAGTTGTGGGTGCGGCCTGCAGTGGCAGGGTGTGGCAGGCTCTGTTTCTGAGCAGGCGTTGGCAGCCAGATAACGTAGGACAGGTGGAGCTCCTGGAAGTCTCTGTCCTGGCTGGGAGTTTGGGAAGATTGGATTAGGATAGTCTTAAATTTTCTATAAAGTGACAGTCTTTGAGGCAGTTAAGGGAGGCATTGGTTATTACTCCATTGGACAGTGATAAAGAGGCCTTTTTCTCTATGTGCCATAATGGGAAATGGGGTGGGAAGAGCCTCTGAGGCAAAGTTTAAGTGAAACTACTGGTAGTGAGTCTTAGAAGTAAGTATATTTAGTTGGTTGTATTCAGTATTTTTAATTCAGTAGGATAGAATATATATGAGATTGCATTATTTTGCCGATTAAAAGTATGACTATATGGGGACACTGTAAAATGTACTATTTTTAATGGGGGTGCGTGTCAGGATTTTCTTTAGAAATACACTGGTCTGGTCTAACTTATTTAAGCAGGAGCATTGAAAGTACCCCAGCCTACCCCATCCCACCCTCAGTGGACAAAAAGGAAACTGACTGACTTGAGGGGATGCAGACATCTGGGTCATCCCAACAGACCAGTGGTTAGGAGGAGCGGGTGGGTAGCATTATGGCCTCAGGCAGGCCCCCCATCCTGAGCCTCTGAAAGCCTCTGAGACTTTATCTGTAAGAGGGAGGTCAGGGTCGCCTTCTCAATAGCATGTATTTGAATGAGATGAGTTTCTTCTGTAAAGAGAAAAAGATGTTAAAATCTCATTGTGTAAGGCGCCTCATCTGAGAAGTCTTGTCTGACCCTCTAGCCCAGTAGGACCAAGGTGTGATGCCTGCTCCCAGCCTGTCCTCTGCTTCCCTGGGCTGCAGTTGGCCCAGTTGCCTGCCTCCATTAGACATGGAGTTGCCCTGGGGCTGAGATGCCCATCTCAAGTGCATTCTGTGGGAAGGGTTCTCTGCTGGAAGGCCCGTGGTTTTAGTTGGGATTCCATGAGCTTTATTTAGCTCAAGGGTGACCTCCCACACTAGCATATTTTGTTTTTGAGCAGATGGACCTGATCTGATGTTTGTTGCAGTGAAGATCTTTGTGCAGTCACTGCCCTGAGTTTGTCCTACTGGCCTGACCACTGTCCTCTTGGCTTTTAGTGTGAGATCAAGGTGGCCCAGCCCAAAGAAGTCTATCAGCAGCAGCAGTATGGCTCTGGGGGCCGTGGAAACCGCAACCGAGGGAACCGAGGCAGCGGAGGTGGCGGTGGAGGTGGAGGTGAGTGGAACCTGGATGAAGATGGGTCCTGTTTCCCTGCCTACATGGAGCCTTCCAAACCTGTCTCGGGGCTCCCTCCGGTGCTGTGCAGCAGGGGTGGGCAGACTGTGTGAGGTGGGGGACGAGCAGGAAGAGGAGTGGCTCTGGGTCAGGGCTGTGTGCTTGAGGCTGCTGCTGCCCCTTGGAATGGCTTGGGTGCCCAGGGCAGAGAGAGCATTTGTGTTATACTCTGGGGGAAGGGACATGATGGGTGTCTTGGCTTTGTGGATGTCCTGAGTCTGGTACACCTGTGAGCAGGTAGGCAGAAGGGTGGGTAGGGCAGAGCTGTGCCAGGCATTTATCCCCTTCCATCCCAGGCCCCTCTGACTCCAAAGCCTGAACTGCATCTTTTTAAAGGCCAAGCTGCCAAGGAGAGTGGGAGTGATCAGAGAGTGACTGAGTGAGTGAGCTGCCTTGTTTGCCCCAAGTAAAGCTAGCGTCCTGGTCTCTGGTCCTCTGCTTGGGTCTCTCAGATGCAGGGTTGGGCCCAGGGCCCTGTACACCAGAACAGCAGCCCCTTGGCTTCTGCCTGAGTTGCCATAGTAACCCTGCCACCCAAAGGGCAGGATTTCCTCCATCCTAGCTCCTGCGTATGCTAAATGGTCCACGGGCCCCTGTGCCCTGCTCCCCCCACAGGTCAGAGTCAGAGTTGGAATCAGGGCTACGGCAACTACTGGAACCAGGGCTACGGCTACCAGCAGGGCTACGGGCCTGGCTATGGCGGCTACGACTACTCGCCCTATGGCTATTACGGCTACGGCCCCGGCTACGACTACAGTAAGTAGGAGAGAGGGAGGCCCCATCCGCTCACCCACCCCCAGGGGAGGCAGGACAGACAGTGCAGGAGCCACTGGCAGCAGGGGCTTTGGAGTCAGACAGGCCTGGCTCAGCTATGAGAGCTACTCAGTTTTGAGCCTTAGACTTCCGGGTCTTAGTAACATGAGGAAGGCAATCTCTGCTGTCACAGGGCTGGTGAGGATCCTGCAAAGATGCGTATCAAGCGCGTGGCACAGGGCAAATGCTTGTAAATAGTAGCTGCTATGGTTGTTCTTATCCCTAGGTCAGGGTAGTACAAACTACGGCAAGAGCCAGCGACGTGGTGGCCATCAGAATAACTACAAGCCATACTGAGGCGGCAGCAGGAGCGACCAACTGACCGCACACATGCTTTGTTTGGATATGGAGTGAACACAATTATGTACCAAATTTAACTTGGCAAACTTTCTATGGCCTGTCCCATGTGCATCTTATTTAAAATCTCCCCCATGGAAATCACTCTCCTATTTACTATTTCCAGAGCTCTAGTTGTTTAGGCAGCGTGTGGTGTCTGAGAGGCCAGAGCGCCATTATGGGCTGATTTTTATTACCAGGTCCCCCAGAACCAGGCGGGAGGCTCTGCTTCCTGCTGCCACTCTGCAGCCTGGACCTGTGGACCCTGGTTGTAAAGAGTAAATTGTATCTTAGGAAACCAGTGTCACCTTTTTTTCACCTTTTAATTTTATATTATTTGTGTCATACATTTCCTGTAATGGAAGTGTTAATTTTACTGTACTTTTTGGTACCTTTTGGGAATCTAATGTATTGTAAGGTATTTTACACGTGTCCTGATTTTGCCACAACCTGGATATTGAAGCTATCCAAGCTTTTGAAATAAAATTTAAAAACCCCCAAGCCTGGGTGAGTGTGGGATATGCTGTGTGAGACCTCTTGCTCAGGGTGGGGGGTACCAGGTGCCCTGGACTTTGGGCTTCCTCCTGCAGCAGGCCCAGTTGTGGGGGTGTCCTTTAAGGACTGCCCTGCTTAGAACTGAGCCCTCTTTAAAGAAAGGAATAAGAGGTCTATGGGGAGTGAGGATGGGGCAGTGAGGGCTAACATCCCCAGCAGGCATGTCCCCTCCTGGGACACCTTAGAACCACCAACCTTCTTGGCTGATGAATGAAAATCGATTCTTTACACACTAGGGCAGTGCCAGGGCCAGCTGAATTGGTGCACAATAGTGCCCCTCCTGGCTGGTGAAGAAAAGCCTGCTCTAGCAGGGGATGTTTACTGGCTGGATTGGAGCCCAACTCCAGGTCTGGCATTTGGGGCGTATGACTAGGTGGTTACAAGAGGCAAGGGTGGGTTGGGGTTCCACATGGATACAGCCCCATAGGTTTCAAGGGAGGAAATAGCTGTTCTGCCATCAAGTGCAAGCTAAGCATTGGAGATTTTCCAGTGTTGAAGAAACTAACCTTTGGGAAGGAGCATCAACCAGAACAAAAAATGCCTTAAGAAAAAAAAAAGGCTGTTTTCTGAGGCTGCTTGCTGCCGATGGTAAGGAACCCGCTTTGCATCTCCCAAGAGTAAGAAGCAAGGCCCACTCACCTGGAGTACACTTAGGCAGAGCAGGGCTAGCTTAGAGCTGGAACCTCAGCGTCTGGCAACTTCGCACCTTCTCTTCCATGTCTGAAAAAGACCACAAAGCCATGCGGACTCAGTCACCTTTCTCTGCTGAAGATGCCCTGTGACTTCAGTGTCCAAACTGGAGGACAGTTTAGAGATTGGGCCCTCTGGCTATCCACACCCATGTCCCATTCCCCAAAGGAGTGGCAGCAGTTTCCTGAAAAGCACAAAGCCAGCCCTCAATTCCTCTGAGATTTCTAGTCTCTGTCCAGGATCCCCAAGCCTGTTCTGTGGCCAGCCTTTGCCCCACAAACACTACTTTTCATCAGATCCCTACCGCTTCCAATTTGTGTCTAGCAGGGATGGGCCTCCGCCCCCAGCTCCAGAGCCCCGGGATTAGGCATGCCTGTGGGTAGCAGTGATCACCCAGAGGTAGGAGGGCACAGGTTGCTTGGCTGGCAGCTCTGATCTCTACTGTGAGATGCAACTTTGCCTATGTGGGGTCTCACTGAGCTATAAATGGCAACACAGCCATGAGATTTCCTTGTAAGTGGATTTAGGGGGGGACCCTGGGTTGACCACGACCATCCTAGGTGATGGGGAATGTGGGGTAGAATTTCATTTTGCATCCAGTCTCAGTGGTACAAATCTTTCAGCCACCCAGCAGCCTCATGTGACCTGCCTCATACAGAATGAAACGACTGCCATCTCTACATTCTAGGCTGGCGGTAATGGGGTCTCAACTCCCACTGTAGTTCTTATGGCCTGTTTCTCAGGCCCACCACTGATTTGTCCTGCGTACATCTGATGCCTGCCGAGGCAGGCTGGGTGGTGGCTCAGCTGCCACCTGCTGATAGCCCAGGAAGCTCTTAGGCACAGGCAGGAATAGGAGCAGACTGGGCATGAAAGACCCTCTCTGTTGCTCCTTGCACTGTCCAGAGGACACGTGCCTCTGCTCTTGGACTCTTGTCCCCTCCCTGTTCCATGCTAGGAGGCTCTAGTTGCTGGCTTCAGGCTGGGTTCTAGAGACATGGCCAAGCTCAGGCTTCAAGCTCACCAGTCAGAATGGCATCCAGCTTTGCCACCACCTGCCGTGCATTGTCCAGGCTGAAGCACATTGGGGGTTTAAACTTCAGGATGTTCCTCCCAGGGCCATCAGTGCTCAGCAAAACGTAGTTCTCCTTCAGCCTGTGAGGACAGGACACCCCTTCATGTGGCCTTCAAGGCCTTCCTCAGCCTGGCCTTGGCCTCATGTCCAGTGCTCCAGCCATACTGCCTTCAGAGCCTTCCATGGGCCAGTTCCTGCCAGGACTCTACTGGTCACCCCTACCAAAGTCCTGTGCATCTGGCCCACAGCCGCCCCTGCTTGGGGTGCACTGTACCTGGTCCTGAGCCTGCTGCCCCACAGAACAGGCGCCTTGCCTCACCTAACCACCTGGAGCCACAGTCCAAGCCAAGAATGAATGGCCACAGGGAAACAGCAGACTGCAACAAGAGTCCCTGCATTCTCTGGTTTTCTGTGTGGTTGACGTGATGTATGTCGTTTTTTTAAGAATGTCCAACATCGCAGTTGGTGTAATGGGCCCCACGTGTCCCTCACGAGCTTCAGGAATCTCCCTGGCCTGTCCTCTGAGTTATCTTAAAATTCCAGTAGAAAATTTCCACCTCTTCTTAGGAAGATGGCTTTATCTTAGCATCCTTTGTAGCTAGTAATCACTTTTAGTCCACAGTCTAACCTCATCTCTGAGATGAGGGGTCTGCATGGTTGTGTTTATATTCTTTGATTCTTGTTCCCATTCTTTTGTAAACCTTGTTATTTTTATTTCTTGGGGGTTGGGAGTCTACCTTCTGGTTTCATTTTCCTATCCCAGTCTTTCTGGCACTGACCATGGCCATGCCAGAAAGGACAGGGCTTGGACTTTGGAGTTAGACGGCCCTGGGGCCAGATTGAGCTCTTGCCACCTAGCAGGGTGACTGCAGGTGACTTACCCATTTCCTCACTGAACTGGAAAAGCACCCCCAGGGTACTGTGAGATGAAAGAGTAGGCTGAACTTGGGATCTGTTTCCTTCCATGCCACCCGACCATTCCGAATCCCTGAGACTCCTGGGAGCGGGGTGGGGGTGAGCTGGGGATGTGACTGACAGCAGAGAGAAGGCAGGGACTAGGAAAGGCCAAGTTCAAACACAGCACAGAGAGATTTACATCAATACCATGCATGTCTCACAATTTGAATAAGGACACATCAAATACCAGAAGAGCTTTCCATGGTGGCAGTGGGGGAAGGGGGAGGCCTGGGGAATGGAGATAAAAGGGAATAATCATTAAACTAGAAGAAGTCCTGAGGCCTCAGGGTCCAAGTGAAAGGACAAGCAAACCAGGGCAGTGGGACTGGTGGAGTCTTGAGTTCTGAAACACCCCCCAACCCAGCTTAGGAGCAGGAGTCCTGTCCATCCCAACCACCTGTCGTGCGGCATGGCAACCCTGAGTCTGGTGCTGCCACAGCTCCCTGGTGTGAATGAAGATGCTTCCCTTCTCCAGGCCAAGGTGGCATTAGTAGGGGTTCCTGGGTCTGAGTGCCCTGCTAGCTTGGGCATTCTAGGCAGAGGTGCTGCTCTGGTCTGGGAACAGCCTGTGTCTCATCTGCAGCCTTCGCAGTCAGGCACTGGGTACAGAACTACTAACCACTTATCTCTGTCCTCAGCTGATAGCATCAGCTGTCCCCCCGCCCACCACCACCCCCGGCCCCAGCCCTCTTTCAGTCAAGTCTGTGGCCCAGAGTGCTGGGGGTACAGATGAGCCTCCTTTCCACTAAGGGCCTCTGGCCCTGCAAAGAAGCACCTGTGGTGTCTCTTATTCCAGGAAGCAACTTGTTTCAAGAAAATACCTTGATACCAAGTAGGCAGCCTCTTCAGTTGCTGGTGTCCTTGTGGCCTCATCTTTGATCAGATCCACACCAATGAAGAGCCCAACACCCCTGCAGGGGAAGGTGATGACATCGCAGGAGGCCATGCCTGAGGGGCCAGGGTGCTCGCCTCACCCCATCTGGGTTCCTACCTGTGCCTCCTGGGGAGGCTGAGCACAGGAGGCACCTTCAGAAGGTGGTGAGAATAGTTTCAGGGAATAACTGGGCTGGGAGGGATCTTTGGTGTGGACAGAGGAGAGAGGCTTGGGGATAGCTAGGGGTCAGGTCATATCCTGGCTTTCTCCTCCCCGGGAGTGCCGTTTTGGGCAATAGCACCTCTCAGTGTCTCAGTCCTCTTGAGAGCGGACATAACCCCACCATCCCAGGTTGTTAGGTGAAGAAAATGGTACCACACTGGGCCCTGGCAGGTTGGTGGTGACTGCTGCCCCCAGAGTCTCACCTGACATCCCCGACGATGGGATGTTTGATTTTTTGCTGCCTGAGGAGTTCCATCAGGAAGCTGCCCACACTGGTGGCATGAGCCTGGAGCTGCTCCTTCTCCAAGACATTCAGGACGGCCAGCCCCACAGCGCAGGACACTGGGCTGCCCCCAAACTGAGTCAGGGACAAAGAACATGTCAGATGCCCCAGCAGAGTGGGCCATGCCCCAGAGTCAGGGTGAGGCAGAACTGCCACACGGGTTCCAAGGCCAGTGGCAAGAGCACAGGCCCCAAACCCCTTTAGGGTGCACAGTCCTCAGTGGTAGTAAATGGGGTTCAATGGGGGCCCCCATGGGCTGTCCTGGCTTTCCAGGAGCTAATGTGACTGCAACCCAGGTCAGGTACCCCTGAAGTACAGTAGGAGCCCCTAGAAGATACAGAATCAGAAGAGAGGGTGTCCTGTTTGTTCCCACAGAGCTAGTCTTTACCAAGAGAGGCTTTAAGGCCCCATCTCCTGGGCCCAGACCCACAGCACTGGACTAGGCACTTCCTCCTTCAAGGAGGGTCAACGCAGCATGCCAAGGCCCACCCAGGGAAAGCCACTAAACACACACCTGGAGGTCTTTGGCTCCTTTTCCCTGCCCACCCTGTCCTTATTCTGCAGGTATCTGAGTGGAGACCTGTTTTTTAGAGGATCACGAGCAAGGTGTCTCCTGCAGACCATGTTTTTTGTTTTGTTTTTAAACTACGTCTTTAAAAACATCAGCTTTGTTGAGGTATAATTTCCATATAAACTGTGTTTAAAGTATAAAGTTCAATGTGAGGTGACAAATGTATGTACCTGTGTAACCTCCCTCGCAGTGAAGTTACAGAACATTTTCATCACTTCCTTGTGCACCCATCCCACTACTGCTGGCCCCAGGCAACCACTGATCTGCTTTCTGTCACTATGAGACGCTACAAGGGGCTTTGAAAGGCTGTGACATATTCCTGGGAATCTAGAAGACCATATGCACAGGGATGTGCTCATGCTGAGTGCTGTGTGCGTGCTCAGGAAAGATCTAGAAAGCCCTAAGCTCTCACCACTGGCTACCTTGAGGCTCTGCAGAATGAGGAAGTAAAGGCTAAGGCAGTTACAAGCTCTTGGCTGAGTTCCAGGTCATTAAGGCGATCTCATGGTTAGAGGACCACTGAGCTAATCAGGCAGAGACTATAGTGGCCACACATGACAGAGAACACACTTTACAGAATTGGTTCAGAAAAGGCACAACACCACCAGAAAAAACCACCATGGGGAGGGAGGAGAATATGATCTCCACAGTTGCCATATTACATTACTTAAAATGTCCAGCTTTTAACACAATTCTGAAACATGCAAAGAAGCATGGCCCAGACATGGGAGAAAAAAAGCAATCAATGCAAACTGTCCCTGAGGAAGGTGACCTTATTGGACAAAGACTTTAATCAGATGTTACAAATATGTTAGCTGGGTGCAGTGGCTCATGCCTGTAATCCCAGCACTCTGGGAGGCCGAGGTGGGTGGGTTGCCTAAGCTGAGGAGTTCGAGACCAGCCTGGCCTGGGCAGCACAGTGAAACTCCATCTCTACAAAAAATAAAAACAGCCAGGCGTGGTGGCACATGCGTGTACTCCCAGCTGCTTGGGGGGTGAGGTAGGAGGATCGCTTGAGGTTGAAGCTGCAGTGAGCCACGACTCCAGCCTGGGTGACAGAGCGAGCCCATCTCCAAACGAGCAAACAGAAACAACCCCAAAACCAAGTATGTTAAGAGAACTAAAGGAAACTACACCTAAAAGATTGAAAGCAAAGCATGAAAATGATGTCTTACCATAATCTAATGATAAAGAGATAAATTATTAAAAATCTGAAGTTGATAAGCACAATAAATGAACTGAAGCATTTTCTAGAGAGGCTCAACAGATTTTTTTTTTTTTGAGACAGTCTAGCTGTCACCCAGGATGGAGAGCAGTGGTGTGATCTCGGCTCACTGCAACTGCTGCCTCCCAGGTTCAGGCGATTCTTGTGCTTCAGCCTCCCAAGTAGCTGGGACTATAGGTGCGTGCCACTACATCTGGCTAATTTTTGTATTTTTAGTAGAGACGGAGTTTCACCATGTTGGCCAGGCTGGTCTTAAACCCCTGACCTCAAGTGATCCACCCAGCTTAGCCTCCCAAAGTGCTAGGAAATTACAGGCGTGAGCCACTGCGCCTGGCAACAGCAGATTTAAGCTGGCAGATGAAAGAATCAGTGAAAAAAAAAAAAAACGCCAATTGAGATTGTATAGTCTTAAGACCAGAAAGGAAAAGGAATAAAAACAGTCATATAGACCCGAGGACACAAGCACACCAACATACTGAGTGTCCCAGAAAGAGAGGAAAGGGGCAGAACAAATACGAAAACTTTAAAAACCCTATATAACTTGCAATGAATTGAATGTGTCTCCCCCGATTCATATGTTGAAATCCTAACCTCCAATGTGATGGTATTAAGAGGTGGGGCCTTTAGGTTATTAGGTCACAAGAATAGAGCCTTCATGAATGGGATTATGGTTTTATAAAAGGGATCCCAGAGAGCTCTCACCCTTTTGACGACATGAGGGCACAGCGAGAAGTTGGCTGTTTGCAACCTGGAAGAGGACTCTCACCAGAACCCAACCACGCTGGCACCCTGATCTTAGATTTGCAGCCTTCAAAACAGTGAGAAATGAATCTGTTTATAAACCACCCAGTCTACAGTATTTTGTTATAGCATCTTGAACTCACTAAAACATAACTTTTTTTTTTTTTTTTTTTTTTTTTGAGACGGAGTCTCACTCTGTCACCCAGGCTGGAGTGCGGTGGCCGGATCTCAGCTCACTGCAAGCTCCGCCTCCCGGGTTCACGCCATTCTCCTGCCTCAGCCTCCCGAGTAGCTGGGACTATAGGCGCCCGCCACCTCGCCCGGCTAGTTTTTTGTATTTTTTAGTAGAGACGGGGTTTCACCATGTTAGCCAGGATGGTCTCGATCTCCTGACCTCGTGATCCGCCCGTCTCGGCCTCCCAAAGTGCTGGGATTACAGGCGTGAGCCACCGCGCCCGGCCTAAAACATAACTTTTAAAGAAATTAAAGCAGCAGTTAAATATCTTCCCACAAAACACAAGGCCCAGATGATGGCTTTATAGATGAGTTTTTACCTTCAAAGGATAGATCATCCCAATTTTATGTAAAAGAAAAAGAAGAAATATTTCCCAATTCATTCTACAAGGTTAGTAGGACCCAGTTACCAAAACCCAAGGTATAAGAAAAAAATGTGAGCCAATATTTTACTCCTGAAAATAGAGGCCAAATTCATAAAATATAAGTAAACAGAGTGCAATAATATAGAAAAATGATAATATTCCATACCCAAGTTCAATTTGTCCCAGGTCTGCAAAGATATTAGAAAAGCCGTAAATATAATTCACCATGATAACAAATTAAAAGAGAAGAAATATTGCTTTAATACATGCATAAAAAGAACAGGATAAAATTCAATTCCTTTTTATAGTAAAATCTCATAGTAAGTTAAGTAGTAGGAGATTTTCTTAACCTGATTGAGAACATATAGTAAAAATCTGATCTAGGCCAGCTGCGATGGCTCACACCTGTATAATCCCAGCACTTTGGGAGGCCGAGGCAGGCAGATCACTGGAGGCCAGGAGTTCAAGACCAGCCTGTCCAACATGGCGAAACCCCATCTCTACTAAAAATGCAAAATAAGCTGGGCATGGTGGCACATGCCTGTAATCCCAGCTACTCAGGAATTGGTGGCATGAGAATTGCTTGAACCCGGGAGGCGGAGGCTGCAGTGAGCCGAGATCATGCCACTGCACTCCAGCCTGAGTGACAGAGTGAGACTCCATCTCAAAAAGAAAAAAAAAAGTATATATATAGTAAAAATCTAGAACGAACATCATCCTAAATGGACAAATAAGCATTCCCATAAACTGGACAAGTACAAGACAAGCATTGTCACTGCTTGTATTCAACTATCTCCTAGCAGTCTCTCACCCAGTGTAGTACGACAGCTACCATTATTTGGAGATGATATAATCGTTTACATAGACAAAACAACCAAAAAAAGTCTGCCTATAAATTATTAGAAATACTAGAGTTTAGCAAGGGGATAGATATTAGTATAAGAAAGTATTTTATACATCAGCTGCAAACAATAGATATATAAAGACATCACCATTTCATGATAAAACTATCAAATATCTAGGACTAAATCTAATGATGTGTAAGATCTTTATAGGGAAAATTATAAAACATACCATATTCATGGATAGGAAAAGGAATATTGTAAAGAAATCAATTCTCCTTGGCCTGGTGCTGTGGCTTATGCCTGTAATTCCAGTACACTGGAAGGCCGAGGTGGGTGGATCACAAGGTCAGGAGATAGAGACCATCCTGGCTAAGACAGTGAAACCCCGTGTCTACTAAAAGCATGAAAAATGAGCCAGGCGTGGTGGCAGATGCCTATAATCCCAGCTACTCAGGAGGCTGAGGCAGGAGAATCGCTTGAACCCGGAGGCAGAGGTTGCAGTGAGCCGGGCGACAGAGCGAGACTCCGTCTAAAAAAAAAAAAAAAAAAAACCTCCTCAAACTGATCTAAAGATCAAGCAATTCCCCTATCAGAATCCCAGCAGGGTTTTTCATAAAATGTTTAAAGGTAACTCTTAATTTTTTTTTTTTTTTTTTTTTTTTTTAAGACGGAGTCTTGCTCTGTCGCCCAGGCTGGAGTGCAGTGGCGCAATCTCGGCTCACTGCAAGCTCCGCCTCCCGGGTTCACGCCATTCTCCTGCCTCAGCCTCCCAAGTAGCTGGGACTACAGGCGCCCGCCACTGCGCCCGGCTAATTTTTTTCTATTTTTAGTAGAGACGGGGTTTCACCATGGTCTCGATCTCCTGACCTTGTGATCCGCCCGCCTTGGCCTCCCAAAGTGCTGGGATTACAGGCGTGAGCCACCGCGCCCGGCCTTAAAATTTAAATCAAAAAGAAAAGAGACAGGAATAGTCACAGGTGAAAGGGGACTTTTTCTACAAGATACCAGAAGCTATTATGAATGTAAAACCTATTATGAAGCTCTAGTAGTAATATGGTACATGAACAGTAATCTGACCAAAACTGACCAAAAAAGTATAAAAGCTCTGAAACAGATCTTCTCATGTGTGAACTTTGGTTACATAACAGAGGAGGAATGTAAGATGAATGGAGAACAAAGGGAGCAGAGAAAGATTTTTGAAAAAAGGAAAACACTGGTATCACATGCACAGAGGATGTAATTGGATTCCTGATTAACATCATGTACAAAAATCAACTGCAGATGGAGTAAGGACCTATATGTCAAAACAAAGTGTTAAAAGACTTAAGAGGAAACGTAAATGAATATATTTTGTAACTTGGAGTAGGGAGAGATATATTAAACAATATATGAAAAACCCTGTCTATAAAATAAAACAAAATGATAGAGTTGACAATGTTAAAATTTAAAACTTTATCATAAATATGTAAAGGGAGTGAAGATAGGTTATAAACTGGATGAATATATTCACAAATACACAACTGACAAGTGATTAGCATCAAAAATATATAGATATGTATGTGTTGGTATACACACACAGATACACACATATACAAACAGACACAAAACTCGCACAAATTAACCACTAGTAAGTCAAATCAAGAAATGGGCAAAAGACACAGGCATTTCAGTGAAGAGGAAACAAATCGTCAATAAACACATGAAGAGATACTTCATGTAATCTGAAATCAAGGAATGGCATATCAAGACCACACAAGCTACTGTTTTACGCTCCACTTGACTGGCAAAAATTAAAAGGCACTGAAGTAGATACAGTCCGGGTGCGGTGGCTCACGCCTGGAATCCCAGCATTTTGGGAGGCCAATGTGGGCTGATTGCTTGAGCTCAGGAGTTTGAGACCAGCCTGGGCAACATGGTGAAACCCCACCTGTACCAAAAATACAAAAAATTAGCTGGGCATGGTGGCGTACACCAGTGGTCCCAGTTACTGGGGAGGCTGAAGTGGGAGGATCACTTGAGCTCCGGAAGTAAAGGCAGCAGTTAGCTGAGATTGCACCACTGCACTCTGGCCTGGGTGACAGAGTGAGATTCTGTCTCAAAAAAAAAAAAAAAAAAGGGCCGGGCGCGGTGGCTCAAGCCTGTAATCCCAGCACTTTGGGAGGCCGAGACGGGCAGATCACGAGGTCAGGAGATCGAGACCATCCTGGCTAACCCGGTGAAACCCTGTCTCTACTAAAAAAAATACAAAAAACTAGCCGGGCGAGATGGTGGGCGCCTGTAGTCCCAGCTACTCGGGAGGCTGAGGCAGGAGAATGGTGTAAACCCGGGAGGCGGAGCTTGCAGTGAGCTGAGATCCGGGCACTGCACTCCAGCCTGGGCGACAGAGCCAGACTCCATCTCAAAAAAAAAAAAAAAAAAAAAAAAAGATGCTGGGCACAGTGACTCACGCTTGTAATCCCAGCACTTTGGGAGGCTGAGGTGGGCAGATCACCTGAGGTCAGGAGTTCAAGACCAGCCTGACCAACAGGGAGAAACTCCATCTCTACCAAAAATACAAAATTAGCCAGGTATGGTGGTACATGCCTGTAATCCCAGCTACAAGGGAGGCTGAGGCAGAAGAGTTGCTTGAACCCGGGAGGCAGAGGTTGTGGTGAGCCAAGATTGTGCCATAGCACTCCAGCCTGGGCAACAAGAGCAAAACTCCATCTCAAAAAAAAAAAAAAAAAAAAAAAAAGATATACACTATATACACTACTGGTGGGGTGTTAACTTGTGAACTACTTTAGAAACAAATGTCATTATCTTTTAAAATTAAGGGTGAACACATACCATATGAGCCAGCAATTCCACCCTCAGGTACAGTCCTAAGAAAAACTCTTGCCACATGTACAACAGAGACTTATGAAAATTGTTCAGAGCAGCACTCTTCATAATTGCAAAAAAAAAAAAAAAAATGGAACAAGCTCAAAGCACATCAATAGTAATGGATGACTGAACTGTGGTACATTTATACAAAGATTATAAAGCAGTCAAAGCAAATGAACTTCAGTGACAGGCAATAGGAAGGATTCTTAGTGATGTTAGCAGAAAAAAAAAAATCCCCAAAGAGTATATACAGCATGATAGACTTCATATAAAGTCAAAAAACAACTAAATAATATGGGATTGAGAGTGATGGTTACCATGGTTATTTGGAGTGATGGGTGGAGGAGGCAATGAGAGGGAATTGGGGGAAACATCTGGAGAGATGCAGGATATTATCAAGGTCCTAGCTTTATTAGGGATGCTGGCTTCTCAGGTGCTTAGAACATTAATAAAGGTTAACTGAATAACTAAAAGAGGGCTATGCACAGACAGATGTTGAGAGTCTTCCACGAACCAAGGATTCTATCTAATGATGTACACTTGAGGGTCAAGTAAAACAAAGAAATAAACAAAAGTTGGGATGCTGCTCCACTGGGCCTTTGTTGTTCCCCTTACACAATCTACTTGATTTCCTGCTCAGCCAGACTCAGATCTGGTCTTGCCTTCTGTATGAAGCCTGCACTGCTTGTCCCACAGCTCTTCACTCACCTCTTGCCTGGGATGTCCTTTGTGCTGTCACAGCACCGTGAACACACTACTTCCACTGTCATCCACACTGTCATGACCATTTGTCTGTGAGCCTGTCTTTCGCTGACTGAGCTTCCGAGGCTCTGTGTCACGTGGACACAGAGTGATGGTTTTTGCCTGAATGCACCGAAGTGTCACTTCCCTCACCCCTAAGGACCTTATCCTGCCTTATCTATCTTGCCAAATCCTGACATGTTTCAGTCCCCAATTGAAACTGGCTCTTTTGGAGGAACTTAGTGAATTCTCAACCCTCTGTCCCTGCCCTTCCTCCTCTGGGCCTCCTCCTCTCCTCCCTGGACCAGTCTCCCTCCCTCCAGTTCTTTCTCCACACTGAGCACCAGAGATCTTTCCAAAGGGTACGCTCTCCAGGATCAAAACCCTCCTGTTGTCCTCAGTCTTCAGGATCAGTGCAGACTCCTTGGCTCTTTCCTGTGGGTCTGCTGCTGCCTGCCATGGTCCTCTCACCTACTCTGTAACTGCTGCCTCAGGGCCATTGAATATGCTGTGTGTCAGCTTCACTCAGGGGAAGCTCTTGACTCTGTACCCCAAAGACAGGGAGCCACTGCAGTGTGAACTCTGCTCCTAGATCATGTGTTACCCAAGTAGACCACACTCCTCACGCCTCTTAACCAGCTCAAGTTCCAGCACCTGACACAGGGCCTGGCACAGAATGGGTGGCATCTGTTGGAAGGAAGACAGGGACTTGTAGTTTTATATATATTTTATAAGACAAGGTCCCTTGTGACAGCTTTTGGATTGACACTAATTTTAAAAGATGTTTTATGTTTTCTTACCTGACCTGGCTATAATCTCCTTAAGGATAGCGTCTTGGAAGTGTGTGCTGGGCACAGCGCTAGCCCTGTAGCCTTTGCTGACTAAGGACAGGCTGATCACTGGGGGCCTATCAGAACCAATGTTGCTCCCTTAACTTAGAGCCGTCACTCACCGTGTTGAAGTACTCAACGCCGGTGGCTTCAAATGCCCTCGCCACAGGTTGGGTTGTGGCCACACAGGCAACAGGGTGGCCATTGCCAATGGACTTGCCCATGGTGACGATGTCAGGGACAAAGTCTTTTCCCTGGAGCTGGAAGGCCCAGAAGTGCTTGCCTACTCGGCCAAAGCCAACCTGGATCTCATCGGCAACAAAGACCCCTCCGGCCTTGTGGATGTGCCTGTGGCAGAGGACAGATGACTGACATGGGGGCTGTGGTTGGGAGGGATAAGATCAGGAGTCAGGAGGTCTCGGGGCTTTGCATCCTGGCTCTGCCAGCAGTAAGGTGGGGGCCTTGGGCAATGGCTGGCCTTCTTTGGGCCATTATTTCTTTAAGGGCTTTGCCTCAAAATTCTGGCAGTCAGGCCAGGCTGAGGTTGGGATTTGGACCGGACGTTGGAAAACCCCATAGAGCCCTGCCCTCCCTAGGGCAGACCCTGCCCACCTACTCACTCTGCCACTTGGGAGAAGTAGCCAGCAGGGGGAATGATCTGCCCTCCCACACTGGGCAGAGACTCAGCGAAGAAGGCTGCAATCTGTGAAGAGATGGACATTGGGGACACGACCATGGACGTGCGCAATGACCAGCTTAGCCTGCCCTGCTAGTGCTAGCTTAGTCTGAGCAAGACAAGTCACCATCATTGCTGCACCCCTACTTTGGGCTCCATGTTACATCTGAAGGTTTGCGACTCAGTTTTCTCTCAGGCCTCCGGCCAACTCTTACCACCCGGATGCCTCCAGGCCCCTAGTACTTGGCATGCTCCAAACTAAATGCACTGAGTTTTCCCCCATAAGCCTGTTCCTTCCCTGTCCCCCATTCTTGATCCACGCCCCCTCCCTCAACCCATCAGTCAGCACGCCCAAGGATTCTACCTCAGCCCCCTCGCTAAACCTACTCCTTGCTCTCTGCCTGGACATGCCTGCCTCCTGCAGATCTGCCCGTTTCTTCCTTGGACTCCTGCAGAGGCCTTCTAACTGAATGACTCTTCCAGTCCATCCTCCACATGGCCACCAGGGTGATGATGCCTCAACCCAGAGAGCTGAGCATGTCACTGTTGTTTAAAACCCCTCAGTGACCCCTTCTGCATATGGCAATGATTTCCCAACTGTATTCTGCCTTACAGGTGGGAGGGCAGGGCAATGGGATGGGACACTAGTCCCCCACACCCGTTGCAATCAGAGCAATCTCCGTTTTTAGGTTTTATAGAAGTGGTCGTGGAGCACCTGAAACGCATAGGCAAGGCTTCCCTGGTCGGGTTCAGATAACCTTTCCGGCCCCACAGGCTGCCTTTCTTTGTCGTACCTCCTGTGTCTGGCTCTGTCGCTCCTTCAGTGAAGCCTTCAGAGAGCCCTCACCTGTCGCCAACAGTCTTCCCTCTGTTATCACCGTGGGTAACACACCTCTCTCTCCGACGTCTGCACCTCCACTCCATCTCCACTCTACTGCCCCTGTCAGGCCTCCCCACAGCTCACTTGGGGTCTACTGGCCACTTCGTGGTCACCTGACCTCAAGCTACCCCATTCAGATCTATCCCCCACATAGCCCTGGAGTTGGAGAGCAGCGCCAGCCCCAGAGCTTAGCGCTCTCCCGCTTAAGACTCTGGTGGTTCCCGGGGGCCTCCAGGGCAGAACTGCAGCTGCTCAGCCTAGTTCTGGTGCCCTCTGGCATGTGGACCCTGCCTGCCTCTCCAGGCTCAGCTCCTGGCCACACATTCACACGGTTCCTCAGCCACCCGTCGGGATGCCCTTCCTCTGCTACTCCCCACCCCATCTGGAGTGGCTGACCCCTACTGTGTCAGGGAGCACCTCCTCCAAGGACCCCCCTTGACATTCCCCAAGGCCTGCTCAGGCTCTGGCTGCCTATCATGCCCATGCTAGTGCACTCAGACCCTCTGCTGAGCCCGAACTGCCCCTACCCCAGATTCCTGGAGGGCAGGGCCTCGTTTGGTTTTCTCTCTGGGTTCCCAGCATCTAGCACAGTGGTGGTGACAACAATGGAGGTGACATTAACTGTTTGCTGGATTGGACAGGCGCGGACATAGTTACCTTCCTGCCCTTCTCCTGTGCACTGCTGACCACACGTTTCACCTCGTTGGCATAGGCCACGGCTGGGTTGGGGTGGTCCTCCCGGTAGGGGCCCCGGTAGGTGTCTGGGAGAGGTGCCTGTGGGGAGTGACAGCGCCACGTTATCTGGGCTTGGGGACAGGCACCGACCTGTTGTTGAGTTGGGTAGTGCATACCACGTGGACCCACTCCTTCTGGCCATCCAGGTTGCGGAACTTGTAGGGACTGATGTCAATCAGGGAGCTCAGGTGGCCGTGATACGCACTGGGGAGGAGAAGGGAGGGTAGGCTCGGGTCCGGGCAGCTCCTACTCCCTGGCCCAGTCTGACCATGGTCTCCCCACCCTTGAAGACACACAGGGGAGGCCAACTTTCCTGACAGAGCCCCCAGGTTCTTGGGAACTTGGGAAAGAGCACGGGCTTTGGAGTCAGCAACACTTCTTGCAAGACTGCTGACTGGCTATGTGACAGCAGCTCATCATTTAACCTCTTGGGGTTGTTTTCTCTGCTGTGAAATGGGGTGGGAGTTCCTCTTTCTGGTTTATAATGAATCTTAAATGTGTTGATACTGTCAGCCTCAGCTTTGTGCACATCACACACTCAATTCATGGGAGCTACTGCTGTGGCAGTTTGAACATGCAAAATGTTGTGGGACCACCTTTGACTCCCTTACAAAGTGCACTCTGCTCCCCAGAGCTGCCTTCCCAGAATGGTGGCCCAGGGTGACAGAGCCTCCGGGGGGTCTCAGGCCTGGTCCTCTGCCTGCCACGCTTGTCTTCAGTAGCCCAGGCCCCTTATCCTCCCTGCCTAAGGCACCCGGAGTGAGTCGCACAGATCCCCAAGCAGCCTGTGCGCCAGGCTTCTGGAAATGGTAGGGCTGTGAGTTGCACTTACTGGTCTAATACCACCACGTCCTGGTGTCCCGTGTAGTGGCGAGCCAGCCTCAGGGCCAGGTCATTGGCTTCTGACCTATGACCGAAAAGGTGGGCATGACTGAGACAGTGGTCCAAGAGCTTCCCAGAGAGAAATGCTGAGGGCAAGAGGACCCTTCTAGCAGCAAGAAGATTCTCAGGACATCAACTAGTCAGTCACTTGCTTATTTGTTTGGTATACATCAAATGCCTCCTATGTACTAGAAGCTGGGGGCAAAAAGAGTAGGTAAAACAGGCCAGGGGCGGTGGCTCATGCCTATAATCCCAGCACTTTGGGAGGCCGAGGTGGGCGGATCACGAGGTCAGGAGATCGAGACCATCCTGGCTAACATGGTGAAACCCCGTCTCTGCTAAAAATACAAAAAACTAATGTGGCATGGTGGCGGGCGCCTGTAGTCCCAGCTACTCAGGAGGCTGAGGCAGGAGAATGGCATGAACCTGGGAGGCAGAGCTTGCAGTGAGCTGAGATCACGCCACTGCACTCCAGCCTGGGAGACAGTGAGACTCTGCCTCAAAAAAAAAAAAAAGGTAAAACACACACGGCCTTGGCTCTCCTCTTGGCTCTCCTGGAATTTACATTCTCGTATGTGTCATGAAACTTGTTTGGAAAAAACTCAAACCATTGTTTTTCCTCTGCTTTCACACTACGACAATCAACACAGAAGACTTCTGTGACTCCAAAAAATATGTAAGGATTTCTTCCTGCCAGCAGGCAAGCAATCGGATTGCAGCAACACCAGCTGGGTGTCCTCCAGTTCAATTCCAACACTCTCTACGTGGAGGCAGCATCAGATCCCACAGCATGAGGGCTCAGTGCCCAAGACTGCCCCACAGCCCCCTGGGCACCAGTAGCAAGTCGGCCTCTGGAACTAATTTTCTTTTTTTGTAGAGATGGGGTCTCACTATATTGCCCAGACTGGGGGCTCAAGCATTCCTCCCACCTCAACCTCAAAGTACTGGAATTATAGGCATGAGCCACCGTGGTGGCCACCTTTGGAAATTTTTTTTTTTGAGACAGAGTCTCACTCTGTTGCCCGGGCTAGAGTGCAGCGGCTAATGTTGGCTCATTGCAGCCTCTGCCTCCCAGGCTCATGGGATTCTCCTGCCTCAGCCTCCTGAGTAGCTGGGATTACAGGCGCCCACCACTATGCCCAGTTGACTTTTTGTATTTTTAGTAGAGATGGGGTTTCACCATGTTGGCTAGGCTGGTCTCACACTCCTAATTCTCCTGCCTCGGCTTCCCAAAGTGCTGGGATTACGGGCGGGAGCCACCGCACTCAGCCCCCCTTTGGAACTTCTGACCAACTGGCTTCAAGTTGAGGTTCCCACAATTCCCTCTGTAGGTTCAATTAATTTGCTGCAGTGGCTCACAAAACTGAGGGAAATACATTTACTGGTTTGTTATAAAGGATATTATAAAAGATACAGATGAAGAGATGCATAGGGGGAGATATGAAGGAAGGGCATGGAGCTTCCCGTGCCCACCCTGGGCGCACCACCCTTCAGGAACCTGTGTATGTTCAGCTATCTGGAAGCTCTCTGAATCTAGTCCCCTTAGTTTTTATGGAAGCTTCATGACAGCAGCATTCCTTCTCCCAGGACATGGGGTAGGACCCTCTCTGGAATGAGAGTTTTATGACCCACCATCAGAAAGGTGGGGAAGATTAGAGTCCCGCCTTGGGCAGGTGAAAGGAAGGCAGGAGAAGGTTAGAGTGATTGTCTCCTGAGGCCTGACATCCAATGTTGTAACAAAAGAGTGTAACAAGGGCTGTGGGAGTTATGAGCCAGGAACTGTGAATAAAAATGAATGTGTGTGTATGTATATATGTGTGTCTGTGTATTTATATATATGTGTGTGTACACATATATATACCACCACAAAAGCCAAAAAAGAAAAAGTGATCCTTTTTCTAAGTGCTATGATGGATGCTCTGGGAGAAAGCCAGAGGGAGCATGTTTACGGGCTGAGCTGCCACCCCCCACCCCCAATTTATGTGTTGAACCTCTAATCCCCAGTAGCTCAGAATGGCCCGTATGTGAATGGATATGAAGATAAGAGAGGTGATTCCGTTAAAATGAGGCTGTCAGGGGGCCCCTAATCCAATCTAACTAGTGTTCTTATAAGAGGAAATCTGGACAAAGAGACACGAGGGACACTTACACACGGAAGACCAACCAGGGCCATCTCCAAGCCAAGGAGAGAGGCCTTAGAAGAAACCAACCCTGCCAACACCTTGATCTTAAGACTTCCAGCCTCCAGGACTGTGAGAAAATAAATGTCTCTTGTTTAAGCCACTCAGTCTCTGTTATTTTCTTATGGCAGCCAGAGTAGACCAACAGAGAGGGTCAGTGGAAGCGTCTATGGGGAGGTAACTCGTGTACTGAGTCCTGAGGGAGAAGTTTCCAGACAGATGGAGCAGCACGCACCAAGGCCTTGTGAAGGAAAAGAGCTCAGTATGCTCAGGGAACCAGGAGAAGATGATGGAGGCCAGCGCCTAAGGAGGGCAGGGTAGGAGAGGAAGCGGGGAGACATGCAGGGGCCAGGTGCACAGGGCTGGGAAGGAGCCTGAGTTTTCTTCTCAGTGCCATGTGAAGCCACTGAAGAGTTTTAATGAGAAAAGGAACATGAGTCAGCTCCCATTTTAAGAGGTGGCCTCTGGCTGTGTCTAATGGAGTCGACAAGAATAAAAGTGGAAGTGAGGAGACCAAGGAAGAGGATGCCAGGTGAGAGCAGGTGGTGGCCATGGAGATGGAGAGGTAGAGGGAGTTAAGAGGCATCATGGAGATGGAGGAGGCAGGATTGATGCAGGACTGGGGAGCATGTGGTTTCTGCCTTGAGCAGATATAGGTGGTGATGCCCTTTACAAGGCAAGATGAGCAGGGTGAGTGGGGACAGTCTTCTTGGGCAGGTTAGGGAGAACAGTACCACGGTCCAATCAACCCTTTCTTGCCTTGTGGACACATGAAGCTGGAGATGTTTGTCAGATGTCACAGGCGCAGTTAGAACCTCAAGTTGGAACATATGCAAAATGTCTGGGCTCAAAAAAATTTGCGAGTCACCAGCACATGGATGCTATTTAATACCAAGAGAATGGAAGAGATCACCTGAGGAGCGGGCTCAGAGAAAAGTGGCCCAAGACCAGCCCCAAGGAACAGAGGAGGAATCAGCAAAGAAGACAGGGAAGGAGTGGCTAGAGAAACTGGCAGAAAACAGGAGAGCACAGCGCCCTGGAAGCAAGAGGAGACAGCACTTCTGGAGAGTGGTAACTGTCCATTACTGCCGGGACAGAGTAAGACGACGCAGCAAAGAGACTGCTTTGGATTTGGCAACATGGAAGTCACTGGAATCCACACAGAATAAAGCTGGTGGCATAAGAATGCCCCTCCTCCACCACCACTGAGGAAGCACCAGCTCCCTGCTGTTTCCAGAGGCTCCAGCTCTTGACATGGGAAATGTCTGGGCTCAAGTTCCTTTCTTTGAATTGCTATTACCCCATCTGCAAAATGAAGATGGTGAATTCCACTTCCTAGAAATTATCTGGGGGGCAGAGATGACTGTACTATGTGAATGGCAACAATAATCATTACTATAATTCAACGCCACCACCTACGATTCGCTGGAATGTTCTCTCCCAGATACGCTGTAATCACCTGCCTGTTTGTCTCCACTGCTGATCCTAGTGTGAGCTACCATAACCTTTCACCTGGCCACTGAACTGGCACCTAACAGTGTCCACTCTTGCGCTCTGTTCCCTGTAAGACATCATTTCCTGATTAAAGCCTCCGATGGCTTCCCAATGCTCTTAGGATAAAGACAGTCACTTGGCGGAGAAGGCCCTAGGTGACGGGCCCTGCTTCCCTCCCAACAGCTCACAGCCTCTGCTTTCCCTTAGTGGACTTCTTTCGGTTCCTCAAGTGTGCTGGGTACCATACCCTTTCCTGCTTCAGGGCCTTTGCATGGGCAGTTGTGTGTGGTGACCAACTTTGACAAGAGTTTTGCCGAGACTAATTTTTTTTTTTTTTTTTGAGATACAGCCTCACTCTGTCTCCCAGGCTGGAGTGCAGTGGCACAATTTTGGCTCACTGCAAGCTCCGCCTCCCAGATTTAAGCAATTCTCCTGCCTTAGCCTCCTGAGTAGCTGGGATTACAGGCACCCATCACCACGTCCAGCTAATTTCTGTGTATTTTTAGTAGAGATGGGGTTTCACCACATTGGCCAGGCTGATCTCAAACTCCTGACCTCAGGTGATCTGCCCACCTCGATCTCACGAAGTGCTGGGATTACAGGCATGAGCCATCGCGCCCGGCCTTGATGAGACTTCTGATGCAGTGGCAGCACCCTTCCTTCCTCCTCTTCTAGTTATCTCCCAGTCAGCTCTTAGGTTAACATCCCTTCCTCAGGGAAGGTTTCCCTGTACCCCCAGAATAGGTCAGGTCCCCTCACTCTTTCTAGGCCTCATGATACCCTGTACGCTTCCTCCAGAGCCCTCCTTGGAATTCTGTATTTCTTTGAAGAATCACTTGGTGTTTTTGTTCCTTACTGAGCAACCCACAGACAGGGATTTTGGCTGTATCCATAAGGCAGAAATAAAGAAATGTATTACCTCACTAAGCCCCAGCAATGATCCTAGAAAGGAAGTAATAACATCCTTCAGTAAGAGACAAGGAAACTGGATCCAACAGAAAAAGCATCAGGGCCTAGAGCTGGGAATCTCAGGAGCCTGGTGCAATGGGGGCTGCCTCTCCCTGAGTCCACATTCGGTCGGCTACACTACACCGGGCCCATGTGAGCAACTCTCTTTGTTATCATCTCACCCTCTTCCCGGGGGCTGGCCACAGTCACTTACCCGGAATTCAGGAAATAGAACACACAGAGCGGCTCTGGCAGGGTCTCCGACAGCCTCTGCGCATAGTCCACAATGTTGTCGTGCAGGTACCGGCTGTTGGTGTTGAGCACCTGGTTCTGTTCATGTGCTGCTCGGACCACGACAGGGTGGCAGTGCCCGACTGGAAGAAGGCCACCTCCATCACACAGCTGGCTCCGCTCAGCCAGTCCCACTGAGCCTCCCCCAGCCCCAAGCTATAAACCCAGCCAGAAGAGACGCAGTTCTAGTGAGAGAGGTAGAAAGAGGGGAGTCTGAAGGCAGAGCAGGGAGAGAGAAGCTAGTTCTGGAAAGGCAGATCCAGGAGTTCCTGAGATTCTGGCAGAAGGAAATGTTCTTCAGCAGAAGAACCCTGTCTAGAAAGCCCATGTCTTTTTTTTTTTTTTTTTGAGAGTCTCGCTCTGTCGCCCAGGCTGGAGTGCAGTGGTGTGATCTCGGCTCACTGCAAGCTCCACCTCCTGGGTTCATGCCATTCTCCTGCCTCAGCCTCCCGAGTAGCTGGGACTACAGGCGCCTGCCACCACACCTGGCTAATTTTTTGTATTTTTAGTAGAGATGGGGTTTCACTGTGTTAGCCAGGATGGTCTCCATCTCCTGACCTCGAGGTCAGCAAGCCCGCCTTGGCCTCCCAAAGTGCTGGGATTACAGGCGTGAGCCACTGCGCCTGGCCTAGAAAGCCCATGTCTTTAAGGAGGCCTTTTTTTTTTTGTTTTGAGATAGGACCTTACGCTGTCACCCAGGCTGGAGTGTAGTGGTGTGATCATGGCATTCACTGCAGCCTCAAACTCCTGGGCTCAAGTGATCCTCCCACCTCAACCTCCTGAGTAGGTGGGACTAAGACACCAGTCACCATGCCTAGCTAATTTTTAAGTTTTTTTGTAGAGACAAGGTCTCATTATGTTGCCCAGGCTGTAAGGCCTTTTGAGGCTTGCATGACAAAGGTGGGGTAGGGAGTGACTGTCAACTTTTTCACTTCAAGCCAAGGGGGCTGGTGGTAATCTTGACTGCCAAAGGCCAAGGATAGTAACAGTGAGTATGTACTGAGAGCTCACTATGTGCCAGGCACATTCAGAGCAAGCTACATACATTAACACATTGAATTCTCCTAATACCTTCAAGTGGCTACCTAGTAGCATTATGTCTTTTGCAGATAAGCAAACGGAGGCACAGAGAATTAAGTAACTTGCCTGAGATCACAAAGTTAGTAAGTAGGGGATTTGAGCCCAAGCAGTCTAAGACTAGAGTCTCTGCCTTTTTTTTTTTTTTTTTTTAAATCATCCTCACCATTTCATATCTTCTTATAGATCCTCCATGATCGAAACCGGAGCGGAGCTTGCAGTGAGCTGAGATCCGGCCACTGCACTCCAGCCCGGGCTACAGAGCAAGACTCCGTCTCAAAAAAAAAAAAAAAAAAAAAAATCTCGACTTTATTAATCTTCCATGTCCCTGCTGAGTCTCAGACTCCCTTTCTTTCCGTCAGCTCTGGCAGCCTTATCAGGAGGACTGAATTCCTGCTTCAGCTCCCTTGCCCAGCACCTGAGATGGCCAGTGAGGCTGAAGCGCCATCTTGACCCCAGCACTTGGCCAGCACTGTGCTACGCTGCTGGTCACAGCTGGGCCATCTGCCACTCTGTGAGCTCATCATCAGTCCCAAGTGGAACTAGACCCACAGACCTAGATTGCTGACTCCTGCCTGGTTTAGCACAGCTCCAGACTGCAGAATTCCACAGCTACATTGCAAAGGCTGAGCCTCCTCTGCATATTGGTAGTGCCTCAACTCAACCCAGGTTCTCCACACCTCTCGGTAATCTCAGGCAATCTCAGGTCATCTTGGGACCAGGCTCACAGCCTTGGCCTCCTCTCCTGCCCTGCCAACCTGAGGTATGATACTGACCGTGAGCCACATTGTTGATGCAGTCGATGTATTCTGCCCCTTGTTCATCGTACATGTACTGCCCTTGGGCCCGGACAATCTTAACAGGATCCTCGGGAAAAAAGAGTCTGCAGGAAGAGCTGTGGGGACAGGCAAGGAGTGGACAGCCATGTCTGAAGACCGAAAGGGTGAAGTCCACTCGTCACAGGCCCCCGCCCACCCCTTCCCAGTTTCTGGGGGAAAAAACGAAAGCTTGAAGGGCAAGGTGCTGCTTCCCTGCCTTGTCTCCTCACTCCACAGGTGGCTGTAAAGGAGGAAGCAGATGGGGTACCAAGTTGCGGAAACTTAGAATTGTTTCTTAAAGCATTTTAAGTCTCAGTGGCCTCCTGGCTCATTTCTGCTTGTGGTCACGTCAGTCTCCTGGATCCTGAGAAAAGGTGGCTGCCCCGGCCCACGGGGCTCCGGGCTACGTGTCCTCCTTGGGATGGGGCAGGGCACCAACATTAGGTGGCTGGCTCTCAGCCCTAAACGCTCCTTGCCAGCCACGTGGTCCTGCTGCCCCTCGCTGGGTGCCAGCCCTAAGCTCCAGTGGGAGGCTACCTCACCCACCTTCCCACCGAGGGCCCCTCGCAGGTCAAGTATGCTGCCTGTGAACCGACTCCCCCGACTCTCCCTTCGTCTGCGCTTCCAGCCCCCTCCCAGGTCACTCTGGAGACAGGCCGGCGTGCGGCTGACGGGCCACCCTGGGTGAGGTCCTCCTAGGTGCCAGGGTGAAGGTCTTTTCCGGGGTAAAGGCTGCCAAGCGAGGCTGCCACAGACTGGACAGCGGTGACGGCGGGGCCGACTCCTGAACGGGGCGGCCTGGAGACGGCGCTGTCCGGGAGGAGCCCCCGGAGACCACCCACCGGGACGGCCCAGCGCCGCCGCCTTCCCGGCCCTGCGAAACTCCCCTGTGGCCGGGCCCGGGGTCGCACGGGCTGGAGAGCGGCGACCTCCTAGTCGGAGGCGCGTGCGTCGTGCGTGCGTGCGTCGTGCGTGCGCGTGCCACCCCGCGCAGCCCCGCGCCACCCGCCGCACGCCCGCGTACCTGATGAGCCGCTGCCTCAGGGCCAGGGTGTCGGCCTTCGAGCGCCGGTCTGCGGCCATGGCGGGTGGCTGTCAGTGGTTGTCGAGACGCCGCGCGGAGACGTTTCCGCGCGGGCTGGTCCTCCAAGGCCCCGCCCCTGCCTGGGTCGGGATTTGGGGCTCGGGTTCGCGCTCGGGCCCCTCCCCCAAGCGCCCGTGTAGCGGTGGTTGATTCTTCGCTTGCCCACTGAGCCTGGCAGCCTTCTGGCCCGTGGTCGTGCCTTGGCAGTCCCGCGCAGGAACTCGAGCGCTGCCCCGTCTCTGGTTCCGGGACGGGCCGCAGGCCTCGTCCTGCAGCCTCCCGCGGCTTCCCTTCCGGGAAAGGGCCCCGGACGACCCCGCCCCTGCTCCTGGGGCCTAGGCGGGGCTCGGAGCTACTGCACGCCTCCTTGGGCCGGACTCAGTCTTTGAGTCAGCTTGTGCATAAAATGGGATCAGCTGTGAGGCCTAAGTGCGAGTATGTGACTGGTAGCTTACCCGGGCCCGGGTACACAGTAGGGGCCTCAGGGTGGGAGAAGCAGGTCCTAGGTTCTCCCAGCCCCGTGAGGGGGCAGCAGGAAGGGCAGAAGGAGAGCCCAGGGTCCCTTCTGGGGCTGACCGAGGAGATCACCGTGGGCTTGATCTTCGGGGCACCATGGTTCCTTCTAGAATCCAGGCAGGGTGAACTGGACGAGCTATATCAACGCTAAGAGAATCATGCGGTGTTTGGGCAAGAAGAGAGGTTGGGAAGCCTCCTTGTGGTACATGTGCATGACCGTGAAGCCCAGAAAGGGAAAGGGTTTTGTTGGCAGACACGCAGCAAGGCTGCAGAGGCTGGACTCCTACTGAGGACTTCTTGACTCCCAGCCCAGGGAGTGAAGAAAAAGCGTCCCAAGGGGCTGGGATGTGAGAGAAGCCCCCTCCTGGGGTGGAGCACTGGAGCTTTCTGCCTTGGAGAACCCTGGAACACGGGCCTGGGACTGCAGCCGGTGTGGGCTGGGGCAGGGGAGGCTCCTGATTGTTCCTCCTTTTCTGTCCACATCTTCATGATTCCCAGGCCTCTGTTCACTCCCTCATTGCTGATTTCTTCTTCTCTTCCCAATACGGTTGTAAGATGCTTAAGGAATTTATTTTTTAAATTTTACTGAACTCCTGACCTCAGATGATCCGCCTGCCTTGGCCTCCCAAAGTGCTGGGATTACAGGCGTGAGCCACCGCGCCCGGCCACTTAAGGCATTTATTAAAGAACGTCTGGAGTTCCTTTTTTCTTTATTGTGTAAAACATACATAACAAAATTTACCATTTTAACCATACAATTCAGTGGCAAAAGTACATTCACATCATTGTGCAACCATCACCACCATCCATGCAACAGGACTTTTTAATCTTCCCTTCGCCCAGGCTGGATCTCAGCTCACTGCAAGCTCCGCCTCCCGGGTTCACGCCATTCTCCTGCCTCAGCCTCCCGAGTAACTGGGACTACAGGCGCCCGCCACCTCGCCCGGCTAGTTTTTTGTATTTTTTTAGTAGAGACGGGGTTTCACCGTGTTAGCCAGGATGGTCTCCATCGCCTGACCTCGTGATCCACCCGTCTCGGCCTCCCAAAGTGCTGGGATTACAGGCTTGAGCCACCGCGCCCGGCCGGAGTTTCTTATTTTTAACTGTAAAGTTGAATTGAATATTTTACATGATTTTTGGAAAACATTCTTCCCAAATTAACTGAGAGGTTAACTGCTTGTGGTCTGTATTTTTTTTTTTTTTTTTTTTAACAGGGTCTCACTCTGTTGTTCAGGCTGGAGTGCAGTATTGCAATCTCTACCTCCCTGGGCTCATGTGATCCTCCCATCTCAGCCTCCCAAGTACCTGCTACTACAGGTGCACGCCACCATGCCCAGCCTGTACTTCGTTTCTGAGGATCAAGGCCTCACAGACCCTGTGTGTGTGAGTGGGACCGTGGTCACTGTTTTCTTAGTGGATTGGCTCCTCCTCATTAGTAGAGAGACCTATGATGCCTCCATGCCCTGCAGTTCCAGCTTTTAAAGTTGTGTGTGTGTGTGTGTGTGTGTGTGTGTGTGAGAGAGTCCTATTGGGGTCCACCTTTCAGCCCTGTCTTGCAGCTCAAACTCCAGCCACAACTGTGGCCCCGTGCAGCTCAGAGAAATCAGGTTGGCTCAGGGGCTTTTCCTACTTTAAGGCAGAGGGTGAGAAGGCTGTAGCTGGGCCCAGTTAACATCTCACCTGCTCCTGGGTCAAGAGGTGATACAGTTGGAGGTCAGACCAGGCTGAGCCATTTCCCGGGCCAGGAGTATCTTATAGCATGGCACAGGACAGCATCAGGAGGCCTCACCTTCTTCCTGCTCAGAAAAGCCCACTCCTTGACTCTGGCCCCGTGGCAAGCAATCATCTGTCCTTTATCTCATGCCTGGCCCTCTAGGCAATGTTGGAGACCAAGAGGGTAGGGGATGGAAGTGGCTGAGCCAGGATTTGAACCCAGGGCATGGCGTTTCTCAGCAGGGTTGGCACCAGCATTCTTGTTGAGATGATTTGTCATTGGGTAGGCTGGTCCTTTCATTTTAGGTGTTTGCTATCCCTGGCCCTGCCCCCTGAATGCCAGGGTGTCCTGCAATCATTGTGATGACCAAAAGCATCCCATGTATTTCTAGTGGTCTCCTAGGGACCAGGAGGAGAGAGACCTGGGTAAGTCCACTTCAGATTCAGCTATAAAAAGGGATAGTTATCCTTGTGGTTAGTTTAGCTGTCATGGGACACAGCAGGACTCAGTAAATGTACTTCTCTCTCTTCCAGAAAGGGGTACTTTGAGGCTCTACTGCCTTTCTTGGCAGGAGGCCTGAGGCCCCCCAGCCCTTGAGGCTCAGCTGTGAAGCAGGGTGCTCCTCAGTGTCTCAGCTGGAACCTCGAACAAATCATTGATTCCTCTACTGCCTCTGTGCTCATCCTGCGAGCTTTGAGGACTCAGCAGACTCTAAATGTTTAAGCTTGCAGCTGACAAGTTTACAGGCGTTAGGATACAAGGTATGAGACCGCAAGGGGGCAGCAGTGAGCCAAAAAATGCCCCATCCTGCCCAAAGGAGCAGGAGACACGCCCTCAGAAGACTGGGGAAGTAGGGGAACACATGGCTTCTACCCCCACAAGGATCTACCTGCCAACCACCCAGCCTCATGGAGCTGCCTATCAGATTCTATGCTCTGCCAGACAAGCTTCGGGAGGACGAATTAGAGGACAAACCCAAGAGCCTAGGTGCAGTCCCAAGCCTGCCACTATGTCCTGGCTGTGCATCCTTGGCCAGGTGATTACCCTCTCTGAGCCTCAGTTTTTCCCTATGTAAAATGGAAATAGCGACACCTATCACACAAGCCCTGGGCTTCGCAGGGCTGGCGAGGGGATCAAGTGAGGTTCCTGGATGGAGGGAGGAGGGAACTGTGAAGTGTAGCATGCAGATGGTGAGGTTACGCTGGAACTCCAGAGGAGGTGTGGACACCCAGTGACCTCCATCCATCATCACAGCCCCACTGTGTTTCTCTTCCTTCTCCTACTACTGGCTTCCCTGTTGACTCAGACAACTGGCTGAGTGATGTGGCCTGCCACTTATTGCCAGTTCCTTAGGGAGACCGAGGAGGGGACTGGATATATCCCTCCCTCCTTAGCCAGTGTGTGGCCGGGCCTCTTCTGCTTAGCAAGGCCATGTCACAGAAGTCTGAGGGGGACCGCCCATACTGTGGCCTGCCCTAGGCCTCAGTCCTTGGAGACTCAGACACCGTCAGTGCAATGCACCAGCACTGTCAGAGACACCATCACTGCAGGCCCTTCTTTTTTTTTTTTTTTGAGGTGGAGTTTCGCTCTTGTTGCCCAGGCTGGAGGGCAATGGTGCGATCTCAGCTCACCGCAACCTCTGCCTCCCGGTTTCAAGCGATTCTTCTGCCTCAGCCTCCCGAGTAGCTGGGATTACAGGTGTGAGCCACCACGCCCGCCTAATTTCGTGTTTTTAGTAGAGACGGGGTTTCTCCATGTTGGTCAGGCTGGTCTCGAACTCCCGACCTCAGGTGATCCGCCCGCCTCAGCCTCCCGAAGTGTTGGGATTACAGGCGTGAGCCACCACACCCAGCCCATGGCCCTTCTGGTCTAGGCCACCCTCGGTTTGCTTGGTTTTGTCATCTGTAAGAGGGTCTCTCTCTTAGGGTTGTTATAGGGACCAGCTGTGGTGAGAAGTGGGAACACTTTGCAGGACTGTGGCCCTTGCTCAGCAGCCTTGGAGTCAGGAGAGATGAAAATCAGAACCAAGTGTGCTTCTGGGTGAGGGACACACCCTACATTCTTCGCATACTCTGCACTGGATCCTCACAGAACCACAATCTGAGTGCTAAGCAGTGCCCTGTCATTTCACAGCTGAGGTGGCACTTTGCATTTTTTCAGAGGGGGCTGCAACAAGATCTACAATTCCACATTTTCTCCTTGAAATATGATGTTGACACTTTCCCGTGGAGAGGTGGGGTCTAATTCTCCTCCCTCCACTCTTTCAGAAAATGACACCACGTGACTTCTGAGACTTGGCCCTAAAAGGTGACACAGCTTCCAACTGGCTGACCTGGGACAGTCACTTTTGGAATCCAGCCACCATGTGGGAGGCAGCCTGGGTCACATGGAGAGGCCACAAATAAGTATTTGCCATCTGAGGTCCCTGCTATAGCCAGCAGCAACCACCATGTGAGAGTTTGAGTGAGAAGCACCCACACTGAGCTCATTAACCACAGACTGTACAAGAGAAATTGAATTTTTTTTTTTTTTTTTTTTAAAGAGAGGAATTTCTCTACGTTGCTCAGGCTGATCTTTAACTTCTGGGCTCAGGCAGTTCTCTCGCTTCAGCCTGCCCAGCAGCTAGGACCACAGGCATACATTAACCCAGCCTACCAGCGTTAATTCTTTACTTTTGGTAGAGATGGGGTTTCACTATGCTGCCAGCCCGGTCTCGAACTCCTGGGCTCAAGTGATTCTCCCATCTTGCCCTCCCAAAGTATTGGGATTAAAAGCATGAGCTGCTGTATCTGGCCAAAATGACCATTGTTTTAAGGCAATAAGCTTTGAAGAGATTTGTTATGCAGCAGTCTGGTAACCACAATAGAGGAGCACACAGGGGCTCAGTTTGACAGGTAGTGACTTGCTAGAAGACTCAGCTGATGTGTGGCAGGACCAGGCGATGAATCTGTCTTCCGAACTCCAAATCCCATCTTTGCCCTCACCCTGAACTTCCTCCTTTGGTTTCTGGGATCGTTCTTAGGGAGAGTCCCCTTTTCCCTCCCCACCCATCAGTGGCCAGGATGAAACCACAGCCAGAGGTGCCCCAGGGACAGTCCGCAAGGACAGGCACACCCAGACACACACTTGTGGTTTATTACACACAGTGATCTCCATCTACACAGAAATGGAAGGCAAGCAGCCAGGATGGAGCTGGTTGCTGGGAACACTTGCTGGAGGTGGAAACGCCTCTCGTCAGAGCGTGGGTGGGTCTGGTGGCAGGCCCTTTGCTCAGGACAGCTGCAAACCAGCCTGAGGTTTGCTTTGCCTGCACAGCCCACCTAGAGAGCCATTTTTGGCCAGAGTTCTGGGTGACAGACCTGGGGCCAGTGAGACCCAGACTCTGAGTGGGAGGCCTGCCTCCCTGGGCCAGGCCATGTCCCATCTTGTCTCTCTCTGGGTGATATGGAAACAGACACAGGAAGGAGCAGTCAGTCCAGCCTGGGCCCCTCCCTCCCCGACACTCTGCCCCCTGGAGCTGGGTCCACATCACAGCGATCACAGCTCAGCCACTACTTCGGGCCAGAGGACATGTGTTCTCAGGGCAGGCTGGCCTCCCAAGGCCGACTGAATGCAGTAGGAGCTAGACCCTCTTGGGGGATTTTCACTCACTGCTCCCCGGGCCCAGCTGCAAGTGCCGGGCGAGTCTTGTCCAGGGGCCAAGTCTTGTCCAACTGTAGAGGCAGCTGGTTGTGGTTGAGTTTGGAGGCTGGTGAGGCCGGGAGCAGCAGCCGCTGTTCCACCCCTGGGTCTTCTTGGATAGGGGGTGTCCCAGGGACTCCAGAGTGTTTGGGGGCAGGTTCTTAAACAGCTCAGAGTCTCTCTGCTGATCAGGTGACTGAAGGCCCAATGTAGCATCTTTCTAGCCTTGCCCGAGCCAGATGCTTCTACCGTCATCTCCTTCCTGGGAAAGCCCAGGCCCGAGGGTGCCCCTCAGGTATACATCTCCCGGGGCTGGCCTGTCCACTTTCCAGCAGCTTCACACGCCAGTGGCTCTGGGGCTGGGTGGGCACACTCTCGAATGTTAAAAGGCCACAGGTAGCGCATTCCGTGAAAAAAGATCAATATATTACTGTTTTGTTTTTACAAAAATTAAAAATGTCCACACAGATCTGTACAGGCGTGAGCTGGGCCTGTGGGTCACTGGAAGAGGAGGAAGAGACTGAAGGTGATGAGGAGCCCGAGAGGCCCCGCCCCCATCCAGGCCACCTTGCTCTGGCATCCCCCATCCTGCTCATTTCCTCGGGAACAGGTGCAGACCCCTCCTCTCTTCCCTCCCCACCACTCCCTCTCCGTGGGCCTATTTGGACAATGTCCCAGGAGGCACTGATGGCTTTGCTCTGCCTGGGCCAGATGTCAGTTGAGTCCATGTGACCCACAGGGTGGGCTGTACACCATCACCCAGGACCACAGTCCCACGCCTCAGCTGCAAGACGGGAGAGTCAAAACCAGGGTCACGATGGGGAACTTGGCTCTTCAGTCACTGTGCGGGAAGCCACAGGCACCCAGAGGTTTGAGTGACAGCACCCAGGCTCCAGGGCCCTCCCCATTCCGCCACCCTCCCCTGCCTCCCCTGAGCCTGCCCTGGGGACTCTTCCCTGCAAGGTACCTTATGCCAGCAGCCAGGCACAGGCAGCCCGTCGGGGCCCTGGAAAGGAGAAGGTTTCAGTGATGGGGATGGGGCCTGGGGAGCTCCTCTACACCCCACGTACCCTCCCCTGGTCTGTAGGGAGTAAGGTCAGGGAGCTGCCATGTGAGGCTGCTGGGCCCCACTGAGGCAGGGCCACAATGCCTCCTCTGTCCACCCAGGTAGTGGGGTCCTGAGGACATGACGGCCTCTGACTGAGCTTGTCCTGTGTTCCCTCTGTGCTCTGTGGGGACTGCTGTGCAGTGGGCAGGAACAGGAGGGCACTAGGAAGGGATGGGCATTGTGCCAGGCATGCACAGGCTGGCCTGGGTCCTGCCAAGAGCTGTGTGGCTTCCTGCCTGATGTGACAGTGACTCTGGCTCCTCACCCTGGGGCCTGCGAGCTTTCAGGCCTTGGGCAGGAGTGGCCCCTGGAAGGTTTTAAGGATGGCCCAGGAGTTGGCATCCTGCTTCAGCCTGTGCTGGCCCTGCACAGGGCAAGCTCAGGCTGTTGGGGGTTGGGGCTGGGCAGGGGGTGGGGCTGTCTAGTGGCACCTGTGGTGCCCACTTAGCAGCCAGACATACGCAGGGTCTGGGTTTCCTCAGGCAGCCTGAAGGGTGGGGAAACTGGAGAAGAATAAAGGCTAACTCATCAGGGACACCAAGGCACAAAACATGTCATTCTGTTCCAAAGCACAGGCATGAGCCTTAGACCCTGGGCATACCCTGGAATATTCCCATGTGTACACCAGGGGACCAGGCTGGGGACCAAAGGGAAGGTGAGGAGGAGGGCAGAATGGAAAGGAAGGCAGAAGCAAGGAAGGCCGGGGCCCTGGCTGCCCCAAAGGCCCACACAGCACACGGCACACGGCACACAGCAGGCCAGACCGCCTACCGCAGGGCATGGCCCATTGCCCCTCGCAGGGCCCCGCCAGCCTGGTGCCCCTCTCCGGCCTCCGCAGGTGGGATTCTCCTGTTTCAAAGGAGACAGGGGCTTACTGACTTGGAGGGGAGTCCTGGGCCAGGGGCTGGAGCTGCAGGGCTGGGCCACCCTGCCCCTGCTGTCCCTGCACTTTCCTCTTCAAGTCCTTTTCTGACTTCTCAAAACTGTCCAAGGGGAGGGGTACCCCCCACTGCAGGGATGAGGACACTGAGGAACAGAGGCCAGAGGTCTGGGAGGGGGTCTCTAACTCTGGCACCACTGGAGGTTGAGGCTGGCCTGCACACATCCCCGCGGAAGGCCCCCTCTCCATTCCCATGGCTGGAGTGGCCAGGTATGAGTATCTGTCCACTTTTAGTAGGAAAACCCAGCTGGTTTGTTTTTCCTGTCTTTTCTGAGCGCCACTGGAAGAGTGTGACATGTAAACCCTCCCTACTTTCTAGAAAAAGGGAACTAGGCAGGGCACAGTGGCTCACACCTATCGTCCCAGCACTCTGGGAGGCCAAGGTGGGGCAATCGCTTGAGCCCAGGAGTTCAAGACCAGCCTGGACAACATTGCAAGACCCCAGTTCTACAAAAATTAAAAATTAGCTGGGCATGGTGCTGCATGCCTGTAGTTTTGGCTACTCGGGAAGCTGAGGCAGGAGGATCACTTGAGCGTGGGAGATTGAGGCTGCAGTGAGCCATGATCGCACCACTGCACTCCAGCCTGGGCGACAGAGTGAGACTCTGTCTCCGGAAAGAAATAAAGGGAACTGACTTTTGAATTGTGGTTGTTTCAGGCACTGGACACTGGGGCTGGTGGGCTACCACGGGCCACTGAGAGAGCAGGGAAGGAGGTAAAGGAAGGGTGTGGGGGCAGGCAGAGGGGATGCGGGGAAGAGGGAGGTGCTGCCCCAGCCCAGAGAGACTCTTCTGGGAAGGATGAAGGAAGGGGAGGGACAGCCAGCAAGAGAGGTCAGAGGGGTCCCACCGTCTATGCTTGGGGAAGCTGAGTTTCAGCCCAACTTGGCCTCAAGCCCAGTGTGAGTCAGACCCCGACTCTGACCCCAGGCAGCCAGAGCGGGGGGCTGGGAACTCACTGCCTCCGTCCCCAGCAGCAGTGTGCCTGTGCTGACTTTGGTTCCCTCCTCAGGGCCCAGCCCCTCCCAGGGCACCGCTGATGGTGCTGACGACTCCAGGTAAAGCCCCTCCACTCCTTGTCTAGACCCTGTTCATCTCTAGCCCAAGATGGCCCACAATGGGCTCCTACTCAAGCCAGGCCTGTCCTGGGGCTGAACAATGAGGGGCTGGGTTCCCTGAGCCACGCCCATGTTTGGGGGTGGTTAGGACCAGAGCAAGGGGAAACCTGGTGATGGCAGTAGCAGCAGCAGTGGCCCTGACAGTGAGCAAGGCCGGTGCGTGACCAATGGGGCCTCTGGGACTTGCAGCTGAGTTCTGAGGACAGGGAACGTGTTGGTCTGACCATGGTTGGAGGCCAAAAAGACCTGGGGGCAGGGCCCTCCTCCGACACCTACCACAGGACACGGCTGGTCCAGGCCCGGTGGTCCCGGCTCGCCCTTCTGGCCCTTCACTCCTTTCCGGCCGGGGACCCCTCGCTCTCCCTGTGCAGGAGGGGAGATGGTGGTATTGGCCATCTGCTGCCAGGCTCAGGAACCTCCAACACCTCTCCGAGGCGCCTGGGGTCAGCCTCCCCCTGCCTCCCGCCCACCTGCCCAGCCCGGGTTCTCTGCCTGCTTCACCTGAGCCTCCACTCCCACCTGCCTCCTTCCCCCCTTCCTCCTGCCCCAGTCCCCGTCCAGCTGCCCTCACCTTCTCTCCACGCTCGCTCCGATCACCTTTCTCTCCTCGGGGTCCAGGAAAACCCTGACAAAAGGATTAGAGGCTAAACCCGAAAATGAGGCTGGAGGTTTGCACCTCTGTTACCGGCTCATCTCCGTTCCTCTCCCATCCACACGCCCACTTCCCCCCTGCATATTCGTGACACACGCCGGCCCAGCCCCAGCTGTAGTGATGCACTGCTGGGCACAAGGCTGAGGTAGGAAGAGCATGCATTTAGGATGCCAGCTGGGCTTGCTCCAAAGTAGTCCCTGGACACCAACACTCAGGCAGAGCTGCTGGCGAGGGGCTTTCTCTCACATCACAGAGGCAGCTGGCGCTGGTCTAGGCTTGGCTGGGGACAGAGACCCTGGAAACCATGGAAGTCACGTCGCTGTCTGATGGGATGAGAAATGGTGACCTCTGTTCTGTGCCCTTGGTTCAACAGCCATCTGTCCATTCATCTATCTGTCCATCCATCTATCTGTCCATCCACCCAACCAAGGTGGCTAAACATCCACTAGGAACTGGGCTGTTGGTTGGACACTAGGGGCAGAGAATTGGATTCATCATGGCTGGGCGCGGTGGCTCACACCTGTAATCCCAGTACTTTGGGAGGTCGAGGTGGGCAGATCACCTAAGGTCAGGAGTTTGAGACCCATCCTGGCCAACATGGCAAACCCCCATCTCTACTAAAAAATACAAAAATTAGCTGAGTGTGGTGGTGTGTGCCTGTAATCCCAGCTACTTGGGAGACTGAGGCAGGAGAATTGCCTGAACCTGAGAGGGGGAGGTTGCAGTGAGCCAAGATCATGCTACTGTACTCTGGCCTGGGCGACAGAGCAGGACTCCGTCTCAAAAAACAAAGAGGCCAGGCATGGTGGCTCCTGCCTATAATCCCAGCACTTTGGGAAGCCGAGGCGGGCAGATTGCCTGAGCTCAGGAGTTCGAGACTGGCCTGGGCAACACAGTGAAATCCCATCTCTACTAAAATACAAAGAATTAGCGGCCTGGCAGCGTGTACCTGTAGTTCCAGCTACTTGGGAGGTTGAGGCAGGAGAATCGCTTGAACCCGGGAGGTAGAAGTTGCAGTGAGCCAAGATCATACCACTGCACTCCAGCCTGGGTGACAGAGTGAGACTCCATCTCCAAAAAAAAAAAAAAAAAAAAAAGAAAAAGAAAAAAAGAAAAAGAAAACAATTTAAAAAAGAGAATTGGATTCGACATGCTCCCTTGTTCATGTGTAACGGGGCAGGCAAGAGAGTGCTGATGACAGTCAACGCTCAGTGACAGAGGTTGAAACGGGTGGTGGGACTCTGGGGGGAAGGGCTGTTCTATCACAGGTAGGGGGTCAAAGGGAGTTTCTGAGCACAGTCCTTATTACAGCTGGGCCTGCTGGGGTTGAGGAGGGGCCTGGCATTTGCCAGGTAGAGCAGGGTGGGCATGGCTTTGAGATGCCACCCTGAGCACCAGGCCTCCTAGAAGGCAGCTGTAGTCACATTCATGGTGGTATGGAGTCTCTTTAGCTCCATCCCCAACTGGGCCCAGAGCCTGCAGTTGGTTCAGCATTGTCCTCTCCCGTCCCTTCCCATCAATGGATCCCAGCCCTCCCAGTCAGAAACACAAGCTACAGCTCTTCCTTTCCCTCCTCCAGTTGCTCTCCCAGGTAATGTTCTCTCTTTTTTTTTTTTGAGATGGAGTCTCGCTCTGTCGCCCATGCTGGAGTGCAGTGGCGCAAACTTGGCTCACTGCAACGTCTGCCTCCTGTGTTCATGCCATTCTCCTGTCTCAGCCTCCCCAGTAGCTGGAATTACAGGCACCCGCCACCACGCCTGGCGAATTTTTTGTATTTTTAGTAGAGACGAGGTTTCACCGTGTTATCCAGGATGGTCTAGATCTCCTGACCTCATGATCCGCCCGCCTTGGCCTCCCAAAGTGCTGGGATTACAGGCATGAGCCACCGTGCCCGGCCGGTAATGTTCTCTTTTTAAAGTCTAGGGTGGACACCAGAGTCCTTGCAGCCCTGCATCTGGTCCCATGTCCCTCAAAATAGCTACCTGATTTTCCTGAGAAAAACCTCCCTTCTTACAACCCATTGATTCCGCCCCAGTCCATGGTCTGACTGGTCAGGGCACTGCATTCCTACGGTCAAGTGACAGTTCAGTGTTGACCTAACTGGGACCAGGGAGAGCCCGTGAGACTTCCTGTAGAACACTGGAGTGAGTCAAATTTTCTTTCTTCTTAGTTTGGGCCTGGGAGGATGATGGTCTCGAGCTGCTGGCTTTACCTCACCGCCACGCGGAACTTGATTTCCACAGGGAAAGCGGACAAGAGAGGGCGAAAGGCTGAGCTGTGCTGACACAGTTGAGCCCTGGATCCATGTGTTGAACCTCCATACTTTTCAATTATGGGTCATTTTAAGCCAGTTTAAATTATGTTTCCTTTTTTTTTTTTGAGACGGAGTCTCGCTCTGTAGCCCAGGCTGGAGTGCAGTGGACGGATCTCAGCTCACCGCAAGCTCCGCCTCCCGGGTTCACGCCATTCTCCTGCCTCAGCCTCCCGAGTAGCTGGGACTACAGGCGCCCGCCACCTCGCCTGGCTAGTTTTTTGTATTTCTTAGTAGAGACGGGGTTTCACTGTGTTAGCCAGGATGGTCTCGATCTCCTGACCTCGTGATCCACCCGTCTCGGCCTCCCAAAGTGCTGGGATTACAGGCTTGAGCCACCACGCCCGGCCTTAAACTATGTTTTCTATGTATGCTACCAGAGAGACTTGATATAATCAGCCTGGGCTAATACTTCCCTTCCTCCTCTTCTCAAATTACTGCTCTAGGTAAAGCCTTATTATCTGTCACCAGGATATTGCAACAGGTTCTTCACTGTTCTCTTCGCTTTCTTGCTACAATGCATCATCCATCCATCTATCCATCCATCCACTCATCATCTATCATCCCCTCCATCCATCCATCATTCATCCATTATCCATCCATCTATCCATCCATCCATCCATCCATCCATCCATCATCCATTCATCATCCACCCACCCATCATCCACTCATCCATCATCCATCCATCCATTCACCCATCCATCCATTTATCCATCCATCCATCCATCCATCATCCATTCATCATCCACCCACCCATCATCCACTCATCCATCATCCATCCAGCCATTCACCCATCCATCCATTTATCCATCCATCCATCCATCCATCATCCATTCATCATCCACCCACCCATCATCCACTCATCCATCATCCATCCATCCATTCACCAATCCATCCATTTATCCATCCATCCATCCATCCATCCATCCTGCAGCCATTATGCATTTACCAACCCATCGATTCATCTTCCATTGTCCATCCATCATCCATCTACCAATGTATCCATCCTTTATCCATCCATTCATCTATCCACAAAGGACCTACTCTGGGCTGTGCACTGGACTTGGCAATGGGGACACAGGGGGAACCAGTCAGTTGCGGTCCCAGCCCCGGGGAAGGGGGTCACACTTGAGTAGCCAGATCAGGTTACTGCATGAAGGCAGAAGATACACACAAGAGGCACCCGATTACTCAAAGTGATGATGAGACACTTACATCTAGTCCTGGCTCCCCGGGTCTGCCCTGAGGAGAGACATAGAGCGGGTGAGAGGGGTTGGGGAGGGGGGCTGGGAATGCAGCTGCTGGGAAGTCCAGCCCCATGGGTTGGGCACAGACATGGAGGCGAGGAGACCCACCAACCACGCAGGCATAGATGGAGGCCACGACAGACCTGGCATCCACAGAGCCTGAACTCTGGCCCTGTGAAGTGCAGGGACCCAGTGAGGTACAGGGTTGGGGTCCCCGGGCTGAGCGCCACCGTGACCATGCGGCCATAGTTGGAGAGGGAGTTCCGAATGAAGTGGTTACCTTCTCTCCTTTGGTTCCTGGCAGCCCAATAAGGCCCGGTGGGCCAACTGGCCCCTGGATAGAAAAGGAGTGAGTCAAGAGGCATGCTAGTTACAGGAATTAACACCTGTGGGCCAAACAAGGCTTGTGAGACTCACAGGCAGGCCGCTGGGGCCTCTCTCACCAGACGCGCCTTTCTCTCCCTTTGCTCCATCCAAGCCCTGGAGGCAAAGGAGGGAAATCAGTCAAGGGGAAGGGGTTAGACAGAGAGGAGGACAGGCAAGCTTGGAGACTGCAAGGGAGCTGGGAAGTGGACAGAGGAACAGATCCAGGCTCCACCAGACCTGACCCCAGCTTACTCCCTGGTGAGGGTGACCAGGAGGAGGTCTGGCCATGCACATTGCGCCTTTTCCCGAACAGGATCCCTCAACCCCATGGAAGGTGATTACGGTCACACCTGTTTCAAAGATGAGGAAAGCAGGTGCAGACAGGGGCGGGGACGGGCCCAGCCACACAGTGGGAGGCAGCAGAGCTGGGTCCCCATCAGGCTTCTGCGGCAAGCCTTGGACCCTGTCCCTGATAGCAGCTGCCTCTTTGAAACATGAACTGTGGCGGCCTTAAGAGAAAACAGAACCAGAAGCAGTGCATCTGGTGGGGCTGCGGGCTCAGGCCTGGGGTTCCATGACTCTTAATCCCACATCTGGCCTCTGAGCTGGGGAAGCAGAGATGTGCTCGTGCCAGGAGGGTGGTGTGACAAAGAGTGAGGCCAGATGGCCTCCCCGTCTGTGTCTGCCTCCCTGGAGCAGGGCATGCAGGCAGGCCACACTCGAGGATTTAATGTAAGAGCAGGCAACACTCCATTATGTAATACACACCAAGCCCAAGACTTTGTGCTCTGGCTGTGGCAGCTGAGAGACAGATGTGTGTGGGGCGGGCTGGGATGGGGAGAGGTGGGGACAGTGCAAGGAACTGAGAGGCACAGAGAAAGGAGAAGGGGACAAGCAGTAGGAACCGTGGGTGGTGGACCCGAGGAGGAGAGAGGTACAGACTGGGGTTCCAGGCAGAGGGAGAAAGTGGAGAAGAGAGCCCCAAGTGTGGAGAGGGGGCACTGGCCCCGATGACATCAGGGAGGTTTGGGGAGTTGGGACGTTCAGGTGCTAGGAAGACTCAGGGATGGGCCAGGGCGGAGCATCAGGCCCTTTGCTTTGCCCATTGGCAAGGCTGTTAGAAACTGCCTGGGCTGTGAGTCTGAGGTCAGTAGAGGGGGCTATGCCCACTCACCTTGGGACCCTGGATTCCCTGGAGGCCCTGCAGGAGGAAGAAGCAGATAAGAAGGCTGGCTCCGGACCCTCTTGCAGGGGCCACTCACTGGCCCCTGGGGCCCTGTCCTGGGCTCTGCCCTCTGCCCATGTGCCCCTCCCTGAATGACGACGCTCGTTCTCTCCTGGGTCACGGCTCTGGGACCTAGCCCCCATCCCGCCTCTTGGTTTCCTGGCTGCTTCAAACCAAACCAAAGCAAACTGTCCTTACCATTGGGCCTGGGGGGCCAGGGGGGCCTGGGGGGCCAGGGGGCCCCGGCTCCACTATGAGCTGAGCCTAGGGAGGATGAGAGACAAGTTAATCACCCCCCGCCTGTCGCCCTCACCCACCCGCACCCCAGCTCATCACATACTGCTGGATCCACAGTCTCCTTCCTGTGCCCAGAGGGCAGAGTCTGGTGAGCGGGGGGCAGCTGGCCTGTGGGTTCTCAGAGGGGCCTCGCTCCCCTTGCTCTCCCTCCCCTACTGCCCTGGGTTTGCTCAGGCCAGGTGGCCTTTTTGTCCCAAGGCGCAGGGTCCCCACCCAGCCTGGACTGGGTGTTGGGGGAAGCCCTGACCCCCTACACCCCCTTACCAGGCTCTCCTGTAGGCTGTCAGACGCCGACTCCCCCTTCTCCCCCTTGAGGCCATCAGCGCCCTGCAGGACGGCATGGCCTGTGAGTCCTTTGTGTCCAGCACCTACATCACCACCCACGGTGCTTAGTGACCTCCCTTCCTTCCCCCATGTGGCTTCGGGGAGCAGTCCTCAGTTAGCTGTTGCAACTGAGAAGTTTTCCCTGGATCCGTGGGCCATGCCCTGGGTGGTGAGCAGCATGGGCTTCAGAGAGCACAGGAGCAGCTGCGCAGATTGTTTTCTTGGGGTGCAGGGAACAACCAGGGGCTCTGAAGCAAAGACCCCGGGGTCAAACTCCAGTGCCCCCTCTAGCCCAGTGATCATCAGGGATGGATAGTGGATGTCCCAGTGGTGGCGTAACACCTGGTGGCTCTTCCCAATCGGGCCACAAAAGCAACAATAGAAATGATGAGGACGACAACAGTGGGTATTTGCTGTGTGCCAGCCACCGTCAGCCCAGCCACGCATGCCCTTGAGGGAGGGGGATGATCACTCCACTTTGGAAGTGAGGACGCCAAGGCCCCAGGAGGTTAGGTTGCTTGCCTGGAGCTGGATGCAAACTTGGGCAGCTTAGGTCAGAGCACGTGGCATAACCATCTGGCCAACGCGCTTCCATGGCCACACCTCCTGATTTTAGCTGCCATCCAAGGCAGGCGGAAGGCCTCTTCCAGATGAGGAGTGGAGGCCGGGAGAGAAGAGGGCAGTGCTGGCCCAGAGCCTAGTGTCCCCAGCCGGCTGGGCACTGAGACTGCAGGGGCTGTCAGAGGCACGCCCTGGCCTCCCCACAGCACGGGGCTTCCACACAGGAGGCGCAATGTGTGGCCCAGCCCAGTCACATACCGGGAGGCCGGACAAGCCCATCTCGCCTGCTTCCCCTTTGAGTCCAGTTGGCCCAGGCTCTCCTGGGTCTCCTTTCTGTCCTTTGGGACCCTGAAAGCCACAAGAACAAGGGATTAGTAGGGCTCAGGAGGTCCTCTCCCTTTCCCCACCCCAGCAGGTCCCCAGAGCTTAGTTCATGGCAGGTCCCCACTTTATCTTTGTGGAGCCTCACCTCCAGCCACAGTGGCTGGGAGCCTTAGCTGAATGCAGTGGGTGGGGATGGGGGCAATGCCATTCCTGGCTCACTGCATCCGGGTGTGGGCACCTCAGAGCAGGGGCCAGGGGCAGACGGGTGAAGCATGTAAGCCTGGAGCTGCCCCTCTGGGGGCACTCATGGGGCCACATCTCTCTGTGCCCACACCTCAGAAGCTAGTGGTGGGACTCCCCACCCCCACAACCTCTTCCAGCCACCGAATCCCTCCATTCAACCAATCACATAACGTCCAGGATGAGACACACACTGCGGACCCAGTGGGAAAGACTTACCCTCGAATAGCCAGTGACCCCATGAATATGCTTACGTCTGTATAGGATATCACACACAGATACACACACACACACACACACAGATACACACACACAGATACACACACACACACACACACACTAGAACTGGGGCAATACCTACGATGGCACTGATGCTCTTAGCTTTTATGGCTTTTCACCACGTGCCAGGCACTGTGCTGAGTGTTCTCCATACACAGTTACTCAGCCCTGCCCCAGAGCAGGCAACTTGCCCGGGGCCTGAGGGCAGACCAGGGTTTGCACACAGGCAGCCTGGCGCCAGAATCCATGATTTTTGCCTCTCTCACACATGGTCTTGAACTCTGTACACACACACACACACACACACACACACACACACAGAGCCCAATACCAGGCACTGGCATCACCAAGGAAATGAAAGGCCCAGAGACCTTCTCTCCATCGATTCCTGGGGCACCAGGCAATCCAAGCTCGCCCTGGAAGGAAACAGATGGCAAGAGGGGTTATGCCTTCCTTTCCTAGAGAGGTGTCAGCAGCCAGAGGGCCAAGACACACTGTGTACCCGGCCCAGGGTGGGTCAGTACCCACCACCTCCTCTGTTTCCTCAGTCCATCAGGAGCAGATGTAGCCCATGGCTATCACCGGTAAGTTGTGATGTCACAGATTCGGGTGCTGAGGCTTGGAGGGTTAAGTGACTGGCTTCAGGCCACAGAGCCCAGGAACGACGATGCCAGGACCAGATCTGCCTGACTTCAAAGCTGTTGGCTCTTTCTCTTGAGACAAACGGGCAGGATGCGAACGAATGGTACAGGCCACAGGGTGTGCATAGCTGTCCATCCACCGGACTGGTATGCGGCCACAGGGGCTGGGTTTTCAGTTCTTTATTTTTATTTAGTGGATACTTATAAAACACTATACCCAATAGCAGCTAAATATACATTTAATTTGTGTGTATATAAAACATTCAACAAGAAAGAACACTTTGACTCTAAAACAAGTTTTAATACATTAAAAAGATCAATGTTGTATTAAAAAGAATATGTTCTGGCTGGGCATAGTGGTTCACGCCTGTAATCCCAGCACTTTGGGAGGCTGAGGTGGGTGGATCACCTGAGGTCAGGAGTTTGAGACAGCCTGGCCAACATGGTGAAACCCCCGTCTCTACTAAAAATACAAAAATTAGCTGGGCTTGGTGACACAGGCCTGTAATCCCAGCTACTTAGGAGGCAGAGGCAGGAGAATTGCTTGAACCCGTGAGACAGAGGTTGCAGTGAGCTGAGATGGCGCCACTGTAGTTCAGCCTGGGCAAAAGAGCAAGACTGTCTCAAAAAAAAAAAAAAAAAAAAAAAAGAATATGTTCTCTAACCGCAAGATAATTTTTTTTTTTGAGACAGAGTCTCGCCATGTCTCCCAGGCTAGAGTGCAGTGGCACAACCTCAGCTCACTACAAGCTCCGCCTACTGGGTTCAAGCAATTCTTCTGCCTCAGCCTCCCATGTAGCTGGGATTACAAGTGTGCACAACCACGCGCAGCTAATTTTTGCATTTTTATTAGAGACAGGGTTTTACCATATTGGCCAGGCTGGTCTTGAACTCCTGACCTTATGATCCACCCACCTCCACCTCCCAAAGTGCTGAGATTACAGGCGTGAGCCACCATGCCTGGCTGCATGATAATTAAATAAGAAATTAATAAAATATATGGTCAGCTGGATACATTAAATATGAAAAAAACTAAAACCAAACAAAAAAGCAAGATATCTGGAAAAAAATCTCCCAAGTATTTCTAAATCCCCAAGTATTTCTAAATAATCCATGAATAAATCAAAAGAGAGCTTAGAAATTAGGTTGAATTGAATAAAAATAAAATTCAACATATTAAGGTTTGTAGGATGCAGCTAAAGCAGTGCTTATGGGAAAATTCATAGCTTTTAGAAAGGTTTTAGATTCGGGGGTACATGGGTAGGGCTGCCACCTGGGTGTACTGCATGATGCTGAGGTTTGGGCTGCTAATGATTCTGTCATCCAAGTGGTGAACATAGCACCCAACGGGTAGTTTTTCAATCCCTGTCCTCCCACCTCCTCCCTTTTGGAATCTCCAGTATTTATTATTCCCATCTTTGTGTCTGCATGTACCCAATGTTCAGCTTCTACTTTTATTTATTTATTTTTGAGATGGACTCTTGCTCTGTCTCCCAGGCTGGAGTGCAGTGGCGTGATCTCGGCTCACTGCAACCTCCGCCTCCCGGGTTCAAGCAATTCTCCTGCCTCAGCCTCCCGTGTAGCTGGGACTACAGGTGCCGGTCACCACCACACATGGCTAATTTTTGTATTTTTAGTAGAGATGGGGTGTCACCATGTTGGTCAGGCTGGTCTCGAACTCCCAACCTCAGGTGATCCGCCCGCCTCAGCCTCCCAAAGTGCTGGGATTACAGGCGTGAGCCACCGCGCCTGGCTCAGCTTCCACTTTTAAGTAAGAACATGCAGTATTTGGTTTTCTTTTCTCTCCTTTCTCCTTTCCCCTCCCTCCCTCCCTTCCTTCCTTCCTCTTTCCTTCTTTCTTTCAGATGGAGTTTTGCTCTTGTTGCCCAGGCTGGAGTGCAATGGCACAATCTTGGCTCATTGCAAGCTCCACCTCTCAGGTTCAAGCGATTCTCCTGCCTCAGCCTCACAAGTAGCTGGGATTACAGGCACACACCCCCATGCCCGGCTAATTTTTTGTATTTTCAGTAGAGACAGTTTCACCGTGTTGGTCAGGCTGGTCTCAAACTCCTGACCTCAGGTGATCCACCTGCCTCGGCCTCCCAAAGTGCTGAGATTCACAGGTGTGAGCCACCACACTCAGCCCATTTTCTTTTCTGTATTAATTTACTTAGGATAATGGCCTCCAGCTGCATCCATGTGGCTGCAAATGACAGGATTTCATTCCTTTTTATAGCTGCATGATTTTTCAGTTTAAACGTATGAACGAGGCTTCCCAGGGAAATCTCCCAGATTAGACAGAGCCCAGGGAGAAGGCACTCAGCCTGGAAGCCGAGGCCCTTTCTCTGAGCTCCCAGAAGCTGGGCCAGGACACCAGGAGGGAAGTGGAAGAGGATCACAGAGCAGACAGGAAGTGGGAGGTGAGCGCTGGAGACAAACGCTTGGGGGACCACATAGCTCTGTCGGCACTGACCTTGGTTCCAGGGATCCCTGGTGGCCCTGGGGGCCCCTGTGGCCCGGGAGGCCCCTGTGTGTGAAAGTGAAGCCAGTCAGTGTCATTGGTTAGGCAGGGCCTCCCTTCGCTGCCCGCCCAGCTCCCCACCTGGAACAAAGTCCCCGTCCAGCTGAGCTGAGCAGGGGCAGGGTCCTCGGGGACTGCTTCTTCCCGTCAGGTCAGGCCACACTGTGCATGGCTTTATCTGGCTACCCAGATTTGGGGGAGGCCAGGAGGTGTCTGCTGCCATGAACCCTCTGCCCCAATCCAGATTTCGTCACGATGTTCCCCTGCTCAAGATCTTGCTTTGGCTCCCTATTGCCTCTTGAAGCAAGCTTAAATCCCCTGCTGGCATTCAAGGCCTGCCAAGAATGACACCCCCAACAGTGGCCCAGCACCACGCTCTCTGACTGTCCTATGAGCTCTCTGACCCTCTGGCTCCACTGGCTGCTATCTGCTGGACCTAGGGAGTTCCTGTCTCGCAGGTAGGGGTGGGGTCTCCAGTGTGTCCAGGTCCGACCCTATTCTCAAGCTCCTGTCCTGACCCAGACTTTTTGCAGGCCTCCTGCTCGGCCTCCACACTCCCCTCCCCTCCCTTCTGTAAAACTGCACCCTGCCCAGCCCCTGTCCCACAAGCTCTAGGTCTCTCCCCTCCCGCCTCCTGCCTCCCTATCCTGTGCCCTTCTTGTTGGTGTCCCACTGAGATGCCCGTGGCCTCCATCTTATCCACCCTCCTCTAGGCCCAGGCCTAGGACCTCCCTGCCTGGGGTCCCCCTGCTGCCTGCTCCAACACCCGCTTTCGTTCACTGTCCTTACCATTCCCTAGCTAGCCTTCCCCCAATATGTTTTTATTTTTTATTTTATTTTTTTGAGATGGAGTCTCCCTCTGCTGCCCAGGCTGGAGTGCAGAGGTGCGATCTCAGCTCACCACAACCTCCGCCTCCCGGGTTCAAGTGATTCTCCTGCCTCAGCCTCCCATGTAGCTGAGACTATAGGTGCGCACCACCACACTCAGTTAATTTTTGTATTTTTAGTAGAGATGGGGTTTCACTATGTTGGCCAGGCTGGTCTCGAACTCCTCACCTTGTGATCCGCCTGCCTCAGGCTCCCAAAGTGTTGGGATTATAGGCGTGAGCCACCCACCCGGCGTGTTTTTATTTTTTTAACACCATCCCCTGCATGGACTATGTGGACTATGGCTGCCTGCTGCCCATCAAATTGAGTCAGCATCTCAGTCTGGCATCCAAAGTCCATCTCTGGCCAGGCGTGGTGGCTCATACCTATAATCCCAGCACTTTGGGCGGCCGAGGCGGGATGATCACTTGAGATCAGGAGTTTGAGACCAGCCTGGCCAACATGGTGAAACCCCGCCTCTATTAAAAATACAAAAATTAGCCGGGTGTGGTGGCGCATACCTGTAGTCTCAGCTACTTGGGAGGCTGAGGCAGGAGAATTGCTTGAACCTGGGAGGGGGAGGCTGCAGTGAGCTGAGATCACACCCAGCCTGGGCAACAAGAGTGAAACTCCATCTCAAAAACAAAAACATCAAGCCTGTAATCCCAGCACTTTGGGAGGCCGAGACGGGCGGATCACGAGGTCAGGAGATCGAGACCATCCTGGCTAACACAATGAAACCCCGTCTCCACTAAAAATACAAAAAAATTAGCCGGGCGTGGTGGCGGCGCCTGTAGTCCCAGCTACTTGGGAGGCTGAGGCAGGAGAATGGCGGGAACCCAGGAGGCGGAGCTTGCAGTGAGCCGAGATCGCGCCACTGCACTCCAGCCTGGGCGACAGAACGAGACTCCGCCTCAAAAAAAAAAAAAAATAAATAAACAAAAACAAAAATAAAAACAAAACAAAGTCTACCTCCCAACTCCCTGCACTCATAGGCTCGGTCAGCCTGGGACACACCATGCATGTGCCTGCCTGCCACGCCATGCCATGCCACGCCATGCCACACCACGCCATGCCACACCACGTATGCCTGGGGGTGGGTGCCACAGTTACTGCCAACTTGTACTTCCCCAAAGCCTGTGGGACATAACTGGAAATGATGCTCAGGTGGGGCCAGGGCCCCCTTCCCGGTCTGGTCTCTGGCGACCACTCCTTCCTCACCCACTTCCCTTCTGGGGTGCCCATGAGCTGCTGGCACCCAGTGCCTCTCTCCACTGGTGGTAAATCCCAAGTTTACCAGCCACTGGACTCGGAGGTCACACATCTCCCAAGACTCCGGGGGCCGGGCTTGCCACTCTCATCCTCTCCATGACATCATTAGAAGACCTGGCCCTCTACCCAGTGTCCCTTCCACCCAGTGTCCTCTGGGAAGGTCCCAGGAGACACGGGTGGGAACAGACCCCAGGAAATGCTCTGGCTCCTGCCCCTGAGCGAGGAGCTTCCCTTTTTGACTTGGCCTCTAGGGAGCTCGGTCCACATGGGCCACATTCACAGGGGCTCTCTGAGGCAGGTCTCGACATAGCCCTGATTTCCACATCGGACACCTAGGAACGGTTGGGGTCTTTGTGCTAAGCTGCCTCGAGTCCCTTGTGTAAAAAAGTGCAGCATTAATCACAAAGGAAGTGATTATTCCCTAAGGAAAATCATATCTAAGGCACATCCTGGTCCCACCAGGAACACTACCTTGAGGGCATCCAAGATCCTGCCATCATAGTCGATCACCACCGTGTCTCCCTGCTCGCCCTTGAGGCCTGGGGCACCCTGAGGCAGGAAGAAGAGTAAGACTTTCAGGGAAGAGCTACGCTGGGGGGTGAAGTGGCAGCTGTCCCTGCGTCACACCCAGAGACAAAGCAATGGAAGAGCCTTGTCACCCAGGCCACACGCATGCCCCTCCCCAGTGTGGATCCCAGCGTGGGAGGGCAGGGGAGGCGGGCCCTGGGGCCTGCTGAGGGACCTGCTTCCACCTGGTCTGAGGGGCGGCTGGAATTGCCTTCGTGTGGGCGTTCAGGCCTGACCCGAGTCCTCGGGGGAAAATGGAAAGCCTGATTTTGATGTGACGCGCTTCAGATTTTTAAATGTTCGCAACACACAGAAAAGCCCCAAACCCTCCAAAACACAAAAACATGAGCAGGCCGGATCGGGCCCCTGTGCCTCCATTTCCCAGCCTCTGGCAGAGGCTGCACACACCGCGCACCCACACGCCTATTCCCGCCTGGTTACACGTGCACGTAAGCGTGCCCATGCCCATGCTGCACACCCAACGTGCACACTCAACGTTCACGCAAGGCTGCTGGCCAGCCCTCCCCTCGTGAGCCTCACTCCCCACCCAGGCTGCTCTTTGCTTGGGGTACGGTGAACGGTGGGGAGCACTTTGGTTCAGGCCCCAGCCGATCCCTTGTGCAGGCTGGAGACCCCTGCCTGGGCCTCAATTGCCAGCCCTCCCCCGTCCCGTCACAGCCTGCCCAGAACAGCCTGGCTCACTGGCTGCCTAATCCAACCCTCTCCCGCTCCCCACCACCTGCACAGCCAGGCAGGGGCTCAGATCATTTTTTTTGGAGGAAGAAACCAGCCTCCCGGAGCACGAGGAGACAGAGCCGAGGCCAGGATCCTGGACATCACCCTAAAGGTAAGGTATGTTGATAGGGGCTGGTCACAAAAGATCTGGGGCGGGCTGGGGCGCTGTGCTCCTGGTGGCAGGGACAAACCTCCCTGTGGGGTGGGGAAAAGGCAAGGCCCAGCCCGCTGCGGCAGGATCAGGCATAGGACAAACGGAGGACCTGTGTCTGAATATATAGAGAAAGGAATTTAGATGGGCACGCGCTCGAGGGGACTGAGAGAGATCTGGCTTCATAATAACGGGTCGGGCCTCTTATTCTTATACTTCCATATTTGAACATTTTACCCAAAAAAGGCACGTACTATGAATTTTCAAAAATCACAAATACATTGGTTTAAAAAGTAAAATCCTCCCAGTTCCTGTAGCTCCACTGCTCCTCTGGGGTCTCTGTGGGGACAGGGGCTTCTGAAGCTATGGGGCCCCTAGATCTCATCCCTGAGGCCTTGCCTGAGAGGCGGCAGCTTACCCGGGGCCCTGCAGCTCCATCCGTGCCTCGGTGGCCAGGCTCCCCCTGTGGAGACACACGGTGCAGGTGTGAAGCCAAACCACGCCTCCCAGTCCCCTCTTCCCAGGAGGGCCCAGGTCCCAAGTGCTGGAGCCTTCGCAGCCGAATGTATGAGAGAGCACTCCAGGAATGGGGCTCCCGGAGGGGCCTGCGAGACCCTCCTCTGACATCACTTTGTCTACAGGTGGGGACGCTGGTGTCCCGGAGCTGGAGGCTGCATGGTGAGTTGGCCACAGAGCTGGGCACCAGTGGAGGCCTTGCCACTTGTCCAGATTCACCATTGCTGCCCCCACACCAGCTCCAACAGTGCTGAAGGAGACCCCTGGGCCAGGTCCTCCTGGGACTCCTCACTTAAAAGGGCAAATGAGAGCTGAGACCATGTCTCCCACTCTCGACTGGGGGAAGGTCTGAGCAGGGCCCACAGGTGCCAGAGCAGCAAGTTCTCACGTCACCTTTGGTCCTGGGGCACCACCCACGCCACTCTCGCCCTGAGGCCCCTCGCTCCCTGGCTCGCCCTGAAATAGAAACAGTTGCAGTGAAAGCAAGTGTGAGCGGGCACGTGGCAGGTGCCTTGGGGCTGCCCGAAGCCTTGCGATTAGGCCTCCTGGCAAATTGTTACTGAGTCCATGGGGTGTGTGCATGGATGGACCTCAGGGCTCTCGCTAGCCCAGGGGACACAGGACCACGGCTGCCACCTTCTGGTGTGGGCCTTGGCACTTACTTGGGGCAGCTCAGGGGCTCAAGGGGCACTTTGGAGACTGGCTGGCCAGGATTTGGTGGCTGTTGTGAGGGGTTGGGGGAGTGAGGTGTGAGGATGACACCCAGTTCTTGGCTTGGGGACACGGCAGGAAGTGAGGCCCCTGAGATGGAAACGAGGGCTTGAGGGAGTCAGGGAGACACATGGACTGGGTGAGACGCTAGGCCTGTTGTGTGGGCCAGGGCCTTCCTCTGCCTCTCTCTGGCCTGCACCGGGCACTGGCCTAGGACCTCATGGTGCCAAAGGTCCAGGGTAGGGACTTCACCAGGCAGACGGGAACCATGGGAGGTGGGGGCAGGGGGCCATGAGGGGAGGGGCAGATACTCACCTTGGGCCCTGGTGGTCCAGGGAGCCCTGGTGGTCCAGGCTGGCTTGGTGTCCCATCGTCGCCCTGAGGAGAGGACACCTGGGGCTTGCCGGTCAGACCCTCGGGTGGCCAGTGGGCCCCTCCCTCCTCTGGGCTTCCCAGTATACCAGTCTGCTCCTGGCACCTGCACTGGCACACGGTACCAGGCAGCTCCTCCCCACCCTCCTTGCCCCTCCAGGGCAGAGGTGGGGTCAGATCCATCTCTCTGTGTCGCCTAACCCCACCAGCCCAGGGCTGGCATTTGCAGAGAGAACGGATAGGCAGATGATGAGGGTACATTCATCCATTCATTCCCCCTGTGGGCCAGGCAGCTGAGGTCCCTGCTCAGGTGGAGTCAGAGGAGGCCAAGGGAAAAGAAACGTTCAAATAAATACAAGGTTGGCTGGCACGGTGGCTCACGCCTTAACTCCAGCACTCTGGCGGGTCAAGGCGGGGAGACTGCTTGAGCCCAGGAGTTTGTGGCTGTAGTGCCCCATCATGGCACCTGTGAATAGCCACTGCACTCCAGCCCGGGCAACAGAGCAAGACTCCATCTCTACAAAAACCAGAAAATAAAAAATTAGCCAGGCATGGTGGCACACGCCTGTAGTCCCAACTATTTGAGAGGCTGAGGTGGGACAATTGCCTGAGGCTGCAGGGAGCTGTGATCATGCCATTGCATCACAGCTTGGGTGACAGAGTGAAATCCTATCATATATACACACACACACACACACATACACACACACACATGCAAATAAATTCTAGGCACCATGTCAGGAAGTGGAGTAGTGTTGAGAAGAGAGGAGGATGGCAAGGCGGAGAGGGACTGCAGGGGGAGCTTGTTGCAGCAGGTGGCCAGGGAAGGTCTCCTAGAAGATGGGAGAGTTTTTTTTTTTTTGTAAGATGGAGTCTCGCTCTGTTGCCCAGGCTGGAGTACAGTGGCACAATCTCGGCTCACTGCGAGCTCTGCCTCCTGGGTTCACGCCATTCTCCTGTCTCGCCCTCCCGAGTAGCTGGGACTACCGGCACTGGCCACCACGCCCGGATAGTTTTTTGTATTTTTAGTAGAGATGGGGTTTCACCATGTTAGCCAGGATGGTCTCGATCTCCTGACCTCGTGATCTGCCCGGCTCGGCCTCCCAAAGTGCTGGGATTATAGGCATGAGCCACCGCGCCTGGCCTGATTTTTTGGTTTTTGAGACAGGGTCTTGCTCTGTTATCCAGGCTGGAGTGCAGTGGCACAATCCATAGCTTACTACAGCCTCGACCTACCAGGCTTAAGCAATCCTCCCACCTCAGCCTTCGAAGTAGCTGGGACAACAGATGCATGCCACTGCACCTGACTAGTTTTTCTGATTTTTAGTAGAGATGAGGTCTTGGTGTATTGTCCAGGGTGGTCTTTTTTTGTTTTTTTGAGACGAGTCTCACTCTGTCACCCAGCAGGTTGGAGTGCGGTGGTACAATCTTGGGTCACTGCAACCTTCGCTTCCTGGGTTCAACTGATTCTCCAGCCTTAGCCTCCAGAGTAGCTGGGACTACAGCCGCCTGTGACCACGCCTGGCTGATTTATTTTTGGATTTTTAGTAGAGATGGAGTTTTGCCATGTTGGCCAGGCTGGTCTTGAAGTCCTGATCTCAAGTGATCCTTCTGTCTTGGCCCCCTAAAGTGCTGGGATTGCAGGTATAAGCCAGTGCGCCTGCTGGCCTTGGGGGAGGGTTTTGCTGAGACCTGAATGAGGTGAAGGAGGAGGCTGGCCCAGGAGAAGAGGCTGGAGAGGATAACACTCATTCAGTGGTTTTAAGCTTGAGCTCACATCAGTGGCACCAGGGGCTGGTCAAACCGACTCTGGCCCCATCCCAGAGTCTCTGATTCAGTGGGTCTGGGGTGGGTCCCAGGGCCACACTTTGAGAACTAGTGTGCTCGGCCCTGAAGTGGGCATGAATTTGATGTGTTTGAGGAAGGGAAAGAATGAGTGAGTGAATAAATGAATGAATAAAATAAATTCTGGCCTCACGGAGAGCGAGGACAGGGCAGCCACCCGCAGTGAGGGCTCAGGTCTGGGGAAGACAGGGCCACTTTCCCCGTGGGTTGGCTCCCACCCCACCCCATCCTGTCCCCATCCCCATCCCCATTCCATCCCAGCCCTTGCCCTTCTCTCCAGCCACTTCCCAACACTGACCCGGATGCTCCTCCATCGGCCCCTCTCACCTTCTTTCCGGGTACTCCAGGCTCACCCTGGGGGAGGCAATGGGGGGTTCAAGAGCAAGGTGAGAGCCGCAGGAGTGTGGCCCGGACCCCAGGCCTCTTGTTCCTCGGGTAGAAGTGGCACTGATGACCCGTGCCCCGGGCCAGCCCAGAGACCCCTGAGTGCTTCAGAGAGCTGGGGCGGACAGTCTTGAATTCCACTTCTGAGCCACTCTCTCCCAAGCTCAGCGACCCTGGCAAGGCACTGTTCTTCAAAGTGGGGAGGTGACTCCTGCCGTCTCAGAGGGTTTTGGAGGACGAGGCACTGGCTGAGCAGCTTTCCCATCCTTCCTCCTCAGGCCAGAGGCTCCGTCTCCATCAGGGAGGACCAGAGCCCTCCTCCCCACTCACATCCTCCCCAAAGAGGGCAAAAATGAAAGAGCTGCCATCTGCAGAGGGCTGGACACGCTAACACGTGGAAAACTATGTCCACATGAAAACCTGCACATGGATGCTGACATCAGCTTTACTCCAAATTGCCAAAACCTGGAAGCAGCCAACATGTCCTTCAGTAGGTGAGTGCATAAATAAATAAACTGTGGCTTATCATTAAATAAATAATAAACCCAGACATGGACTATCAGTCAGTGCTAAAAAGGAATGAGCTGTCAAGCCATGAGAAGACATGGATGAAAGGTCAATGTGTATTACTAAGTAAAACAGGCCAATCAAAAAGGCCACACACAGTCTGATTCCAGCTAGATGACACTCTGGGAAAGGCAAAACTATGGAGACAGTGAAAAGAGATCAGTGGCCGAGCACGGTGGCTCACACCTGTAATCCCAGCACTTTGGGAGGCTGAGGTGGGTGGATCACCTGAGGTCAGAAGTTCAAGGGCAGCCTGACCAACATGGTGGAACCCCATCTCTGCTGAAAATACAAAATTAGCCAGGTGTGGAGGGGCACGCCTGTAATCCCAGCTACTTGAGAGGCTGAGGCAGGAGAACTGCTTGAAACCAGGAGGCAGAGGTTGCAGTGAGCCGAGATTGTGCCATTGCACTCCGGCCTGGGCAACAAGAGTGAGACTTCAACTCAAAAAAAATAAAAAATAAAATAAAAGGATCAGTGGTGCTGGGGCTAGGGAGAATGAGGGATGAACAGGCAGAGAACAGAGAATGTTTAGGGCAGGGTAAATACTCCATGACACCACAGTGGTGGATACTTGTCAACACACATTTGTCCAAATCCGGAGAGTACCCCAGCAAGAGTGAACCCTAATGTGAACAATGGCATCTGGGTGATGTTGATCTGTCCATGCAGGCAAATCATCTCTAACAAGTGGGGGTACTCATAGCTGGGGAGCGGGGGCATGGGCCAGGGCAGGGGGATATGGAAACTCTACTTTGTTTAGTTCTGTTGTGAAACAAAAACTGTTCTAAAAACAAAATCTATTTGGGCCAGGTGCGGTAGCTCACACCTGTGATCCCAGCACTTTGGGAGGCCAAGGTGGGCGGATAACCTGAGGTCAGGAGTTCGAGACTAGCCTGGCCAACATGGTGAAACCCCGCCACTCCTAAAAATATAAAAAATAATCATGGTGTGGTGGCGCACACCTGTAGACCCAGCTAGCTACTCAGGAGGCTGAGGCAGGAGAATTGTTTGAACCCAGAAGGTGGAGGTTGCAGTGAGCTGTGATCGTGCCACTGCACTCCAGCCTGGATGACAGTGAGGCTCTGCCTCAAAATAATAAAAAAATTAAAAAAAAGGGAAAATTTATTTGAAACCAAAAAGCTAATGTGTTTTATGATTCAACTCTCGCAACTCAGTGTGAAAAAGGCAGGAAAGGTTTACTGTGCCTCCAGTTAATGGATGAGGAAACTGAGGCCCAGAGAGGTGCAGTAACTCTCCATGGTCTGGGAGTTTGGTCTCCTGACCCTACTGCCTTGGCTTCGCTGGGGGTGGGGGGAAGAGAAAGGAGGTGGCGGTGGGTGAGTCCATCCCGCCAGATCCGGGGAGGGGCATGGGGAATGAGGAACACTCACCTTGGGCCCTGGGGGTCCCTGCGGGCCCTGGAACAAGAGAAGAGAAGGTGTTAAATGTCATACTGGAGGCTGATCCTGGGCCTGTCCTTCTTAGCATCCTGGCTTTATAAAAGGTGACACCCATCCCAGAGACCAGGAGGCAGGGCTGCCGTCGGAAGCAGGCTGGAGCTGCCCACCCGAGGCCTGATTCCTCAAGCCTGGGACAGCTTCTGCATTAGGGCTCAGGCGGTGGCAAGTGGACCACAGCCTCCACACAGGAATGTGGAGCTGCTGGAATTCCCTCCGACTGGTGTCTCGCCTGGCCGTTTCCCCAGGGTGGGTGGAGGGGCAGGTGCACAGGGGTGCACACACATGCAGACATGTACATGCAGAGGCGTGCACACACACACACGGGCGCGTGACCCTGCTGTCAGCGTGTGTGGGAAAAGGGCTTCCAGGTCTGGGAACCACAGTCCTGCCAGCCCAGGCCTCTGGAATGCCCTGGATACTGACCATCTCGCCGTCTTGTCCAGGCTCTCCTTTGGGGCCCTGCGGAAGTGTGAGGGGACAGCAGTGAGGGATGCAGGTCGTCACACTGAACTGAGCCCAAATCTCAGGCCAGACCCTGGGCTGGGGCTCTAAGTACATTGTCTCATTTCATCCTCACCAAACCTGAAGAGCGAGTATCACTGTCCCCACTCCACAGAAGAGAACGTTAGGCTGGGGAAGCCACTGGCCTGGCGTGACAAGTAATGGATGAGCCAACTGAGCAGCTGTCCTGGGGGAAACTGGTGGCAGTTTGGTGGGGGATCCATCTGACTGGGGGGGGACCCTGGTGGCAGTCTGGTGGTGGTGTGGCCTCCACACTGGAGGGAAGGACAGCCTGGGGTTTCTGGGTTAGGGAAAGGGTAGTAGGATGGGGCCTGGCCTCCAGGCTTTGGAGACGCTTGGGAGGAAAGCTGAGGCTGAGATATTATATTGGGGAGCGCGAGGGGAGGGGCTGATAAAGGTCTGCAGAGACAGTGCCCCCAGGAGGGTCTTAGGCTCAGGGTTGAGTCAGGATTGGGACTGGTATTGCAACTAAGGTCAACTTAGGGTGTCTGGGTCTATCTGAGGTTAGAGTTGGTTTGGTCAGCGTCAGAGTCTGGAAGGGTCAGAGTTAGGGTCTGAATTGGGGGTGTAGACCAGGATTTGGGAATGAGTTTGAGGTCAAGGTCTTGATTGGGATCAGAGACCCAGTTAGTGTTAGATTTAAGGTTCGAATGGGATAAGGGTCTGGGTTGAGGTTAGGGTTGGGTTTGGGTCTGGGGTCAGGGTCAGGGTCAGGATCTGAATTGGGGTTGGATCTTGGTTGGAGTTAAGTTTGGGCCCAGGTTCAGTGTGTGGATTGGGGTTAAGGCTGGCGTGGGGTCTGCACTAGAGACGGGGATGGGGATGGGGCTGGCTCTGGAATCCGGATTTGGGGTTTTGGTCAAGTTCTGGGTGGCCAAACTCCAGGCCCTCTCTTACCACTGGGCCTTGTGCTCCCCTGGGGCCATCTTTCCCGGTGTCGCCAGGAGGGCCCCGGGCCCCAGGAGGTCCAGGGGGCCCCGGAGGCCCAGCAGCTCCATCTTGTCCTTGGTCTCCCTGAAAGAGATGGGGCTTGGCATGACTCTGAGCGGGAGGGGGTCCAGCCTCCAGAGAGAAACCCTCAGATGGGCAGCCCCATGCCATCCCCTTTCCCAGCCCTTGGGGCAGGCTCAAAGGGGAGGGCTTTGTGACTGGGCCTCTTGCCACTTACTGGGGACTGCACGACCGAACAGATCCCCATACTTTGGTGTCAGAGGCCCTACGGGACCTTTTACATGCCAAGGAATGTGCCAGCTCTTCAGCACCTGAAGCCCAGATCCAGTGTTTAGGAAAGAGATGGCACGTGCTGCATGTGGGGGGAAACACGTGTGTCCAGCTGCCCCTTCCTCTCTCTAGAGTGGGGCCTGAGTATCTCCTGAAGGACTTTCCTGGAGGACCTTTTTTTTTTTTTTTCTGGTCAACTCTCCCTTCATTTGAAGTACGGAGGTGCACTCTTGGGCATTTATCCTTGTTCACAGCTGCTTGGTTAGTAACAGCCCCAAACTGGAAACCAATCCAAAAGTCCTTCAGTAGGTGGAAGGTTAAGGAGCTGAGGTACATCCACGTCATGGAACACAACTCAGCAATCAACCCAGAGGAACAGGCCACGACACATGCAACACCTCAGATGCATCTCAGGAGAATTACGCTGAGTGAAACAGTCCATCTCAAAAGCTTAATACGGTGTGGTTGTATCTATGTAACACTCTTGAAATGGCAACGTTATAGAGATGGAGAACCCATACTGGTTGCCAGGCATTAGGGATGGGGGGATGAAGGTGATTGTAACTACAAAAGAACAGCATGAGGGACCTTTGTGTGCTTTACACAGATCTAAAGTGTGTTAAAATTGCACAGAACTAAACACGCAAACAAGTGTGTGTACAGCTGGGGGCATCTGAATAAGGTTGGTGGATTGTATCAATGCCAATTTCCTGTTGTGAGATTGTACTCAGAGATGCAAGATGTCACCACTGGGGGAGGCTGGATGAAGGGTACACAGATGTTATTTACTACAATTACATGTAAATCTACAATTATCTCAAAATAAAAGTTAAAAAAAAAGGATGATGAAGGGCCACACAGTTTCTCTCATGCAGCACTAAATCCCCAACTTTAGAACTTGATGTTAGCACTGGGTCAGACCTCAGGCAGCCAGAGCCCCACCTCACAGCCCAACCCGAGAGGAAGGAAGACCACTGTGACTGGCACCTACCCACTGCCCCAGCAGGGCCCACCCTGCACTGGCACAGGGTGGAGCCACAGGAATGGAGTACACCCACGTCATGGTGCCAGTGGCCCTCAACCTTCTTGTAACAAAGAAAGGAAGACATAGCACTGAGCTAGCAAGGATATCCTGAAGATGATTTTTTTTTTTTGAGACAGAGTCTCTAGCTCTGTTGCCCAGGCTGGAGTGCAGTGGCACAATCTTGGCTCACTGCAACCTCCACCTCCCAGGTTCAAGCGATTCTCCTGCCTCAGCTTCCTGAGTAGGTGGGATTACTATTATTATTATTATTTGTATTTTTAGTTCAGACGGAGTTTCACCATGTTGGCCAGGCTGGTTTCGAACTCCTGACCTGAAGTGATCTGCCCGCCTTGGCCTCCCAAAGTGCTGGGATTACAGGCATGAGCCACCACACCTGGCCGAACATGATCTTATTCAACCTTTGCGATGAGTTGGCCAGGGCACTGTTATTGTCCCACTTTACAGATGGAATGGCTGGGGTTGGGGGTCAGAGGGTCAGTTGCCCAGGGTTACAGAGCTAGGGAAGGCAGAGCCTCCTCTCACTGCCAAGGCAAGAGGTCCCTTTGAGACACTTCTTTTCATCCACAGATGTTCCCTGATCTGAAATAGTTCACCTCTCTAGCAAACTGCACTTAACACAAATTCACTTGCTTTCCCAATTAAAAAAATCAGCAGAAGTTCTCAACACCCGCCACTCAGGTCTTCCTCTTGGTCTGGCATGGCCAGGGTCCTGATCAAAATGTTACAGCTCCAGACAAAAGGGAAGAAAACTGACAGCTTGGTTAGGTCACCAGGCATGGGTGGTGATGGTGACAGGTAATTCCTGTTTTAATTTGCACTGAATCAGGAAGAATTTGAAGACACCCCTTTAGCTCCCTGCTGTTCCTTTTATAAAGGCCCTCAGGCTGGGAACTACTGGCCTGGACTCTACTTATTAAGACAGAAAATGGGCCTGACACTGGAGCCGGTCCTGGGAGAGATTCTTAGGCTCTTTCCCGGCCAGCCCGCCTGCTCCTCCCTCAGGGTAGGATGGCTGAGGTCTAACCCTGCAAACGTGGGGTGAGTTGGGGGTAACACAGCAAGTCATCAGGCCCAGGCCCCCACTCAGGCAGTCTACCTTGAGGATCCGGCGATTGTACAGGTGATGGTCTCTACTCATAAAGCCCGGATTGAGCCGTGGGAAAACCATCTAGTCAGCAGACAGGTCGTGTGGTCAGAAAGGCAGGAAGGTGATTTGAAAAACCACAAGGCTTTTTGAAACCTGGAGGCAAAGCCACTTCACCAAGCCCAGAGAAAGGCGAGTAGGTGATCAGTGTGCAGACTCCTTCTCCAGGGAGGGCCGCTCACCAGTGGAATGCCCACCAGCATCCACGTCACCCGCGGCCACGGGACGGGCTCCCGGCCTGGCTGCCAACTACCTCCCAAGACAGCCTAACCCTAACTCAGGGGCCATGAGAGAGAATGGCAATTGGAGTCTTAAGCCACTATTTAAAAATTTTTTTTGGAGACAGTCTCGCTCTGTCGCCCAGGCTGGAGCGCTCTGGTGCCACCTCGTCTCACTGCAACCTCTGCCTCCCAGGTTCAAACCATTCCCTTGCCTCAGCCTCCCGAGTAGCTGGGACCACAGGCGCCTACCTCCACACCCTGCTAATTTTTGTATTTTTACTAGAGACAGGGTTTCACCATGTTGGTTAGGCTGGTCCCGAACTCCTGACCTCAAGTGATCCACCTGCCTCGACCTCCCAAAGTGCTAGGATTACAGGCACGAGCCACTGTGCCCGGCCATTAAGCCACTAAACTGTGTGTGTGTGTGTGTGTGTGTGTGTGTGTGTGTGTGTGTGTGTGTGTGTGTGTTGGGGGGTGATGTTCCCGATGACTGGGACACTGGGAACATAGGGAAGGTATCCATGAAGAGGGCTGGGGGCTTGGGAGGAGATCCCCTCTTCCATGACCTCTGGGCCTCAGGACTTCTAGTCTGTTGAGGAGAGGGCATCCGCTTTGGCTTATCAGCTCCACACACCCATCAGGAAGCAAGCAGAAGGATTTTTCTCAGCAGCTAAAACTCAGCACGAGACCCTTTCTTTGACTGCAGAGCAATCTCACCAGCTTTATGTGGCTGGCACAGAGCAGCTGTGTCTGTGGGGCTTGGCCTGGCCAGCCCCCTTCCTTGCTCCTGCTCACAGCTCAGGGCCGCAGAGGTACGGCGCAGGCGCCGGGCCAGCCCTGACCACAAGCTGCAGCCCCGCTCTACACTGCCGCTCCCACTACCTTTTAACTGCCACGACAACCTCTTGGGGTGGGGGCTGTCCTCCCGTTCACAGTTGAAGAAACGGAGTCTCAGGGAGCAAAGTGACTTGATCAGGGTCACTCAGCTGGCAGGTGGCAGAGCTGAGCTTTGAGCTCAGTTCTGCTGACCCCAGAGCCTTCCCTCTTTTTGGGGTGCCAGCTGTCCTCAGTCTCCAGTCTGGGTCACGTGCCAGCCCCACTGTCCGGCATCCACAGTGGTAAGTATGGAGACCCGGACATCTTCCAGAGACACCCACCTGTGCAAGAGGTGGCAGCCCCACAACCCAGGTCCCTGGGGGCTTCCACCGGTGCTATGGGTGGGGAAGGGGCCTCTTGGCCTTTCTGTGATGAGCTGCAGGGAGCCAGGACCCAGAAGCAGCGCCAGTTATGCCTAATTATTAAGTCAAACAAACCATATGGGCAGTGAGGGAGGTCATGCCTGGTTCTTACCCGGGGGCCAAAGTCTCCTGGTGCACCCTAGGAACAAAAGACATGGAGAGGTATCACCACTGCTTTCATCATTTCTTCCCATTTCCCATCCAGCATCTGTGCCCAGTGCTTCATAGACATGGTATGACTTAATTCTAACAAAAATAGCAGGCAGGCTCTATTTTTATTTCCATTTCCAATGAGGAAGCAAACACAGTGAGGCCACTTAACCTGCTCAAGGTCACACAGCTAGCGGATCCAGGGCTTGAAGGCAGGTGTTCCCTTATCTCAGGGCAGCCCCAGCCATTCGAGGCCCCGGATATTGTGGAGCAGAGACAGCCCCTCCCACTGTGTCCTCTGGAAGGGATGCTAATGAGTAAATGCTGCTTTACACCACCAAGTTTTGGGGCAGTGCATTAAGCAGCAATAGACACCAAGACACCAGTTCTCTCTGGTTTCACAGCCCCGATGGAATCACTTCTATGACGTGGTGGCATCAGCCAAGGCCAGCGGGAAGGTAATCAGGCCACCCACCAACCGCACTAGTCTCTCATCATTGGCAAGAACATTGAGACCATGACCTCATGCAATCCCTCCTGTGACTCGGTGAGATTGGTCTTCATTTACAGATGGGGAAACTGAGGCCCACAGAGCCCGGCAACTTGGCCAAAGCCACACAGTTGGTGGTGGAGCTGGAATGCAAAGCCGAGGTTCTGAACACCAGCTCCCAGGCCTCCCCACGGCTCCCTCAGCCCTGGTGGTTGGGTGGGAACCCTGCCTGCCCTGGCCTGAGCCGCCGAGTCACACGCAGCAGGGCCCATCTGCAGCTCTCACCTCCCGTTTCCAAACTCCGCGTCGGGGGTGGACGTGGTCCAGCTGTGGGAGCACCTAGCTGGCCCTGGCACATCTAGGCCTACTCTGACCCCTCCCCTGATTTTACCGTGGGTAACACAGATCTCTTCTGTCCCCTTCTGAAGCACTTGGTCCCTGGTTTCTAGGGGGCTTTAGTGCCTGATGCCAGGGAAGCCTTCCTCCCACGGGGCCGCAAAGGGAGCTCTCCGCCATGTCTTCCTGAGGGGTGCCCTCCCCACAGAGAATACCATTAACAGTCACGGTTCAATCCCCCAGCCCTCCTGGCACCCCCCCTTCACCAAGAAGTCCTTTGGACACTCGTCATTCTGGGAACACTGGGCCTCCGAGTTTGGTTATGCTTTGGTCCCAGGAGAACTCAGACTCAACTCTCCGTATTGCCAAGTGTAAGCCTTGTAACCCTTTTAGAAGGTAGGCACGGTGATTCCCACTCTACAGATGGGGAAACTGAGGCTCTAGGAGGGGCTGTGAGGTGCTCGAGGGCACCCTGGAATGGGGTTCGGAGGGAGGTTTCTGGGATTCTTCGAATCTGCACAGCCTCTGGTTTCACTTACCTTTTCCCCTTTCGGGCCTGGAAGTCCCTGGAGAAGGAAAGTGGAGAAAGAACAGGCCTGAGTGAGGGGCCTAGGCTGGCTCCCCTTCTGGCTTCCCTGTACCTCTGAGGGCAGAAGGGCCCATGATGCTGAGCAGAACTTTGGGCGGCTGAGTGGAAAATTACACACGAGCTGTCAGCATCAGTGACAGCTGCCCTGGCTGGCCCAAGGAAGCTCCACACCTCGGTCCTCAGCATGAGGGATATGGGGGACTTGGGGGTGACCAGCAAGGGCCCACTGGCATCCTCATAGCAGAGAAAGGGATGCATGCACTGGTCACTCCTCCCAGAGAGCGCACACAGTCCCCCACTGCTCAGCTCCCACCCTGTTGCTGTCAGTGGGAGGCCACTGCCCCCAAGCCATCTTTCTGGAATCTGAGAAGCAGGCAGTAGACAGATGCTCTCTCCAGAGGCATTTTCTTCTTTTTTCTTTCTTATTTCTTCAAAAAAAAAAAAAAAAAGCATTCTCTTCTTTAATGGTAGCAGCTCCTTGGAGTATGGGCTCCATCTGTCCATCCCTGTATGAGTCATCCATCCATCCATCCATCCATCCACCCATCCATCCATCCATCCATCCATCCATCCATCCACCCACCCATCCATCCATCCACCCATCCATCCATCCACCCACCCATCCACCCATCCACTCACCAATCCATTCATCCATCCACCCATCTATCCATCCACCCATCCACCCACCAATCCATTCATCCATCCATCCACCCATTCCCCCACCAATCCATCCATCCACCCATCCACCCACCCATCCACTCACCCATCCATCCATCCATCCACCCATCTACCCATCCACCCACCCATCCACCCATCCACTCACCCATCCATCCATCCATCCACCCATCCATCCATCCACCCACCCATCCACCCATCCACTCACCAATCCATTCATCCATCTACCCATCCATCCATCCACCCATCCACTCACCAATCTATTCATCCATCCACCCATCCATCCACCCATCCACTCACCAATCCATTCATCCATCCACCCATCCATCCATCCACCCATTCACCCACCCACCTACCCATCCACCCATTTATCCACTATCCATCCAACCACCCACCAATCCATCCATCCATCCATCCACCCACCCACCCACCCATTCATCCACTATCCATTCAACCACCCACCAATCCATCCATCCATCCATCCATCCACCCACCAATCCATCCATCCATCCATCCACCCATCCACCCACCCACCCACGTACCCACCACCCACCCACCTACCCATCCACCCATTCATCCACTATCCATTCAACCACCCACCAATCCATCCATCCATCTATCCAGTCATCATCCATCCATCTATGCATCTATCTATACATCTACCCACCCGCCCATCCATCCATCCACCTCAAATTACTTATTTATTGTGCTCATGTCTCCCTGCATGTTTCTGCTGAGGACTGCCTGTGACCACAGGCTCCTGGCCCAGATGTTGAGAACTCAGCTTGATGCCCACCAGGGCAGTCTTGAGAATGTAGCGAGGACACTGTGCCTGTGTCTGCTGCGAGGGGCTCGCATGCTTTGAGGGCTGACTAGACCCCAGGGACTGTGCTGCCCACAGTTCTCCATAGGTCTGCAGCATCCCTAGGAGAGGAGGGGTACGTGTGCCCACTTGACAGACAAGAAACCTCAGGCTTGGGAGGTGAGGAGGCCTCCCCTGGTCACCGTCAGCAGGTAGTGGAGCTAGATTTGAACTCAAGTCTGACACCCAAAGGCTTCTCTCTCTGCTGAACCAAGTTCCAGTGGCTGCTTCCCTCCAGTGCCTGGTGGTCACTCCCAGCCCCACAGTGGCAGCCCCAGCCCAGGACACCCTGGAATTGCCCTGTCATCACTTACGGGCTTGCCATCCAAACCCAGGGGTCCCTGGAAAACAAGAGAGAGAACACAGGTTACACACGGGGATGGCACTTCCTCCACGTCTTATGACCCAGGTGCATTATTCAGCGATGAAAAAACAAAGCCTATGGGAGCCCCAGGTCTGGGTTCAGTCCATGCGGCCTGGGGCCGAGGGAGGGGAAGGCATCTGTGTGTGGTCTGCTGCCCGGAATCCCTCCTCTGACAAGAGAGCCCAGTTCTTCTCTAAAGACCACCCCCCATCTCAACCCATGGGGTCTGGGTGGGCTGCTGGGGTGGGCACGTGACCACATTCCCTCCGCCAGGGTGACGGGGTCAGTGACGAGCCTGGGATCCAAGGCGAGCCATGAGCATCCTGCCTGGGACTTAATGGTGGGGCTTTAGGGGAAAAGGGCTCTTTTCTTCTGATGGGGCTAAGCCTGGAGCTCCCAGGGACCACCACACGGCTTGAGAATAAGCCAACAGGGAGGAAAGCAGAGCTGAGAGACAGAGAGAAAGACAGGGTCGAGGGCCTGAAGCTGAAACTGCCCCTGTACACACCAGTTTGAGAGCTAATCAATACTTTTGTTTTGCCTTCATTAATTCAGCTTGAATTGAGTTCCTGTCATTTGTGACTGGCAGTCTTGAAGGCTCTTTGAACTTCCCACATTGCTGCAGCCTTTGCAGACAAAATAAAGCCAGAGAAAAGCCAAATCACACCAGGGTGGGTCCAGACAGTGGGGGCACTCAGTGACCTCCAGGCCCCCTGCAGAGTCTGCAGAGGACCAGCGGCACAGCAGCCCGTGCCGGACACCCCTGCCCCTGTCCACCTACCACCCACTTAACAAAGCCTCGCCCAGCTCCCTTTTGTGTGGGAGTGGGGAGGAATCCAGCTGGCAGGGACTCTGGGACCAGGGATGCCTGGTCTCTGTCAGCCCCCTCTTCCTCCTCACCACAGTCCCCTCACCCCCACATACACTTCACTGTTGGCTGCAGCAACGACGCACACAGCTCCACGCTTCTGAACCTTTGCACACACTGCCATCCTTCCCTTCTTTGTCCATCTTCAGCTCAGTTACCTCCTCTTCCAGGAAGGCTTCTAGGGTTTTCTCCTTCCCAGAGTCAGGCCATCTGTCCCTGTTCCCACCACATATATTCTGTCACATGTGACATGACCTATTGTTAATGTGGGGTCTACACAATTCTTCCTCTGTACAGTCAGGAAAAGGGTCTAATCCCTGTGCCTCTGTTATTGGATGGGGCCTGGCAGGCAGCATGTGCCCGGGAAAACGTGCAAAGTCAAACCAAGGAAGTACGGCAAGAATGATAATGCCGCAAATGCATGCACTGCGTAGTAGAAAGGGGAGGAGAGGTGGAGGCTCTGCCAACCCCTAGCCGGGAAGACGCATTGTGGGGACAGTAACGTTGGGCTATTTGGACCTAACAAGTGTGTGTGTGAGGGTGGGGGAGGGCACCGTAGGCAAAAGAGAGCAGCCTGGCCAAAGCGGGATGGGGGACCCTGTAGGCGGTGGAGGAGCAGAGGGGCTCTCGTCGGCCCCTGACCTGTGGCCCCTGCTCAGTTTGTCCCTGCCTCTCTGGACTTCCACTGGCTGAGGACGGACTCCCGGGCCCAGCATCAGGGTCCTCTGTGGCTAAGGCCAGCTTCAGCCATCTGGTCACTCTGTGCTCCTGTCCGTCCCCGAGCTCTCTGGCTTCCTTTCCGTCTTTATCCCTCGGCTCTCTGTTCCCTTTGCCTGGAGAGCCTTCCCCGCGTCTGCACCTGGCAGCAGGCAGCTCATCCCCCGGGACAGCCTCCTGCTCTGGGAAGACTGTCCTGGTCTCTGGTTCTGGACACAGCTGGGAGCTGGCCCCGTGCCTGCCAGGTAGGAGGTAAGCTGCTGGCTTCTCTGGCTCAACCTCCAGACAGCCTCGTGTGGAGATGGCCCATCTGCCCATTCCCAGATGGTGTGAGTGGCCACTCCATGTGGGGCTCGCGGCCAGGGCCTTGCTGGCAGTAGGAAACTAGGCAGTTCTTAAAAATTGGTGTCTAAGTGCTTCTGGCCACCAGTCTCATGGTCACCGAGGGTTTGGCCATCAGAGTGATGGCCTGGAGTCCCAGGGGAGAGGGAGTGGGGGCATTCCAAAGTCTTGGGGGCTCAGGCCCTGGGGGCCCCAGGTCAGGGCCTCAGCCCCCATCACAGGCGTAGTTCTACTCCTTGCCATGAGCCTCCCAGGAGCTGCCCTAGCTGGACAGTGTCCTCTTGCCAGTTTCTAGCTGTCCTGATCCCGGGGTCCACACCCCCAGGCCTTCTGCCCTCGGTAGTACACTAAATTGGGCCCTGTCCCTTGTCCCCCTATCCCCTGACCCAGGCCCTGCCGGGTGTCCTCAGGGTCACGTCCCACTACGCATCCCCACCCTGGACTTCTCCCCTGGGCCCGACCCCACACACGTGGGCGCCAGTCCTTCCTGGGTCTCTTCAAGGAGCTCTTCATGGCCCCCACTCGGTCTCAATCACACAGCAACCCGGTAAGGTAGGTGTCCTCATCCCCCTCTTACAGAGAAGGAAACTGAGGCCCAGTGAGGGGAAGACCTTGCCTAGGGCCATGCAGCTAGAAAGGGTCTGGGCCCTGGGTCTCCATCCTGTCTGCACTGCAGGCCCCTGCCGCGGTCCTGTCTGGCCTCCCGGCCACTCTCTCCTGCTCCAGGCCTTGCATACCTCTGTGAAATCCTCCCTGCTCCCACGGTCCCCTGGATGTGAAGCACGCACAACCACAGGGCTCTGCCTTTCTAGAAGTGCCCGTGGAAGGGAGCCCAGGCTGTCCCCTTGGCCTCAACCCCAGAGGGAGCATCTCAGTGCTGCCAGCTGTTTCTGGAAGTGTCCACCGACTGGACCTTATTATGGCCGCAGGCCTCCTGCCTCCTGAGCTGGACGCTGCCCTCTGCCAACCTAGGACTGTTCCTGGGGGTCACTGATGGTGCAGCCTTGGTCCCCAAGGCTTCTTTCTGATGTGTGAGAAGCCCCGTCTGTGACAGAAAACCAATTTTCACATCAAAGGCCCTGCCTGTATGTGTGATCAGAGCCCTGGGAGTTTTTATGGGTGAATTCAGTTTCTAGCTTCCCAATAGAGGCAGAGCGATGGGTGTTCGCAGTGCTCTTGGGAGCCCCCACCGAGGACTGAAGGGAAGCCAATTCCAATTCCCGGAAGCCGAGCCAGTGCCTGCAGCGGCACCAAAGCTCCCTGTGCGAGAACTGACAGAGCAGACCGGGCTGGGCCAGCCCCCGGGACAGAGCCGACCCACAGCCAGGATGACACGTGGGCAACAAAGCCGCCCCCAGGCCCCCGAGCTCTCTGTGAGGGGCAGTGGCTGACCTTGGAGAAGCTGCTGGGTGGGTGCGGTCACTGAAGAAGGGACTCTGAGGTAGGCAGGGAAGGAGCAGCCTGGCTTTGGAGTCAGATGCACCTGCCTGGCTTGGGGATGTGATTCTCACCTCCCCTCCCGTCCTGGGGAAGTGGGGCCTGCCCTCTGGGCCGGGGGACCCTGGGCTGTGAACCTCCAGGGGATGGACCCTGTCCGCAGTTACCCTACAGAATGCCTTTCCCAAACTGGTGCCCCACAGCACACTGCCCTGCAGGCTTGCCTGGAGACAGGGATTCCATGGCTGAGTAAGTTTGAGAAACACTGGGTTACACTCTGCGGAACAGGTTTCTTCCCCGAAGGGCTGTCGGAGCCGTCATTTTACTTTGCTGGTCTTTAAAAGGACAGTGCTCCTTCCACCCCCGAAATGGGCTCAGTGGACTCAGCCTTAATGGACTCAGTGCCTGGCTGAGCCACAGCAAAGCAACTGAGGCGTGAGGCTGTGCAGACCATCCACAAACCAGGTGTTTCTACTGGTGCAGCGGGGGCCGAGCCCGGCTCTGGGTGCTCTAGAGAGGAGGACAAGCGCCTCAGGGAAGGGCCTGGGCTGGTCTGAATGGAGCCACGGAACGCGTGGGGTGGGGGGCGTGGTCAGGCTGGACAAAGGCATGGCAGGGCAAGTGTCCAAGTATCCAAGCCCAAGGCAAGTCCTTCTGAGCAGAATGAGGGTATTTCTGAGCAGCTGGGTAGTCTGGAAGGGCAGAGCCCCAGACTGGGCAGGGGCGTGCCTTGGGTGGTGGTGGTGGTGGGGGTCTCTCCTATCCAGGCAGCCCTCCCCTGCCCCAGACAATAGGGCACCAGTCATCAGCTGCCCTGTTCCTCTCCCAGCATCTCTTACAGAAGGAGTGGGAAAGAAAGTAGCTTGGGGAGGTTTACCAGCAGCTCACGGAGCAAAGGCCAGGGCTCAGCCTTGCAGGGCCCGGTTCAAATCCCTCTTCCAAGCCTCAGGTTCCTCATCTATGGATGTCACCACACTGTGCCTGGAGATGCTCATGACCGTCCAGCTCGCTCCCCTGCCTGATCAAAGCCCTTGAATCCACCAGAGGTTTTCAACGCCTTCTGCCCTCCGAGAAACCCCACAGCTGTTCACAAGCCTTGGTTCTGCTTTAAATCACTCTTTCCCCGTGGAGATCAGCTGGGCTCCGGGATGTTTCCGGATGTGTGAGAAACAAACAAAGCTCTGGGCTGCACGTGAGCAGGAGGCCAGGCGGCCAGCTGGCCTGGGACCCCGGGTGGGCAGCCCTCCCCCGGCCCTGGTGCTGCCTCGGTCCCTTGCCTTGCTCAGGGACCGAAATGTCCCCGATCCTGTTTCCTCATTTGTGAAATGCAGGTCATGCCATTCTCCTCTCAAACAACAAGTTCAAGTTGGGTCCCAGGTCAGTGGCCTCTGTTTCCCAGACCAATGCAAGACGCGAGGCCCCACAGGCAAGCAGACACTGGATTAGGGTTTGCCCTGGCCCTGGGGGGCAGTGCTGGGAATGACCCGTGTGTGGCCTTCCAAGAGGCTGGCAGCAGGACCCTGGACGGTGCCGCCGGCTCTGCCATCTGTGAATTTGAGGCTTTGCTCTCTCCCTCCCTCGGCCTGTTGAGTATTTCCTGAGCCGGGTTCACA